TGGGCCAAGGTCACGCTTGGCGGGTCGCTTGGCGGGTCCATGGGAGGAGGCGCTGTCAGAGTCGACATCAATATCAGTGTCAACGACGTTGGTATTCGATTTGACAACGCCTCCGAAGAACTTTGGGCCAATATCACGCCTGGCGTGGCCAGGGCTGGTGAAAATGGCAGAGGTTTCCTGAAGCGAAGGTAAGCATGTGTCTCAAGGTTTGGGGAAGCCTAGAGGCGTATTGACGTACATCCTGGTTGCCCTGTCCAATGTTAATATCGGCCACGTCTGCTAGGATTCCATCTGAAGTCGATTTAGCGTGTGTCTTAGGAACAGGGAAGGGGAGGGCACGGGACATACTGCCTCCATTTGCGGCACGCTTGTAGCCGTGGTGGTCATCGTGGTGGTCATCGTAGTGGGCATCGTGGTGGGGGGCATCGTAGTGGGCATCGTGGTGGTCATAGCGGTGGTCATCGTGGTCCGCAAAGTAAATGGTCTTAGTCTGGAGAATTGGTGAGTATAGTCTCTCGGGGTTCGAAATCTCTGTAATTCAATCACCTCATCTTGATTGTGCGATCCGATGTTGGCGTCCAGAACATCACTCAAAATGCTGGCAATCGTCAGTAAGAGGATGACAAGCTTGTCAGWTCCAACTGACCCGTTTCCACCGTTTGCGGCACGCTTCCATCCGTTTCCATGGCGCCGAGAGTCGAAGGCGATGTCAGTGTCGACGACGTTGGTGGTAGAGGACACGATGCCTCCGGACATCTTTGGGCCAATGTCGCGCTTGTCAGATCGGCCGACGATTGAAGTCTCATCTTGGTGTCCCTGAGAGATGAGTGTTAGCGTATAATCAGGGAATGCTCACGATCATGAGAGCCTACCTCTCCAATGTTAACATCGGCCAAGTCGGCCAGGATGCCATTGCCTCCGTTAGGAAGAGGCGAAGCAGCTGCCACAGCGCAGAGGGCCAAAAGGATCTCGAGCTTCATGACCATCTGTGCCAAGTGTTAGATGCGGTCGCAATGATGTGGATCGGATTGCAACTTACATTTGCGGTGGTGGAGGAGTTGAGTTAGGATGAAGTATTAGACAATAAACAATAATAATAAGTAATAAAGAATAAAAGAAGAAAGAAGTGAGAGACTGGGGAGAAAGTAAGTAAGGGATCGAGGGATGTAGGAAGCTCTTGATTAAAGTAATGTAGTAAGGTAGGTAGTGTTGGTGTTGTGAGGAGGTGAAGAGCTGATGAGTTGATGATGAGAGAGTATTATGGGCGGAGAGGTGAAGGTGTTATATAGCAGAATGCTTCACCATCCCTTCATGTTACCATCATCTCCACCTCAACGTGAACTGCCCATCACGGCATTCGACGTGGCTGGTTGTCCGGTGGTCCACTCAAGGAAGGACCCCCTGTTGCACCGTGACTGCCCACCGGCGTGTTGTGCAGGTGAGGTTTCACTGTGGTTGCCAATTCCATGCCGCCGTTGCGTTGCGTTGCGTTGCGTTGCGTTGCGTTGCGTTGACGTCGTCCAGGGCTTGATTTGGTCWTTGGCACGTGTGTACCCGTCAGTTACAACGGCTTTGGTTTGACGGGGAATTGCATCTTGACCCGATTGTTCCCCGCATCCATCATACCTTATGATGGATGCGCATTCCCAGTTCGCATGGAGGGATCGAAGATGCGCATGAGAGGTGGGCCAAGTCACCTGCTGACGGGAGGAGTCGGAATCGATGACAGAGTGACAGACAACAACGCAGGTACGATGGAGATCTTCCCGGCCTGCATCCGCTGCAGCCTTACCGAGCTGCGTCCGTTTGAGCAAAACCGTTGCATCGCTCCCGACCTGCATCCATCAACTGTCCGCAAATCTGTGAACCACGAATCCCCTTGACAAAGTAGCCCGAATCCCACCAAAACCGTTGACACGAACCGTCTTCTTGATACCTACACGTACACCTGCAATCTATTATTAAACGTTCCCGCTCCAACGGTTCCTTTCCAGACCAAAGCACCACCCACGTTGCGTTGCCGAAATGCTGCGTTGCCATGAACTCTGCCGTTCGTATATTGTCCTGGACGGCCTGGAACGGCCCGCTATGTCTTACATTCGTTGACGTCGAAATGTTTTAGGATCATAACATACACCGTTGATTGAACAGAAACGGGACGATCCCACTCTTTCTCATCGCTGCACGTGCGATCGTTCCTGAATCCTTGACAACAAGATGAAGAGCTCGGTGGGACTTGTGATTCAACGATCATATCGCCCATGTTCGTTTTGCCAATCTTTCCACATCCAATACGACGCCCTAGCCATCAAGTGCCGTTGTAAGGCAACATTGTCACTTTGATTCTAAAAATGGCCCACGACCAAGGGTACAACCTTGCACGATGCCTCCAGGCTGTAAGGTGAGGGAAGTCAGGGAAACAGGAACTCGCGGAATTGGGCGTGGGGTCAAGGAAAAACGCGAGTCGCAGAATCATTGGATAGATAACATCGATGCAGGATGCTTCTTGTGACAACTCGAGAGATGAAATGATAGCACAATCAATCAATCTTACAAGCTTCCTACCTACCTCTAATACCGACACTCGCTTACAATCAACAAACAACAGTAGTGTTAGGGTGTAGTACAATGTAGCAATGACAGCAAGAAAACGGAGCCTCCCCTCAATCCCGACATGGCGTTGCTCTGTTGCGTTTTGCATCCCAGTATCGGGAGTCCGTGGTGATCGGTGTCGATGGTCGTGTCGTGTCGTGTCGTCCAGGCGGCCGAGTCGTGCTTACMCTTGAGGAGGTAGTCCGACTCACCGTAGGTTCAGGTTGGGATGAAGGCCATAGTTGGCCTCAGTTTGTCGGTCGGAGATCTTCCACCACCGCGCGAGACATCTACTGGTGAGTTGCAGTCGAGCTGTTCCGATTAGTATACTTACCCCAACTTGACCTCTGTGGAAATCATCAGGAGGAGAATGGGGGAACCTTACCTCTTACCCTTCTGATCAAACATCGTGCAAGGCGCACTCTAGTATCTCCTCCGCTGCCTGGAATCCTCATACCCACCACCATCATGTGAACGCTTCTGGCCAGGATTGTACGAATCTCTGCCTCCTCCTCCACCACCACCGTCCCGGTCGCGGTCCCGGTATCCGCCTCCACCTCGGGGCGGTAATGGCTCAAAGTTGGCATTGTCGCGTCCACCACGTCCTCCACCGCCGAATCCGCGGTCATCTCCTCCACGACCGCCGTACCCACCTCCACCTCCGTAGCCACCACGAGGGCCAGCTGGCGCACCGTCAGGATAGCCTCGTGAGCCTCCACTGCCACGGTCGAATCCACCGCGGAAGCCACCACCACCCCTGCCGCCTCTGAAGCCGCCTCCGCGATCATTGAAACCGCCGCGGAAACCTCCCCGGCCTCCGAAGCCGCCTGGACCCATGGGTGGACCTCCAAAGCCACCTCCGGATGGTTTTGACACTGCTTTAGTGTAGTGTCGTCCGCCCAGGCCGCCGCCGAAGCGTCGGGGCTTCCAGTCGGTAACTGTACGTCCGCGCTCCACATCGACCAGTACAGGTCTGCCGCGGATTGTGAGACGTTCGCACTCCTTGTATGCAGCTGAGAAGACAAGTCAGTCAGAACACTCGAAAGTTGGAGGTTGGGGATACCGACCCTTCATATCGTGCTCCTTTTCGAACAGCACAAAGGCATACCCTCTCGGCTTCGCGCCCTTTTTGATGTCACCATTCTCATCCACCGGCATTACAATGCGCACGCGCTCAATTGGCCCGAAGCGACTAAACTCCATCTCGAGGTCCTTGCTGACAGCGTTGTATGGAAGGCGGCCAACGAACAGAGTGGAAAAGKCATCGCCTCTGATGTTCTTGTCCTTTGTGGGATTGTAGAGCTCTTTGGCGCCTTCGTTCTTGAGCCATTCCTGCTTCCAGATCTTCTCGTTTTTGATGCGATCGCGACGTTCGAGCCAGGATTCCGAGATGGGCACGGGATCCGAGTCTGCGTTCTTGACCTTTTCGGCGAGTGCCGGAAGGAAAGCGGCGACGCCATCAATGCGGTGAGTGCGGCGGTCTTCTGGCGGGAAATCGTGGGCCGGGAGGTATCTGAGCGGCGGACGAGGCTGGAAGAGGGCCAACAAGTTTGGGGGGAGATGATGGGTCATGGCTGTGATTGCGCCGTGTTGACCGGGCAAGGTCGAGGGGGTAGTGTGCAGTGAAGTCGCGCACAACTGGCCTCACGCCACTCACTCTTCGAAGAATCAGAAAATGAGGTGTCTGCAAGAGTGTGATTAGTGGGTGATGACACGGAATTGCTGTGATGGCGGTGGTGATGTCGCGGTCGTGTCTGATGTTCGGGAAAGGGACAAGTTACGCGATGAAAGTTGATTCCAGGCCGTGCTTCAGCCACAGTGAGCTAGAACTGCATGTAGCAGTGTGGCGGTGCGATCCGTGACATCAACTTCCAACTCTATCATCTCCATTTCCCGACCAAAACAACACCTCCTCACCATCTTCCCCCCAAATGTCCCCAACATGATGAGCGCCAGGCAGTTGTCCTCCAGCCTTCGGGCGAGGCTGCTGAGACCGTCGCTCAAGCCAACAACCACACCTGCTTTTTCACGGCCCATCTCATCCGCCTCTTTCCTGCAAAGATCAACCACACYCCGTCCGACCACGATCCGGAAAAGCTGGCCGCTGGGATATAATGCTGTCCACAACCTACCCGCCATTCGGCAAGCAAGTTTTGCCCGAGTCCTCCCCAAGTTGGCCCTCAAAATGGTTCGCTTGCCGATGATGCTCGCTGGAATGGCTGTCGGCGGCGTGGCATACATTCAATACCAGGCAGCCGCCGCGGGGACCTACGCAATGGACGTCTTGGGCAAAGCCAGAGACTCGACCATGGGTGCTGCGAATGGACTTTTAGAGGGCATGGGAGGAGTATTCGCGAGAGTGAGCGACGGGTTTGACAAGACCAAAGACGATGTCAAGGGCGTGCAGATGCCGCAGTGGATGCGGGACATCTACGAGGGAAAGACAGCAGAAGGCGGTGGTGGAGGCGGTGGTGAAGGTGGACCTAACGAACCTCAGAAAAGCGGCATGGGCGCTGCGGCGGGTGCTGCTACTGCAGGTGCATTCGCGCTTAATGCCGACGGCGAAGATGACGACCGATCAGTCGGCGAGGCGGCGCGAGATGATCAAATGATGATGCTCACACGGAAGATGATTGAGATTCGCACATTGCTTCAGACCATCGGACAGTCGGAGACTCTCACTCTCCCCTCGATTGTTGTCGTGGGATCGCAGTCATCTGGAAAGAGTTCGGTGCTGGAAGCGATTGTCGGTCACGAATTCCTTCCCAAAGGATCCAACATGGTCACACGTCGACCCATTGAATTAACGCTAGTCAATACCCCCAACGCACAAGCAGAGTATGGCGAGTTTCCCGCACTTGGACTTGGGAAGGTGACAGACTTCACCCAGATTCAAAGGACACTCACTGATCTCAACCTTGCCGTCCCCGAAGCCGACTGTGTTTCAGACGATCCCATTCAACTGCGCATCTACTCTCCTAATGTGCCTGATCTATCACTGATCGATCTGCCCGGTTACATTCAGGTCGAGGCTTTCGACCAGCCAACAGAGCTGAAGACCAAGATTCAGGACCTATGCGACAAGTACATCCAAGCGCCAAATATCATCCTGGCCATCTCAGCCGCCGACGTCGATCTTGCCAATTCTACAGCTCTGCGAGCTTCACGAAGAGCAGACCCACGAGGCGAGCGCACCATCGGTGTCGTCACTAAGATGGACCTGGTAGACCCGATTCGAGGCGCTCAGATCCTCACTGACAAGAACTACCCGCTTCGTCTGGGATATGTCGGCGTGGTAGCCAAGGTACCTTCCGAGTCCAAGTCACTCTTCTCCCGCGGCTCTGCGAGCATCACCTCCCTCATCACCAAGAATGAGACTGCATTCTTCGGTTCCCGCCCAGAGATCTTCGGACCGGACAGCAAGCAGAATCTCACGGTCRGCACGCCTGCTCTCCGAAAGAAGCTCATGCACGTCCTCGAAGCAACAATGTCTTCTTCCTTGAAGACTACCAGCGAAGCGATTAACCATGAGCTTGCCGAAGCTTCGTACGAGTTCAAAGTGCAGTACAACGAACGCCCTCTGTCCGCAGAGTCCTACCTCGCGGAATCTCTTGACGCATTCAAGCATGGCTTCAAGAAGATCTCCGAGACGTTTGGAAGGAAAGAAGTGCGCGAGATTGTTAAGAAAGAACTCGATCAGCAAGTCCTGAACCTTCTCGCACAGCGGTATTGGAATCGTCCAGTTGAGGATCTCCGCCCTGTCGATCCGGATAGTGAGAGCATTCGCGATCCTCTATCCACCCTGCCCAAAGCCGACCCGGAAAATCCTCTTTGGCACTTGAAGTTGGATGCATCGACTTCGACGCTCACAAAGCTTGGAATCGGTAGACTAGCAGCAAGCGTCACCGCCCAAGCTCTTCACGCTTCGGTGCAGGAGCTGATTGCCACCACACCATTTGCCAACCACCCTTTCGCAGTCGCAGCAATCACACAAGCCAGCGAGAACATCCTTACCGACCTCGCATTCGAGACCGCAGATGAACTAGAAATCTGCGTGAAGCCTTATAAATACCGCGTAGAAGTCGACGATCAGGAATGGAAAGCCGGACGGGCCAACATTACCAGGGTGTTGAAGCAAGAACTTTCAGCTTGCGAGTCTGCGAAGAAGCAGATTGAGGAGTCGATTGGTGGGAGGAGAAAGACGAACGACGTGGTGGGATTCATCGAGAGGGTGAGAAAGGGGGAAGTTGTTCTTGAGAACCAGGCCGGTGGTGCTGGCGGCTTCTCTTCCGCTTTGCTGGAGAAGGGCAAGGAGGCGCTCTTCTTGTCTGATCGTGCGAGCATCCTGAAGATGCGTATTGCGGCGATACAGAGCAGACAATGTAACCTACCCGGAAACAAGGTGTATTGCCCGGAAGTGTTTCTGGATGCTGTGGGGGGAAAGTTGACAAACACCGCTGATCTGTTCCTGGACGCGGAATTGTTGAGCAAATTCTACTATCAATTCCCGCGGGTGTTGGAGAAGTGGGGTAGAGAACTGGATGAGGGAAGCGTGGAGAGATTGGCCAGGGAGGATGTCAAGGTCCGGAGACATTTGGATGTCGTGAGGAGGAAGGAGGGGTTGGAGAGGGTATTGAGGGAGATGGAGGGGTTGAGGATGCTTGAGGGCAGAGAAAGAGGGAGAGAGGAGAGGCGAAAGGTCGGGCAGGAGTCGAGGAGGAAGGGTTGGTTCAGTTGATGAAAAGAGATGATCCAGGGCGTTGACTTTTGTTTGATGGGAAAAAAATGATACCACTGACGTTTTGTTTATTGCTTGTGGAGGAACAGCGAGGGATTCCACTCTTTCTAGATGATAATTGATTGTTTAATCTTCTGTGTGATCATCGCTGTTGTCATTCACCTCTTTTTTATAAAGTAAGGTACTTGCAGTCCTCCATGAGGTGTCCACGATGATTAGGGTCAGGGTTGGGGTAGTACGATAGTTGGCTATACTCTTCTGCGTGATGTACACGGCTTTGGATAAGTATTACATGTCCTATTGGTGTGTTTTATATGAGTCTGGGGGCTGTAGTGTGATGTTGGCTGGGGTTGTTGAGTTTTGAGCTATTTTCGAGATATCTCCCTACTTTCTTTAGAACACTATAAATGTGCGACACCGGATGCCCACCGGCGACTGTGCCAGATGAATAAACCACGAAAAGGTATTACAGATTCTATACATCTATGCATTTGCTGTGCTTCTATCCTCCAGTTCCACAGTGTTCTATTCATTGGTCACGCTTCCTTCCTTCCTTCGCTCCGCTCCTTTATGCTTCCTTCCCCACGCATATGTGCACCAAATGGAAGTCACCACCGAGAGGATAAAGGCTCCATGGCAAGACAACATCCACGTGAATTGTAGACACTGCATGTATCTATCACCTCTCACAAGCATCCTCTTCCTGTTATGCAGCCACATCATCTACAAAAATTGAACGTACTTGGGAGGAGAAGCATTCTTCTGCGTCCTGCCCCTCTCCAACAACCACACCGACACCTGAATGTACGACAGACGCACGATGCCTCTCAACAAGAAGCACCAACACCACACGAATCCTTCCTCGAACAGCTGTCGCAATGGTCCAGGTACAGCATCTCCTCCCCCGAAGCGGCATCCATCGAATTGACCTGATATCTCGAACTGACCTGATATTGCAGCACCCACCTCTCCCACGACACCCTGATTGATGTCCAGGTCCCCCAGAACCTTCCACTCCAAGTCCAGGCTTCCCTCCTCATCTCGGCCACCAGACCACGGGCTAGAACGGCAATCTCGTGGCCATCAGAATCCGATCGACAGCCCGAGTTTCTCGCCCAGCCAACTCTGGACCTGAAAGGCTATCCCCCGTCCGCGTCTCTGACCTTCCTGTACTGGCTATACAACCGCCATCTACCTCGTCATGAAGCCAACTCCTCTCCCACGCGTAACAATCGTGCTTGTCAAGAACGCTACAACGACCTCCTCAGCGACGCCTACCTCGTCGGTGCTTCTGTCAACTCGCCCGCGTTCCAGAACACTGTTATCCGCGCTCTCGCACAGGCTCTGTGGAAGGAGGAGTTCGATGCAGCGAGGAGTCCATTTCCGCATCACAGTTCCGCGATCCCGTGGGCGAGAAAGACGTGGGAGAAAGCAAATGGGAGAGCTGAAGGAGAGAAGTTGGCCGAGTTTGCGGTGGATGTTGCGGCAAGGAGGGTCTTCGTCGTAGGATCCAAGGGGATGGTGCTCACACGAGAGGAGAGGGAATGTCTGAGTGGGAGGGAGAGTTTTGCAGGGAGCGTTTTTGCAAGTGTTGGTGGTCAGATTGGCGTCAAAGGGGTAGGAATAAGAGAGCTGGGTAGGGTGGGAGAGGTCGAAGAGATGGGATGAAGGAACATGGAAGGCGGCTCTCATCTCCAGCCTGCGTTTTTGATCGGCATGATATCCTGTAGCGCAGAAGAGTCTGTGACTGTGACTCGGATCTTTGGGCTGTGTGCTAGAGCAAGCCGCCTGAAGGTATCTCGTTTGAACCGGCGACATGTCTGCATCAACACGTCTTCCACGCATCCTGAAGTGCGATGATACCCGGCACCATACCCGACATTCCCAACAACGCCTCACTGATCGGACTGTTCTCCTCATCCCACAGACTCCAAYGCAACCCGCCCGGCAACCATCCCAGATTGGCATACAATTCCCTCCACCACCGCTGCTCCAACTCCCGACTCTGCACCTTCATCTCCTTCTCCCCATCGTCCACACTCTCCGCTCCGAAATCTTCATTGTACCTCAAACTTCTCACTCTCGCCAATCTCGCAAACTCCAACATTATCTCCGCCAACCAAAACCTCGAACTCCACAACCACCACTTGCCCTCCTTGGCCACAAACCTCCCATCCCTCAAAACGCCCTTTTGCACCAGAAATGCCAAATTCTCAAACAACTGCCATCCTACCGTAGTCCCCACCTGCGCCCACGCCAACACGTTAAGCGCCGGATCTCTCTTTGGATGTTGCCACATTTCTCTTGCTCGCGCGTACAATTTCACCAACCCCCACATGCGAGAGAATGTTCGGAAATCATTGACGGCGTCTCCCAGAGAACGGACGGAGGCACAGGCAGTTGTGAGACGTAAGTGGGGCGGTTCGATGGTCGCTGTGAGGATTTCGCCCGGTAGCAGGGAACCCGAGGCTTTGGTTGCGATTTCTTCAGCGAGAAGGCGGTAGCGGTGGGTTAGGAGGCGGGTGAGTTGGGAGTGGGTTAGGAGGAGGGTGTAGTAGAGGGTGCAGCATGTTGCTGACGCTCCATGTTGGGTTGAGAGGAGTCGGGAGAGGTGGGCGAGGAAGTTGTCGGAGGTTTTGAGGAGAGCGGTTAGGGGTGGTGTCGTTGGCGCCATTGTTTTTTGTTGCGGTCTTAGGTACTGATGGAGTGATAAGGGATGTTGAGATATTTCTGTGGACTACCTTATTACTCTGTTGATGCGATGCTTCACATGTCATTTGCCTCGGCCGGAAAATTCTTGGCGGACTACAGCATCATCTCGCAGGTGAGATGAACATCACCGCCCAATTCCTCGATCTCTCACAACAGGGCTGGTGAATTTGAAGATTGCCGCCTCTCTTTGTAGTTAGTCGGCGACAACGCTCACGACCAGGTGGCTACAAGCATAAAAGCTGCAGCCTTGCGGAGAGTCAAGTCGTGTACCAGGCAAGATTGGTAGTTTCTGCAACAACGATTGTACGATCAAGAAAATACATTATTCGATAAGACATTCGACACTAGCCGTACTTGACTCTCCGTAAGGCTACTGCTTTTTGTGCTTTTAGCCACCTGTTCGTGAGCGTTGTCGCCGACTTACTATAAGGAGAGGCTCCCACCTACTGTGTTTGCATCTCTCTATTCTTCATAGTCAGTCAAGTCAGACTCGATGCCGCTCTGCATATTACGGAGAGAGGTTCAAGGCCCGGTGAACTTGAAGGTTGCCGCCCTACTTACCTGTACCAGGCAAAATTGGTATTTTCTGTACTAAGGACAGCACGATTATGAAGACCTTTTGGCTCTCCGCAAGGCTATTGCTTTTTGTCCTTATAGCTCCCTGTCTGTCCGTAAGCGTTGTCTTCGATATACCATAAGGAGAGGCGGCAATCTTTAATAAGACATTTAACTATCCGTGACCTTTGGCTCTCCGTAAGGCTGTTGCTTTTTGTGCTTGTAGCTCTCTGTCCATGAGCGTTGTCGTCGATTTATTACAAGGAGAGGCGGCAATCTTCAATAAGACACTCGACCATCCATAGCTAAATCTCCGTAAGGCTGCTGCTGCTTTTTGTGCTCATAGCCACCTGTTCGTGAGCCTTATCATCGACTCACTATAACGCAAGGCGGCAATTTTCAATAAGACACTCGACCATCCGTACTTGACTCTCCGCAAGGCTGCTGCAGCGCTTTTATGCTCATAGCTCCCTGTTCGTGAGCGTTGTCGTCGACTCACTTGAAGGAGAGGCGGCAAACAAGGAGAGGCGGCAGTCCCGCTTTCGCTGCTCTTCAAATCGCTCTTTCGATTGGGGCGAGCTGGTGGAGAGGCGATGCGTGGGGAGCTTTATCCAYGCATCGACGCCGGGCAGGCCATGCAGTTGATACAGGTCAATAAACACTTGCATCATCCTGTGGAGAGACACGACGACGACAAATGTTCCTGTAGAACCACTCGTTGCTCCCTGCCTTGAGGAACAGCTTTCCCGGACCCCCCCCGATGCCTGATGTCAAGTGAGGTATGTTGGGTCGTGTAGTGGGCGTACATTTTTTTGAATGTTGCTGCCCACCTCCCAATACTTCATTGAGCAATGCTCGACGAGACAGATGAATCTACCTGGTCTCGCTGGCACGGTGGCGTGGCTGTTATTGGCCGCAGCGGGGTCGAACACGAAACCACAGCAATCGGCTGATACAATGTGGATGTGGTCGTGCGATACATCAGCGTCAGACGCACTGTCGTCGATGGAGTCATCGTCAGTGATAATATTATTACGGGCCGGACGCCTCTTGCCCTTTGCTGTCTTCGATGCGGATGCCGTGGTACGGATCTTCGACAGTACGTTTGATGCGCTGTCGTCGAGGAATTCGTCGTCGAAGAAAGAAGTCGTTGGCCGCCGCCGCAATGTCCCTGGATTTCTTGGCTGCAGCCTTGCGGGCTGGTTGCTTCTTGCCCCTTGATTACTTTGATGCGGATTTCGTCGCTCGAGTCCTCAATAGTGTGTCGGACCAGAGCTGTCGATATGAGGAGTATTCACAAGGAAAAGGCATCCCTAGTTATATCCATAGTCTCCCGAGGCCTCGCTCTCTATTGGCTCGATGATTTAAAGCTTGTTGGTATCCCTGCTACTGGCAGAGTGGCCGTGAATTAATCGAGAGAGCAGTTCAGGGCGCTGCTCTTGTTGATGATTTCTTATAGAATATCGACCCGACAGCTCTGACTTTCACAGTGGATTATAGCAAAGCCAATCCAACACCTACCTAGGTACCTACGCATGAACATCTGCTGGCATCACACCTATATAGTAGTGACCAACTCAATACAGCGCATAGCAGAAATTACTTTGAATTTAACGTAGAATCACGATAATCACAGAGCAGTGGTCGTGTGCAACGTGATGATAAGGTACATGTAGGTTGTATTTTATACCTACTCTCGCCATCACAACTCAGCAAAGTTCTTCCACCATGAAGTCATCTGTGYTGCTACGAACTGCCGTTGACGAATTCCGAGCGCTGCCATCAATTGCCTCCATCATTCAGCTGTATCAGCAGTTGCCTTCATGTCCTCGTCTTCCTTTCCCCGGCATTTTCTAGCCTCGTCTGGTGACATCTCCAACGCTCTCTTCTTCGGGTGCGGTTGAACCAGGACTGTACCAAATGCGGCACACTCACATTCGACACACTCACATCCGACGCACTCGCAATCGGCCGACCCTGTGACAGGGCAGGGAACCAGCTTTTTTCTCATCATGTAGCTCGCGAGAGCTCTCAGTGCTCCCTTCTTCCTCATATCCTCGATGCACAGGATGTTCCCGAAGACAAAGTGGAACCGACTTCGCCCTCGTGGCCGCGACGTTGATCATGTTCGATGTGCATTGCGTCCCAAAGTGTGAACACGCCGATGCCATCGTGAGAACAATCCCAGACGAGCGGCCTTGTGCTTCCCTCACAGCCCATCCATACACGCAGACCTGCGAGTTCCCCGCCGCGGCTCGAACGGGCAAGCTCCACCATGACAGATTTCTTGTCTTCTACCGTCATTGTCTGAATGATGATACGATCTTTGGCGACACTACCGTGGACAAGGTCCTTCGCAGCCGATATGACGGCGTCTATGCATCGCGGGTTCGACATTGTTGGCGTTTTTCATTGTTGGAATTCCACCAGTCCCGAATGGGTGCTTTAAGACGATAGATACCAGAGAAGCCGCTAGGAATCCGATATTCCACTCTCTGTTTCGTTCTTAAGCTCTGTCCGGCCAGAAACCTCTAGATTGGTAGGGCGGTTCAATATCTAGGAGAGACTCTGTAGCTGCTATAGGTCTACGTAAGGATAAACTTGGAGAGACCGCCCTGAATCCGAGAGTTCACTCTCTGTTTCGTAGTTAAGCTCTATACAGCCAGAAACCTCTAGTTTAGTAGGGCAGCTCGATATCTAGGAGGGACTATGCAGCTGCTACAGGTCTGCGCAAGTATAACTTTGGAGAAACCGCGCTGAATCTAGAATTTCTACTCTCTGTTTCGTAGGTAAGCTCTATACAGCTAGAAACCTCTAGCTTAGTAGAGCGGTTCGATATCTAGGAGAGACTATGTAGCTGAAAACTAGACGTGGTCTATTCTAACATAGTAGACGCCTCTTCTTAGCTACTATAGGTTTACGCAAGGATAGACGTAGAGAAACCGCCCTAAACTGAAAGTTTCATCCTCGATTCTATCTGGGGTTTACGTACCTCCAGGACTCTCTAGCTAAGTAAGGCGTTTGAAACTATATGGGAGTGCAATCTCGAGATTCCACATGTAAGCCTAGTTCACTCTAGAGATCGCCCCTTTTACCTTAGCTCGCGAAGAGAAATGTGCAGGATCCGCCACAAATTTGGAAATTTACCTCTCTATTCTCAATCTAATTTATGTGCCTCTAAGAATCTCCAGCTTAGCATGGTGGCCTTGAATATAGCAGAGAGCGAAGTCGCTGCCTTTGAGTTGGCGAGTAAGATGTCCATCGTTCATAAACGAAAGAGCCTCGCGAGATGATACCGTCGTTGATACATACCGGACCGAAATTGCTAGCCCTTGCAAGTGATTCGGCCATTGTACGCCACTCATCATCCTGGGTCTCAATGTCGTGACCAGGGCGCAGTGTCAAGCGTTTTCCCTCTTTGAGTTTGGCGACGATCTCGTACGCCCAGATGGGAGATGTGCTGTGGTCGGTTTTGACATCCCACTGAAACTGAAACTCACCTCGGCCTTTCTGGTCCCATTTGCGGGCCGCAGCTCTGTTTACAGGGAGAAGTCGAGCCATCAGCACTTCACAGTCATCCGGAAGGAGCCTGAAGATCACGGCGCCGTCGTTGAGCTGAATTTCGTACTCGGCAAATTGAGAGTTCAGGCACATACCCAGGTATGGCCGCGGAGGCAGGCCGGCATTGGTGTCAAGGGCCTGCTTCGAACTTGCAGTTAAAGTCTGGTCGAGTGCTATACCCTCGCCGTCCGCGTAAACTGCACATGGACGTGGTCCAGCCCTCGAGCGGGTCATCTGAGTCGACCCTCCCCAATCCTCCAGCTGACCGATGATATGGTCGTCGATGGGGAAATATGGGTTTTGGGTGCTAGTGTCACCTGCGCCACGTTTCGTGTAGACACTGTTGATTTTGGGAACTCTCCTCGGGTGGTGCAAGCGGCAGCCCATTTCATCGGCTGAATCCTCAAATTCATGGAATCTGAATTCAGACACCCCGTCGTGGGATATCTCGATGCCGTGCTCATACGCACGCTYGTGCGGGACCCCGACCAGTCCTGGTATCTTGTTGCGAAAGGTGTGCGACTTCACTCCAGGCTCGCTCTCACTCACTCGAGGATCAGCGAAGAGCAAATTACCCTCCCGCAGGCGTTCCTCCACATTGCAAAAGAGTTTGTGTAGTTGCGAGAAAGAGTCCTGCAGGTTCTGCGGCAAGCAGGCCCGGTTCGCATGCAGAGCATCGAGGTGGGCAAGATGCACGAGGCTGTACTCCTGGATGTCATATGTCCTGAACTGTTCCTGCCATCTCTTGATATCGGGCTGCAGGTCTTTCTCGAATGTGTCGACGTGTGAACGCGCGTAGTTCGAGCGTTTGTGGTGCTCGGCGTGGGCAAGCAGAGTCGCAGTGAGGCGAGCGGGGTCATTGGACAGCTCAGTGAACATGTCAAGAGCAGACATGGTCGACRCCAGAATTGCACTCATCAACACTGCCTGAGCAGTCACTTTGCAGCGCTGCAGTGGCAGTAGCTTGGAAATGCGGTCCACAATGTCACCGGAGACGTCCACACCCGACTCGATTGCGGCATGTGACGACACGACTGGTTCGCGTATGACGACTTTTGTCTCCGGAATCAATCCCACCAGAATGTCGTCGAGGGTCTCTTCGGCTGGTTGTTCGGTGTCGATGGACGCATGAGCGTCGACGTCGTCCGCGTCCATTCTGTTATGTTGATCCGGAATGCGGTGAGCACAAGTGGATTCACCGTTGATTGTCAGTGGTGTGGACAGAAAGTCGAGGAAAGACACAGCAAACACGMACGGACCACCACCAAACGGAAAATCAAGTACGAGAGCTGGTGAAATTGAAGGTTGCCGCCCCTACCTGTATGTAGCAGGCGAGATCTTGTATCTGTGCAACAATCACAGCACGATTAAGAGGAATTGTTCGGTGAGACATTCGATCCTCCACATTTGACTCTCCGCAAGGCTGCTGCTTTTGGTGCTTATAGCTACCGGTTCGTGGGCGTTGTCGTCGATTTACCACATGGAGAGGCGGCAATCTTCAATTCCACCACCGGCCCTTGGTAGAAAAGTGGGATCTGGGCATGGAAGCTCCGCTCTAAACTTACATGCACTTAGCGTACGTAGTAGGAAAGGCAGGCAGGATCAATTCGTCCATATCTCGCTCTCACTCACTGTAGTAGGCACCATGTTACCAACATTATCTTGGTCTCACCACTCCTGGCAGTCGTCGAAATATCACCAGCCAGCGTGAGATCTTACTCGTACACTCCATCGTGCGGGCGGGCCAGATACACAGACATTGTCTCCAAGACGACACCCGCGTTGTGTGTTTGGAACATTGTCCCCTCCCTAGCTTCTCATCAACATAGCTGCGTAAATGGCAACCGAGACCGTGGTGTGGAAAATAATATTCAACAACTAGCTAGCCCTGGTTACTTTTGGGGCCGACGAAGGGTGACGAATGTCAAAATAAATGGAGCGAGGTGAGGTGAGGTGAGGTGAGGTGAGGTGAGGTGAGGTGAGGTGAATGGACGCGCGAAGTTTGACCGAGGGCTGGGGTCAGCTTGCCGACTCTCCGTGCACTGAAGCAAAGACCACGCTCGCGGGCAGGGTGCTACGACTACTAGAGCAAGCAATGTTACGGAGAGCTAAGTAAATGTCGGATAATGGCTTCTAAATTGTCTTGTCGTTCTCGTGGAGAGGACGTTGATTGAAGCATGCAGGGCGGCAACTTTCAGTTCACTCGCCGATGGTCGCGGTCTCTTCCCCACTCGCCTCCCTTTGGACGTGGATCAATCGCGCGCCAAGCGATGCCAGCGTCAACCTCACATTGCTTGAGAAGATCAATGCACCACCCAAACATCTGATCTGAACATATCATTCCACAATCATGTCTGCTGTTTACCTCATCTCAAAGTCAGCCTTCCAATGAACCGACAATCGCCAGCTGCATAAACTAACAAACCCTTTAGAGCCGTCGACCCAATCTTCGCCATGAGCATCGGTACTCTAGCGGCCGCAGTGCGCATCAATCGCGAGGAGAAGGAGAAGGGATTCACGACGGACCAGACGATTGCCAGTTTGAAGCGGAGGACTGCGGCGCTTTTTGGGGAGGCCAAGCAGGAGGGGAAGCAGGTTGTTGAGAAGGCAAGATGAGCGGGTTTACAAATGACGCTGCGTATCTTCAAACACATTTGGCTTCGAGAGCAGGAGGTCCACTATGAGGAGTATTGCTGGGGGTCAGGGACGGCGACTATATCCTGCTGCTGTCAGGATGCGGTTACTGGAATACCGCGACACACCGGACGTGGCAGAGAACCCACGCGCGGTACAAACACACGGGCTCAAGAAAGACCTGGAGGCGTCATTTCTGTGTGCACTCTCCGTACTCTTCAGGCCACTGGCGGAGGCTGACCAAGGATGGAGACGGAACCATCGGTTGTACGACGAGATGCAGGCTGTTATGCTCCCCACGATACAGAAGTGCATCCGAGGCAATATGCTGCATGCGTAGGGGAGCAGAGAATCAGGGACAGACGACAGACTATGCTAGGTGGGTGCTTATAGGCAGAACTCAGTTTGGGTGAGAAGGAAAATGTACATGATAGTATGGTATTACCAGATCTCTGGCCTTCTCGCRACCAAAATGTCATGCTCAACAAAAGCTCAACACGCCCTCTCTGCCAGTGCTATGGAGGGAGATCGTGGCGAGATTCGCCTTTCGATGATGGGCTATTTTCCTCATACAATCCTTGATCCGATTCATATCTTGATCAATTCACTTCCAAGCCTAGTCTGTGCTGAAGCAACTGGTCAGACGTATTGGCTGCTCCGGCCTACGATGGCGCGGAGGACGGGACTGTTGCTCCTGGGGACCTAGGGATCAGGGATGAATGTGCGGGCGAGTGACCATGGTGAAATCCGCTGCTGGTAGGAAGACACCCAGAGCGGCACCCAAACATCAGCCACACGCTGCATCTTCTCCACRACACCTGGAAGCTGGACCAATTCGAAATGGTCATTACCAGGAGGAATGCTTTCTTTCCATCTCCCACATGATCTGTATGCACATCATCTCTATGACACGATCCAGTATCCGCCACCAAGTAGCCCACCCAATACCAAAGCCGTCAAGATTCCAGCTCCGGCCTTATCAGCAGTGGATATCGAGTCGAACTTCAACTCACTGTTCCCACCCTTTCCTGCATCACGGTCACCGACCGAAGTACCACCAGTACCGTTGCCGACGGGTCCACGGACTCTGTCGATGAGGTTGGACTGGAACACCTCCAGGGCGTTCATCTGCTGCCCGACACCAAAGCCACCATCCCACTTGCCGGCCGCCCATGACGTTCCGCAGGTCACACCATTGCTGCCACCCGTACACTGGAAATGTATGTCAGTACCTCTGCTATTCCAACTTCACACTGGTATCCAACTTACCGATTTCGCCGCTGCCGTGGCCGATGACCTGATAAGTGGCATGATAATATCATGAGTCCACGGAGCGACCTTGACCGTAGCGGCCATCCATCTGGAAAGGTACGCCTTGAAAGTCTGCTGATCGATATTGCAGTTCTTCGACTGCTCGCAGRCAATCTCAACCATGATCGTGTCGGTGAAGAAGTTCGTTGTCGCGGATTTAAGCATGCCTTCTGTACGTGCTCGCCATTGACCTTGCTTATCACCCGTAGTCTGATGCACAAATTAGCGCTCTTCGCAGGAGAAAGGGCTACGCATGTACTCACCACATTCCACATGACCGCCGCGCCTAGCAAGTACACGCCAACATTGTACGACCACTGAATGTGGTTCATCTCCTGACATTTCAACAGAGAATCCGTACCGTCGAAGACTTGAAAGTTGTCGTTGACCATGCCAACCTGCCTCGACCAGTCCCACGTTGTCTCTGCCCAGTCAAGATACTCTTGGTCTCCCGTGTACATTCCCAAACGCGCGGCCAAGTTGAAGAAACATCCATTGGAGATTGCGTTTTTGTAGTTGTACCCTGGCTAATGTCAGTCCGACCCTGAACGTGGTGTACGGGACCAGCATACCAGTGTTGAAGCTGAACTTCTGCCATCTGAATCCTCCATTGCAAGTTCCATTGTCCCAGAGCGGATATTGTGAGTTGTATACCGCCTGAGCCAGCGCAAGCCATGAGGGCTGGTCTGGTTTCGGATTCGGGAAGTTGACCTCTGCAGCGGTCAAGGCTAGATTGTACAGAGTCTCAGCACAATTCACCAAACTTCACTTCCACCGCGTGGCGAACATACCAGCCATTCCCCAAAATGCTTGATCGTCGTTTCCCAAACTCGCAGACTGATTTTGAGGCATGTAATTGTCGTTTGATCCCACCTGGAACTGCATAGCTTCCGTCACCACGTCGTTGTATGTCGCATCTCCCGTGTAATACCAGTAATCAATCATCGCTCCAAACATGGCACCAGCCTCCCACCAGTAGTACGGTCCTGGAAGAAGTCCAGGAATATTGTACGGGCCAGACACATTGCCCTGATACCAGCTCATCATGCCATCAGCGGCCGTTCGGGCGGCGCTCATGATGGACTTGGGATCCTCCAGGTCGAGATCGATGGCGCTGATCGGAGTCAGCCTTGCGGCCAGCAGAACGCTGGCGAAGAGCGTTTGTGTCCTCATGGCTGTGGTATGGTAAACGAGTGTGTATGTCCACTAGGTCGGCAGATTGAATACTGCTCAGAAGTTCAGTTCAGGGAGACCGGGGATAGCGCGAATCGTCAATCGCTGGGCCGCCGCGTCTGGCTGCCATGCACAGAGCACAGACAGGTCTGCATCATGCCACCCTAGCCTCCGGCATGGCGGCGTGGTATTATTGGTTACACGGAACGCATAAAGTCTTGGCGGTTGCCGATCAGGAAGAGCTTTGTGAAGTGAGGTCTCGCATTATTTGATGACGAGCACATGGCGAGCATGGTTCTGTGGTAGGAAATTACCGCCAACCGTGTCAGCCGTGGAAAGCCAGCGCGTCTCACCAAATCAACCAAGTTTCTACCAAGATGAAGACGCGTCGCCAAGTTTGCACTGCCCCTTCGTCCCGTATTTGAAAGTGCCAAGAATCAAGGGAGTTTGGTGGCGTTTTTACGGTTCGATTCGAGCCAAAGCGGCACGCTAGCGAACACGCCCAAAGGACGCTAGAAACCGCTTCCAAAGTGGCAGGCGATCCATCATCACTCTCCTGTCGCAGCTCTTCACATGCAACACCATCTTCACCCACCACAATGCTACCGAACTCCATATTGTCGATTGTGATCGCCTTCGCCGCAACAGCGCTGGCAGCAGACCAGGGACCGGAAGTTTCTGGACCCCTTACTTTACAACACCGACCGCACACCAACTTCGAGACGTGCCGGTCATCACCCTCAAAGACCAATTGCGGATTCTGTTATATTGGAAACACATTTTTGGGCTGGAATTGCGCTTGCGACACATTTGTGAGTTGATTGTTTTGTCGTGTTTGTGGGCGCAGGGCAACATCTAATGCGGTCAACAGTGTTCTGGAACCATGGCCAACTGCTATTACATTACAGAGGCGGCCCCGAGCACCTGGACCCAGGTTACCTGTCAGCGCTGAGGAGAGATTCACTACGGATATTGGAGTTTGGTGACACAGGCCACTGGAGGCGCACGATGAAGTGGGAAAGACGGCCGACATCTCGAAGATGATCGCAAGCGAGCAGGGCAGAATGTTCAAACATTGGATGCTGAATGGGGGAATGCTGGCTGTTTGGCAACAGACCACGGAGGAGGAGACTCGGGCACGGAGCAGGTTGAAACGAAAGGTTGTAAAGTGGTAATGACACCCACTTCTGCTCATGGGAGTTCTCGGTTTCATTTCTGCATGTCTTTTGGTGCCTCAGACTCGTCACAATACACGAGCCTACAATCTCTCCCTCGATGCGAGTACCCTTCATGCCTGCTTGGCGYTGATGATGTCCACAAACGCAGGCTTGAGCGAGGCTCCACCAACGAGGAAACCGTCGATATCCTTCTCCTGTGCCAACTCCTTGCAGTTCTTCTCGCTCACGCTGCCTCCGTAAATGATTCTCGTCTTCTCCGCGGTATCAGCACCAAGCTCCTTGCTGATCCACGCACGAATAGCAGCGTGCACCTCTTGCGCCTGCTCCTTGGTGGCGACCTTTCCAGTGCCAATGGCCCAAACGGGCTCGTAGGCTACAACAACCTTGCTCCAGTCCTTGACCTCCTTGGAGACGGCGGCAAGCTGGGCAAGCACGACGTCCTGGGTCTTGCCCGCCTCACGCTGCTCCAGCGTCTCACCACAGCAGAGGATGACTCCAATGCCACCGTCGAGGGCAGTCTTGGTCTTCTTGGCGATGAAGTCCTCGGACTCGTTGAGGATGGTACGGCGTTCGCTGTGGCCGAGAATGGTCCAGGTGATGTTGCTATCCTTGAGCTGTGAGACCGAGATCTCGCCGGTGAAAGCACCATTTGGCTTGTCGAAGACGTTCTGTGCGGCGACCTCGATTCCGGAGCGGAGATGCTCGCGAGTGAGGAGCAGGTAGAGTGCTGGTGGTGAGATGACGACCTCGGTGTTGGGGTCGACCTTGGCGTCGTTGAGGTGCTTGACAATGTCCTTGRTGCCGGAAATGGTTCCGTTCATCTTGAAGTTGCCGCCCACGAAGAACTGACGCGCCATGATTGCTGAGTTTGAGGGTGATGTGAGGTTGAACTGGGGTTGATGAGGTTGATTTTAGAGTTGTACTGTTGTAGAGGGTTGTTGGGTCGTGTTGTTTCTGGAAAGAAAATAGAGGGGCACGCACGATGAGTGGGGGGACCTATGACGCTCGCCGATGTTTGGTCGAAGACAAACATTTCCGAAAGCTCCCGACAATTCTCTGCGTACCTTACCTTCACATGTACAATCAATCAATCAATTCCACAGCATCGCCAAAGTCCATGGCATTGTTTCACGAGGACCGAGGCGAATGCTGAAAGGCCCTCGTCGATGAATAGCGTCCAACGTCTCTCCAAGAAGAGGCCAGCTCTGGAACGTCGAGTTCAGCTTCTGCTGATGCGGACATTCGAGATATGCGTGAGAGGTATGGACTAGGACCTACACCCGCCAGTAGCATGTCTGCGTGAGGGATCTATCGTACCATTTTGACATCCCTCAAAGGGGAGCACTCTAACCGGGCATCCAGCGATGAAGCATCGCAGATACTCGGCCCGCAAGACAGCCCTCTGGCACTACCGCAATCCTGCAGTCCGAAGATCAAGAACAAGGAAAAGCAGTCCCGCTTCGCTCAAACTTGGACAAATGTCTCGTGTACTATCACATTCCATTGGGCAACGCTGGTCTGCACTTGGGAGATCATCCCAGATCTCAAGATCTGCGAAGCTGTCGATATGAGAAACTATCAACAAGAGCAGCGCCCGGAACTACTCCTTCACTTGGCTGACGGGCTACTCTGCTAGTGATTAGGACTCTAGCAGGCCTAGAATCGTCGAGTCTGTAGAGAGCGAGGCCTTAGGACATTGTAGGAATGATCCTCAGATCGACAGCTCTGGAGATCTGAGCGAGCTTCACAAGCTGTACATCGATGTCAAACTGGCAACTTTGCTCGCTTCGGGAGATCCGGCAATCAGGCAGAACCATTAATGTCACAGCCGCTACATGCATGCGTGAGGAGTAAGTACGATGATCGTACGCAACTTCTGACATGTGCGGGGTTTGCTAAGAGAGCTGTCAAGTACCTTGTACCTTGATCACCACTGACATCGCTCGCGATCCAAAGGATGTCGTGTATGTTGCTCACCTGCAGGATTCGCGTCAGATTCTCCCCTCAAAACATGGGAGTAAGTGAGGGGTTGGGTCCTTTCCGTACGGCCATTGACGAGGTCAGCCATGTTGGCTGTGGATGATCAACCCGGACGATCGGTATATGTATAACTCATTCCCTTATTGCACGGTTCAAGTAGAGAGTTCCCATTACATCTCACATTTTTCCACAATGCCGTATCATCATCGACTTCCAAAGGATCTTGAGCCCGATGTTATCATCGCGGGAGGTTAGCAAGGCATACTCCACGACGTAACACAGGATCGTTACTAAACGCTTTTAAAGGTGGCCTCGCGGGATGTGTTATTGCGGGTCGTCTCGCTGAAGCTGACAAGAAACTGAAGATTCTGGTCATTGAGCAAGGCCCAAACAACTATGGCATGCCAGAGGTCGTGTATCCTGCTCTTTATCCACGCAACCTCTTCCCGAACAGCAAGATCACCTTGTTTTGGAGAGGAAACAAGTCTGAGAAACTCAATGGCCGCGGACCAATTGTTCCGTCTGGAGGGACACTCGGTGGTGGAAGTGCTATGAATTGGATGGTGTACACTCGGGCTCAAAGATCTGACTTTGATTCTTGGAAGTCGGAGGGATGGTCTGCCGATGAGATGCTGCCATTCTTGAAGAAGGTTCGTGACATCTGCTTGGTCTACAGGATCTTCTCGAACGATTGATCGATTTCGTGTCTGGTTGCTGACATGGTGATAGCTTGAGACATACCACGGCAAAGGAGACAAGGAGAGGCACGGTGACTCCGGTCCTGTCAACATTTCCAAGGGCACGCACGTCTCCTCTGCATCAGAGAATGCTTTTATCGACTCCGCTGCTGCCCTTGGTTACCCCGAGGTGGCGGATCTTCAAAATCTAGACACTAATAACGCAACCGAACGGTACTATAAGTACATTGGCCAAAATGGTAGACGTCAGGATGCGGCTCATCGTTACCTGCACCCGAAGCTTCAAAACACCGATGAATATCCCAACCTTCACGTCTTGACCGAGAAGCAAGTCTTGAAGGTGATCTTCGAAGGCAAGAAAGCCGTCGGGGTGGAATATCAAACGAACCCAAAGTATATGGCCAACCCTGAATTCCTGGACGTTGGCTACACCTCTCCACGCATTGTGAAAGCGTCGAAGATGGTGATCGTCTCGGCAGGTGCCAATGCTACGCCTGGTATCTTGGAGCGTTCCGGCGTGGGCAATGCTGAGATTCTGAAGAAGGTCGGCGTTGATGTTGTTGAGGATCTTCCAGGTGTAGGGGAGGAGTACCAAGATCATCATCTATCACTATGGGCTTACCGCACCAACCTACACCCAAGGGAGTGCATCAATGGTTTCCAAGATGGTCGCTTCAACATCGAAGACGCTATCAGGATGAATGATGAGCTGCTCGGTACGAATGCCATGGACGGCCAGGGCAAATTCCGGTAAGTCAAAGAGGATCCTTACACACACCAACGTCTACTAACATTCGTACAGACCAACCGAAGAAGAAGTTGATGCCCTTGGACCAGAATTCCGTAAAGCATGGGACCGCGACTTCAAGAACGTTCCCGATCGTCCTCTGATGATCATGGCACTCTATAACTGGTATGTCTCATGTCTACTGGTTCTAGCACCTCGCTGACGCAAAAATAGCTACTACGGCGACCATTCCATCCTTCCCGACGACGCCGAGTACGTCTCTCAAGCTAACTGGACCGGCTACCCATTTTCCCGCGGCTCCACCCACATCACCGGCAAGTCCATGGCCGACGCACCAAACTTCGAGACTGGATGGCTCAAAGACGAGGATGACAATGACGTGAAGAAGCACATCTGGGCTTACAAGCTCTCCCGTGAAATGTGGCGAAGAATGCCCATCTTCCGCGGAGAGTTGGCCATCAACCATCCTGAATTCCCCGAGGGAAGCAAAGCCGCTGTTGTTGAGCGGGCCGATGGTCCACTTACGGATATGAACGACAGGACTTCTCGGATCCCATACACTGCTGAGGATGACAAGGCTATCGATAAGAAGGTCCGCGATATCCTGAGCACGACTTGGCATTCTTTGGGAACCTGTAAGATGGCTCCTAGGGAGAAGGGGGGTGTGGTGGATCATAAGTTGAATGTTCATGGAGTGGAGAACTTGAAGGTCGCAGATTTATCCATCCCACCGGAGAACGTCGGTGCCAATACCGGAGGAACCGCATTTGTGATTGGAGAGCGGGCTGCGGATCTGTTTTTGCAGGATCTGGGGTTGAAGAAGTAGGATGTGAAGATTCAGGTGGTAGGCAACACGAACGTGCCTTATACAAGGAACTTTCCTCCCAGCTGCTGTATGAAATTGAAGGTTGCCGCGCTACTTACCTGTACCATGCAAAATTGGTATTTTCTGCAAGAACGACAGCACGATTATGAAGACCTTTGGCTCTCCGCAAGGCTGTTGCTTTTTGTGCTTGTAGCTACCAGTTCGTGAGCGTTGTCGTCGATGTACCACAGGGAGAGGCGGCAATTTTCAATTTCACCGGCCCTGTTGTGAGAGATGGAGGAATTGGGACCACGACAGGATAAGCACAACGAGGATCAAACAAGATAGAGGAAGGAGTGGTGGAGTAACTGCGTGTATATCAGTGGTTCTCACTTCACCGTGGACTCTGCACATTACATGCACATTACATCATCCACCATCCACACTAACATCTGATTTCATCTGACAAGAATGCTCCTGGCACAGTAGAAGACTCATAAGCAGAAAAGAGGGGATACCGATTGCAACTAGCTATGCCCTTTTGAGCTATGAAATATTGCCGAGGGCTCACCCTCGTTGCTCCTCCTGAAGTGCTCCGTCGTTGGTGCACGGCCTCGCTGCGATGTAATCCTCACCCCTCCTCCACGTTCCGTGTCATTGTCTTGAATCATGTTCGCGTGTCCCGGCCTGCTGGAAACCCCACCCAATAAACGCCTTGGCAACTCAAAGAGACCGTGCTATCGTGCGCAGGCCCGGCGAGGCCGTGATTTGCATCGAGGAAATGTTGGTGACGGAAGATAAGGACTCGTAGAGAGCTTATGCAGCCTTGCCGAAGGTGTTCTCGCCGGAGTATCTATCAAATCATTAGTATTACATCTCAATCCCCAAGACTAGATTTGGACATACGTGATGTACAAAAAGCCGTCCTCGTCTTTGTGTTCCTCGTAGATGGAGCTCATGAGAGCGGCGGTGGGCGGTAGGACCTCGTCGACGAAGATGAAGATGGCCTTTTCAGGGCTGAGCTTGATGCGCTTGCGGATCACGTAGACGAACTGGCCCACTGTGAGGTCGGCGGGGACCAGGTACTTCTTCTTGTCGATGGTCGCGATGTCCGACTTCTCGACCTTCTCGCAGATGACCTGTATAGACTGTCAGCGAAGTTCCGCGCGGCGACATCAAGCGCATCGCTGTGGCAGCACCACCGCGGCGCGCACCAGCGACGCATCTTGGAGGATCGTGGCAACTCACCGGAATCCGATCGGCGTACTTCTGGCGGATGCGCTCGGCCTCGGCCTTGCGCTTCTCGAACGGGTGCTCGTCCTTAAACTTGGAGCGCATGCTGGCGGTTGATGTGGTTGTGGTAGGTAGCGTGTGTGCGGTTTGTTGTGTTGGGTTGGATGGGTTGTGGCGGATGATGTTGATAGTTGGAGGTAGGTAGGTTGATGATGATTCGGAGGAAGGCAAGGCAGCCAGCAGATCAGTCACTCTACCTTACCTTAGGTACCTATCAAGCTCGGGCGACGGCGGGGTATCACGCGCGAGTTCCGTTGCCGCTTATTCACCGCAACGTTTGCTGGTCAGGATACAGTTTTCAAAAGTCAGTTGCTTGTGAATCCGATGATGATCGATGCGGATGATGCTAGTTCCAACGCGTACACAGCTAGACCGAGCGACTACAAAGAGCGTGCGCTCTCGTCCAACACAAAGAACGAGCGCATGAAAGTGGGGAGCGTGATCCAAAATGTGGGGGGCTCATCTGCTCATCTACCTCATAGCGCCAGAGACTATCATGTGCCTTGCAATTGGCAAAAGTCCTCTTTTGAGTTCGTGACACCCAACAAGCCGAAATCCCAGGTACCAAACGTTTTGAGGTGGGTATATTCATTCATTGCTTTCCCCAGTCTCGATGTTAAGCTGCCTCCAAATAATTCCATTAATCGCCGCATCGGAATGTTATATGCGACGCAAGAACGCCATTCGCTTGCAAACCAGACACATAGAAAAGGTTCATCACAAAGTAACAGTAGAAAAATAAAACTGATCCCACAAGAAGTCGTAATCCTCCACAAAGTTCCCAACCATGTCCAGCAGCGGCTTGTTCTTCAGTTTGGATGCCACGCCGCGGATCATTCCTTGCGTGACATTTTCGTAGAAGGCGCCACGCATTCCCCACCATGCTAGAGACCATCCGCGCTTCTTGATCTCGTCACGCTCCAGTTGCGTCAGGCCACGAGCACCGCCAGGGCGCCGTGTCTCGAGATCCGTCTTTGCGAGTTGCCGAGCGCCATATTCGATGCTCAGGCCGAGCAACCACGGTCTCCAGTCCGCCTTCCCACGGCCGCCCTCCCTTTGACACCAGTACGCCATCGCGGCAGCATATATGGCTGGTCGTAGGATGAACATTACTTCGGCCAGCTCTCCCAGTCCCGATGTTTGATGTACCAGTGCCTTTGGTGGCTTAATGTCATCGGCCGTGAGAACCTTGGATAAAAGATACGAAGAGATGTCGTCTGGATTTGGAAGAGGGGGCAGGGTTAATGAGGTCCTGGGCATCGTCCACTGCTCGCTGCCAGCCTCTGATCTCTCGGATGGCGGGCTCGTCAAGGTCTCGTCTTCGGGCGCTTCCTTCTCCTCCACCACCACTTCACGCTCCGGAAGTGGCGGAGTCAACAAAGGTCTTGAGTTGGTTAGACGCATGAGTATCAATCGACAAAGCGCCTTCATAGCCTCCAGCAGCACCACTACCCTCCATCTCGACCTGTCTCCGCTTCGTTTTGCCATCATTTCCAGTAGAAGCTCGGTGTATTGTATCACTTGCAATGAAGTCGCTGTTCGTCGGTACAGCGGGCTCTTCTGGCAATAAAATCTCGTGTAGCGGTTGTGCGGAGTCTGATGTCGTGGTGCGGACTTTAGGGAATGTGCCAGGGCTCGGGAGAGGAGGTTGTCGTGGTATAGCGAAAGCAACTGTACTCCGGAATTGAGAGCCTCGGTGGATATGTCGGACATGCGAAGCCCTCCTACTTGGCCGTCAGTATTGTTATCGTGCTAATGCCACAACATCATCGTACCAGGAATGAGATATGTTACTGAGCGCAACGCGCCTTCCACCTGACCAACTGCTGAGGAGTTCTGTGTGATGAAGTTTGAATAACTTTGGGCCCATTTCGTCGGCAGCTTGACGACGACTTTCGTCTGCGCCGCCGCATGTTTGATTTTCTCCATYATGGAGATTGATGATGGTCACGATGTACGTGCTTGTGTTGTCCAAGGGTGGAATCAACGAGGAAGCCACACCTCGGCATGACATATCTGGCTCTCCGGCCTAATTCATTGATTAGATAATAAATTTTGAGTTTAGCTCCCGCTTTGATTGTCTTATCCATGTCGAAAAAAACGACTCCACTGGCGGATCTGAGCAGACATCAGACATCGCACTACCGAAAATGCCCGCGCAAAGAACCCAAGCGAATCGCAATCGCGAGCCCAAACACAACCCTCTCAGCGAAGACTACTCTCCTTCAGGCCCACTCAAACCCGCAAAGGCATCCAAAAAGCGAAAGTCTGGACAGTCGGAGGATGGACAGGACTATGTCAAATCCAAGCAGTCGGCGCGTATTCTAGGTCTGGGGAAGGAGTTGGAGGAGGAAGATGAGAATGAGCGATCGAGTAAGGTGGCCAAGCCCGAAAATCCGGATTTCTCATTTCGCAAGGATTTTGGCTTGGAGAATCTGAAGGACGATGAGGAGGGCGACGCAGAGGCGGGAGACGACGACGACGACAATGAAGAGGCTTGGGGCTCAGATGAGGAGGTGGAGGAAATTGAAGTGGACCCGAACGACCTGGACATGTTCAACAAATTCAACCCGTCCTTTGATCCAGCAACACTGCTTGAACCGAAATCCACCGGAGATGATGAAGCACAGGGACCAGGCACAAACCTCGCAGACTTGATCCTAGAAAAGATTGCCGCACACGAAGCCCAGCAACGAGGTGGACTCACACCCGCCACTGCACCACATCATGTCCAAGGCGGCGGCGATCCAGAAGATGCGGTGGAGCTGCCTGCAAAGGTTGTTGAGGTCTACACACAAGTCGGTCTCCTACTTTCACGCTATAAGAGCGGAAAGCTCCCCAAACCATTCAAAATCCTGCCCACACTACCTCAATGGGATATTCTCGTGGGTATCACCCGTCCGGACTCTTGGACACCGAATGCAACTTACGAAGCCACCAAAATATTCACATCATCCCGACCCGCTGTGGCGCAAGCTTTCTGTGCAGACATCCTACTACCACTTGTCAGGGAAGATATCCGAGAGACGAAGAAATTGAATGTGCATCTCTACAAAGCCTTGAAAAAGGCACTCTACAAGCCAGCTGCTTTCTTCCGTGGCTTCCTATTTCCCCTCGCCGGCAGCGGAACATGCACATTGAGAGAAGCCCAAATCATCGGAAGTGTACTGGCAAGAGTCTCCATCCCCGTCCTTMACTCCGCAACAGCACTGTACAGACTTTGCGAGATCGCCGCAGAGCAAATGATGCACGATGTCGAATCGGCCGGTGCTTGCAACATCTTCATCCGCACATTGCTGGAGAAGAAGTATGCTCTACCGTTCCGTGTTGTGGACGCTCTCGTGTTCCATTTCTTGCGGTTCCGCGCAGTGCACCAAGCAGAGGATGGGCAAGACGTCGACATGGATGCGAATACGATTGCYGGAAAGCGAAGGGCTGCGGCGGAGAAGCTTCCTGTGTTATGGCATCAGTCTCTCCTGGCCTTCGCACAGAGATACAAGAACGAGGTTACGGAGGATCAGCGTGAAGCATTGCTGGATCTCTTGCTTGTCAGAGGACACAGGGAAATTGGACCGGAAGTGCGGAGAGAGCTTCTGGAGGGACGTGGAAGGGGTGTGATGTTAGAGCCTGTTGCGGAGGATGCAGCAGGTGGTGATGACACGATGATGGATGCTTGATGTTGAAATGGAATGGAATGATGTAGCGCGCATTGAATGATACTTCGCACATTGGATCCCTACGATAGTTCTACGTCTAGCACGTGCAGCGTCGACTCGACGTTTAGTTACTACAAGGCAGTAGTCAATGCCACAGTGGTGGGACGAAAACGTCAGATATTGACACGTAACAGTTATAGATTCCTCAGCCAGGCATATAATGCCCAGACACCCCCTTTCTATGCTACTCTATTCGTCATACCGGCAATTGAGTACTCGATAGCCGCGCAAATTCAGCGCTTCGTCAATGACATCTACTTTCGGCGTTGCAAGAGTTCCTGCTGCAGTGGATCAAATCTCCGCCGATCATTGTTGCGCGATCAAGAAGTCCATGGTTATTGATGCCCCTTTATGCAAGGCTAGTCCCCGACGTCTTCGTGTGTCGATAACAGTTGTATTTGGCGAAGATTGTAAAAAAAGCTCGAAGCAGCGAATCGTCTGCTATCAGCGAGCACGACGTTGCGAAGACTCGTTCCAATTCGTAGGGGTCGTCCCTGTATGCCCCAATTCACTCGATGCGATCTCTGCTGTAGTCATGCGATTCCAGTACTGAAGAAGGCGGAAAGCCCTGAACCAAACAGCACAACGGTAGAAGAATCCTACAACAAGATGTCTCAGATGAGACACGTTGAGATGCACACCGCAGTCTGCCCAGTCGGAACCTCCCCGGCAGTATATCGGAGCATGACGACTCCCTTGAGCATGACTGTATGATTACAGCATCTTAATATCCCGTCAGGCACGCTTTCGTGCTGGGGTGTGTATCTGGGACCTGGCGTCGTTGGTTGCGATACCAAGCATGGCCTGGAAATCGACACCAGGGAGTGCAACATTTTAGTCCTGATCCTGGTCTTGAGGTAGCATTCGAATACAAGAGTAGCAGAGTCTACTCTTCTCAGGCGCATGCCCCTCGAGAGGGTTATTGCAAAGCTCACACTGCTCAGTCTGACTCAGCGCAGGAGTGACAAGCTTGCCAGTGGTCCGGACCACATTCGCGACGATCGATGGGTATTCCTTCTCGACCGAATCAAAGTACTGCTCCATCAAATCATCAATCGTGGTGTTCTTCGTGCTGACAATAGGCTTGACTTCAGCTGTGACGAATCCGTCATCAAATGGAGGTTCGATGAAAGAGACGTATGATTTCAGCTCTTTATTCAGTAGCTCTCGCAATGGATGATAGAATGGCACTCCGTGTAGAGACTCCCCATCTGCAACGGTCCAGGGAAGGGCGATGCCACGTCCTTTTGCAGTCTCCGCCAAGGTCCGTTCAGCCAACTTCGTGGCGCTGTAGTCCCATATGATTGACTCACAGTCGCGATCCTGCGCAAATTGAACCACGAGTCTTCGTCTGAGTGTCTGCTCCGTATCTTGTCGTGACGTTGCAGAGGTAGCATGATCCAGCACGTGCATTAGGCGTTGAGTGGCATCATTTGTCTGCGAGAGATCTTCGGCATCCTGGCCAAATAGCTTCGACACTCCCTCCAGGGAAAGAGCGTCTGATAGCTCGACCGTGTGGTAGTCGTGCTCTGGGAACCGCTCCTTGAGTTGTGAGAATAACGCGGTCGCCTCACTGGTGTCCGCCAAATGACTACGGTTCACATACAAAACGCAAAGTTTGAATCCCGTCCGACCAGTCTTCTCCACCTGTCCCTTGAGATGTTGGCTGACTACATGAAGCAAAGTCACCGAGCATGCATCGAGAGATACAGCAAGGAGCACAGATCGTTCATTTCCGGGCTCTGAATGTCGCACCCGAAAGCTCTCCAGCCGTTTCACGACCTTGGTGTTGACATATTTGCCAAAGCAAGCCTTGCACAAAGGCTCGGTGCGGACCACGATGGCGGGCTCGACAGCCTGGCATCGCCTACACAGGCTGGCGTTGATGGGATGGTCGGGCAAGCGTCTTCCTGGCATGCTTTGTTAGGGTGTATGGTGATGTACACGACGTGAGGAAGCTTTTGTGAAGTCGGTTTTTGGTTAGAATCGTGCTAGACCGCGGATCCCTGCTGACTTCTGAGTTCCGTCAAGTTTTACAGGAACCACCACGTTGCAAACGTAGCGCATGAGTCTAGATGCAGACCTGAGTCGGACCTCACTTGTAGCATCATCTCCGTCAAAACACACCTCTCCCTCTCTCTTCCACCCAGCGATGCCTTTGCCCTTTCCCGCCAAGCTCACGGCATTAGGTCGGAACATTTTGAAGATGCAGCAAAACGTCATTTCACCAGCCGCCAAGAAAGTTCCGGATCGTTGCCGCTTTATTGCGGGGCCTTTGACTTTGGAAGTTTGCTTCTAGACTTTTATAAAGACCTTCGTTTGCCGCATGTTTGTCGTGGCGAGGAAAGGCACGCGTTCGAACGACCAAAGAGCCCGGAGGAGGGGAATCAAACGCGAGATACTCACAGATTATCGCGAGAGGTGGCACCAGAATCGTCCCACATCMGCGATTGAGCTTCCCCTTGAAGCTCGCCATCCAGTGGCGCTTCCATACCCTTGCCGACATCCATCATCACCTTGGCGTCGCATATTGGCTCTCTTGGAGGATCTTCGAAGTCTTTGCTCCGTTTCTTATCTGAGCGATTCCCGCCCTCTTTCACATTGCGCCCAGCACGCCAATCCTCCCACGAAGGCGCATCGCCCGCCCTCACAACACGCTGGATCCACTCTCCTCCGCGGAGCTGCACGGCAAGCAGATCTTGGGCTGGAACCTCGGGGAAAAAAGCTTGGGATGCAGCCGCATGAGTGACGAACAAGTCTTTCACTGCCAATTCACACAAGAGTAAAGGCCAAGCAAGATGTGGGAACAACTGTCGATCAACCGGCCGCATCTGGTCTACATTATTCTCGGAGGCTTCACAACGCTGTTCATGCTGTGTTCTTCCATCATCAAGGAGAGACTATACATAGGTGAAGCTACGGTCGCTACACTTTGCGGTATCATCTTCGGTCCTCACGCTGCAAACTTGATCAACCCTCTGACATGGGGCAATCCGGATCAAATCACTCTCGAGTTCTCTCGAATCGTCCTGGTCGTACAATGTTTCGCCGTGGGCGTCGAATTGCCCAAGGCTTACATGGAAAGGCATTGGAGGTCGGTAACTTTCTTGCTGATCCCAGTCATGACATTCGGCTGGCTCATCACCAGTTTGTTCATCTGGGCTGTCATGTCGCCCAATCTGAATTGGCTTGAAAGTCTGACGATCGCGGCTTGTGTCACCGCCACCGACCCTGTCCTGGCGTCCTCGGTCGTTGGAAAGGGCAAGTTCGCAAAACGGGTTCCCAAACATCTGCGAGATCTCTTGTCCGCCGAGTCTGGCTGCAACGATGGCATGGCGTTTCCGTTCATCTACCTGGGCCTCTACCTGCTCAAGTACCGTCCTCACGCGAGTGAAGTCGCATATCACTGGTTTTGCTTCACTGTCCTGTACGAGTGTATCTTTGGCGCATTCTACGGCGTTTGTGTGGGCTACATCGCTCGAAGGGCCGTTCGCTATGCCCACGAGCGAGACCTAATCGATCGAGAGTCGTTCCTGGTGTTCTACTTTGTTCTAGCGTTGTTCTGTGCCGGGTCTGGTTCGCTGCTTGGTCTGGACGACCTACTCGTTGGTTTCGCTGCGGGCGTGGGTTTCAGCAACGACGGCTGGTTCACTGAAAAGACCGAGGAATCTCACGTGTCCAACGTTATCGACTTGTTGATCAACTTGGCTTTCTTCGTGTACTTCGGAACAATCATTCCGTGGGCGCAGTTCAACAACGGAAATCTTGGTCTGGACGTTTGGAAGCTGGTTGTCATTGCCATATTGGTTCTGTTCTTCCGGCGCATTCCAATCATGTTGGCATTGAAACCAGTCATTCCTGACATCAAGACATGGCGAGAGGCGCTGTTCGCTGGCCATTTCGGACCTATTGGAGTCGGTGCCATCTTTGTGGCAATCCTTGCAAGAGCAGAGCTCGAGACGGACAGCACAACGCCTCTCTCAGCTCTTCCTCCAGAGTCCACAGAAGAATACAACGTGATCTACTTGATTTGGCCCATTACATGCTTCCTCGTAATTTGCTCAATCGTTGTGCATGGATCCTCCATCGCCGTTTTCACGCTCGGCAAGCACATCAACACGCTCACCCTGACCATGAGCTACACCAAAGGCAACGATGAACCATCGTGGATGGAACGGCTGCCGAGGATTCAATCTCGCTCCAAGAGTATGATGTCTGCGCAGTCTCTCGATGAGAAGTCAGGCCCCGACACCCTACCTATGGCTACTCCCGGTACCTTCCTGCGTCGACAAAAGGAGGAAGACAATCCTAGCAGAGCACAGAGTCGTGCATCCTCCCGTCGCCGGTCGAGGAGCAGTAAAGGAAAGACATGGGACTACGGCATTGGACCGGGTGGTCCTGTCAGCCAATCGGCTATCGAGCCGGCTCGTCGGAGGAACAGCCTCGACCAACAGCAGAGTCGCAGCGACTCTGACACTCTTGCAATGAGAAGTGATCCACCGTCGGATGCCAAGATCAACTCTGAGGATAAAGACAACGTCAGTCCAGGAGAAGCCGGTGAGATATACGAGGAAGGAGGGCACACTGTTTACGAGGACGAAGACGGCAACGTGCTCGCAGTGGAGAAGAGTAATGTCGGCGAGCCTAGAGATGCTCGGCAGCGTGATGAAGTTCGGGAAGGAGAGCGTTWAATGCACGAGTCAGGAGCGGACCGACATCATGGCGTGGCTCCACGTACGGAGCCTAGCACAGATTCTGGCGAAGACGAAAAGGAAGACCAGACGTCAGCGCAAGAGGAAGCCGGAAAGATGCCAGAGCGACCGGCCAAGAATTGGCGCAACGGTTTGAACGTCGTGGGCACCATGAACCGCCTCCGCAGGCGTGATACCGGCGGACAAGCAGAGTCAAAGCCTGAGCAACCAAGAAAGCAGGCCAGCGGTCCTGCTCGTGCTTATCAATACGGCAATACCATCATTGTCGAAGATGAGGACGGAGAGGTGATCAAGAAGTATGACATCCCTGGACCCGAGAGGAAGGGAAGCACCACTGCCGATCCAGAAAAGTCCAAGCAGAGACTCGGTCAAATGAGCAAAATGCTCGGTCTGAGCGGCAAGGAGCAGAAGGACAACGTCGATGGTGGGTCCGACAAGGCGCGTGCGCCTGCGGGTGACGACGACGACGATGACGACCGTATCCGCTTCACGATAACTGCCGGCGGTAGACGGATGAGCAAGGCTCAATTCATCGACCAAATCCGAGGAATGGACCCCAAGTCGCGCGTTCAAGCTGTCGAAGACAGCAATGCGCCAGAAGCGGTGAAACGTGAGGCGAGAAAGGACTTCAGAGAGCAGTCTCTGGCTGCTGGCGAGTCGAGTGACGCGCCTCCACCCTTGGACCGAAAGACTTCAAGAAGAGGCCGCAAGGAAGCTGACACAAACGACAAAGCCGCTCTGAAGAGAACCTTCAGCAAAGAATCGAACGAGCTGATGTTGGTGGACACCAACCAGAAGGAGGTCCCCATCCACAACGTTTCTTCAGATTTGCGAAATCGACGTCGACAAGGGGATGAGGGCGAGACTGCCGCAGAGCGGCGGCGACGGCAGGCACTGGAGCAGCCACAAGCCGATGAAGATTCCGATGACGATGGAACTGATCGCGTTCCACCAAATTGCCGTGCTGTCCCTGCAGGTAGCACACCTGGTCAGCGCCATACCAGCAACTCTGGCGAGACTGCTGCCGAGCGACGGCGGCGAGAGGGCGCATTGGGCATCACGGAGGAGGCAGGCAGCGACAGCGAGGATGACAACCAACCTCGCGAGCCACCTCGCAACATTCGCTTTGCGGATCAACAGCCATCTCAAGGTTCGCAACYTAGGCAGAGCGTGAGGTGGGGGACGAATGTGGGTCGGTAGTAGAGATATTGTAATTTTGTGAAATCAATATTTATCACGGAGTAAGCGTGTGCGCGATACTCAGCATAGGCCTTCAAATGAGACACGAATGATGGAAAGAAGAACACAATCAAGGTTCATCCACATGTCGTACAAGTAGTATCGCTAAATATCAAACTATCTTCTGCACTGTATGCTAGGTATACTACTGCTTCGGTGAGATCATCATCTCTTCATTCTCCACAATCGGGCGAGGCTCAATCGAGGWCTTGTTCTTCTCGTTCTCTCCCACCGGCGCGATGGTGCCCGTGAAATCATTATTGTAGTCGGTGTTCGTTGACAGGACGTACTCCTCCTGATCGATGTGCTTGAAGGTGAACCAGAAGACAACGGTGAGAATACCGCCGGCGATGGCGCAACCGCCAAAGTCCCAGGTGAGATATGGGTCCTTGATCACAGCAGAGCAAGCAAGACCGATTACGTATGCGAAAGCGGTGCTGAAGAGGTTGATGGCGGAGACCAGACCTCTCATGTTGACAGGGGCACGGGAGTAAGCAATGCCGTACGCAGGCACGTTGACAAAAAGCTCGGAGATACCGCCGAGAGCGTATGGAAGAGCAGCCCACCAGATGGTTATTGGTGCGACACCCTCGCCAATCTCACACTGGCCAGTGGAACCAAAGCGACCGCAGGGTCCCAATTGGTAGGCCTTGGCGTTTAGAACGGTGTAACCAACGCCTCCGAGCGTTGATAGGGCGAGACCAGTGGTGATACGGGCGACCGGGCCATAGTGGATTTTCATCTTGCGGAGAAGTGGGTAGAGACCAAAGTTCAGAACGGGCATGAAGAGGATGATGCTGAGGGAGTTGAAGTTGCTGATGACATCGTTCGGTACACCGCTTGTCCTCAGCATGGTTGTCAGGTAGCCAGCAGCCTCGCCAATACCGTTGTCGTTCAGGTACTGGATTGGGAAGAAGCAGAAGATTCCGGTTGCCTGGAATGTGCGACGAACGTCCTCGACGAACTGGTCATTCCAACTTGTTGAGATGGTCTGACCCCTGGCAGCGATGACAGATGGCTTCGCAGATTCCCAGAAGCCATGTCGACCAATTTTCATGAGGCCTCCATTTTTGAGACAGATACCAAGGACTCGGAACACGTTTCCAAGGTCACTGCCACCAGGTGGGTGGAGGACCACGCGCTTGTAGAGGAACCATAGGAGTAGGGGGAGTGGCAGGTACAGGATCAGAGGTAGCACGTACGCGAGCCAAAAGCCGACGTACTTCTCGGCGTAGGTTGTAGCGACTCCCATGAAACCACCAATGTTGATGAGCAGATAAAACCAGAGTACGACTTTCTCGGTGGTCGCTTCTGGGTCCTCAATAACTCGCTCGCCAGATTTAGTGGTGATAACCGTAGGAACAGTTGTAGTCATCTGATCGAGAAGGAGGGGAGAAACGTTGGGTTTAAACATGGCTGGAGAGTGGTCAGCGACTGTACCGCATCAAGTATCAGGGATAAWCATACCAGCTCCTGGAGCAAGGAGATATAGAGAGATGAAGAAGGGAGCCTTGGCGGTACCAGCCTCCAATAGACCTTTGGCAGCAGAGCCAACCATCAATACGTGAGAGACACCGCAGACTGCGATACCCCAGCAAATCATTTTCCAGCGTCCAGTCTTGCAATCGGCGAGCCATCCAAACACCAAAGGAAGAGCATAGCTGTGAAGAGGAATTATCAGCTTTTGCCGCAAACAACACAGCTAGAGACCTTTCCGGCAGGCTCGAAGTTACTCTACTTACACCAACATCTTGAAGGACTGGTTCACGGCGTTCGCAGTAGAAGGACCCATGCCTAGAGCGCCGGCAGTCTGCTGAGTTCCAGTGGGTGGTGCACCCCATCCATTGCCGCCTTCCGGGAGCGGACGGTTGACAAAGTTGCTGATGACTCCCGTAACACCGTAGTACGAAGCGCGTTCGCAGAACTCCACAATACACAGCATGTAGGCGACTGTGGGAACCTTTCCAGGTACACGACGAAGAGTCTTCAATTCCTCCTCGGTTGGCTTGCCCTCATAAGAGCCGACCATCTGGATGGGGTCATGGTAGGCAGTGTGAGCGCCCTTCTCCGGGTGGTCGTCAATCGACGAAGATTCACGCGTCGACGACATGGCGGAGCCTTTGGGAACGTTAGCAGATGTCGTCTTGGTGGTGGTGCTGCAAGCATCAATCCCCGCCGGCAAATGCTGAAGGCAAGACGGTGAATCCTTGACGATGACCAAAAYTCACCTGGCGTGAAATGACAAGAACCACTGGAATGCGAAAGAGGGTGGATTAGAAGGCGAGCACGCAGGTCGGCGCCAGGGGCCAATATATACGCGACCCGTCTTCATGGTATCGCACGCGACCAGTGCCCGGCTCAACCTGTGCGCGCCCACCAGCTTCGGCCCTTATCCGGTTATGGATAGCTCGTGTCCTGCGAAGACCGCGGTTATGGTTCGAGGCAGGCCGTTGCGTGCCCTCGTGGCAAACCCTGCGCCTGAATGCCACAAGTAGCATGGGAAGGTGCCATTCGTGGCTCCGGACAGAGCGAGCTCTACACGGAAGGATTTCCTCCATTCTCCTCTTCTCCAATCATCGTCTATGGATTATGCTCCCCACATCCTTGGGATGATACCTTCCTCATTGGGGTAGGATGTGTCCTTCAACCTGTTTCCGTCAATTTGATTGTGCAGGAAACAGACGAAGTGAATGAATCCACCACATGTCGTTGCTGTTGCCATGCGAAATAGTTCTGGCGCGGCATTTCTTCGAGAGTGCTTGGAATGCTTAAGGCGGCTCGGCGAAAGCGCGGCGTCGTTGAAAGACAGAAACAAGACAATCCGGGTGGTCTGCCCTTTCGAGCTTAGGTGCGATAARGTGCCGGATAGAGTTCGTTCTGGAAGCTCTAGCTCCGGGGCGCGAGTCTGGGCACGATTCGCAAATGCTCTAGTTGATAACGCCATGCGCCGTTTGAGACAAACTGATACGACTTGCGCCGGCGACGCCGCACGACCTCACGAATGGGATGCACTGTTCGACGCCTCTTGACTTACCGCGCTTCACGTATCGCAAGGCCCACAGAGCTACGGCTAGCAAGGATCGCAACCATGCAGCACAAGAAAGGTATGAGAGAGGAGGTCATCAGTCCGCCTTTGGCAACTCTGTACCATTTCGTGCATTGGAATCTGATGATTTATGTTCTGTCGGAAGGGACATCCTGGGATRATCATGCTGCTAATGTCATATGGTCTGTGCTGCTTTCATGCCGCTGTGAAGGCCGTGCCACGCGATATCTACAACCACCGCGTGCTGTGCGTGCATTGAACTGAGAGATCGCTGCTCTGCCGCTACTCCTCCTCATCCCACGCCCCTCCAACATCCGCCCAACCTGCGCGCCATCTGCCTCCACCAACTTCGCCACCCGTCCGCAACTCACGWGCCTTTTGCGCGTCCTCCCTCCAGCATCGCGCGGAGAAATCGTCGCTCACGGATATCAAATTGCCCTCTGTAGACCACGCCAAAGAGGTAACCTCTTTGTTGTGTCCTCTCACCAGCGCTGTGCCGTGCTCAAAGATGTGAGGGCCGAGCACTGGTCCTGTCGTTGATGGCGGTGGCATGGATGGCAAGTCGAACTCATCCTCCTCCTCGTCGTCGTAGATCAATGGTGCACGTCCTCCGCGAGGGAAATGGCGGTCGTCTGTGGGAAAGAGGATTGGATTGCTCTCTGTATTGCCGACAGCAAGCATCTCTCCCCGGCCATCTTTCGCGGGTCGTATTGACGCCTTGATGTAGAAGCTGCCAATACGCAAATTGAGGTGTCTGAATCCATAGAGGGGCGCAAGACCAGCCTTTGGCTCGGTCGGTGTGCGCCGTCTGCCCGGGTGGATAGACATTTCTGGCACATGGCCGAGGACGAGCTGATTCGTAGAGTACACGTAAGTTGTGGCATCTCTGCAGACGGAGTATAAGCGGGCACCATCTCCTGACATGGCCATTGTTGCGATACCGTAATTCCGTGTGCGCCTGTGAGATTCCGGAATAGGGGTGCTGCCCAGAGCTACTGGGTTTCTTCTCCCAGCGCCTCGAACATCCCACACCTTGATCGAAGCATCCACCTCGCTGGCTGTGATGATGAGGTGTTCACGACCATGTGGCATATGCTGGAAGGAAGTGATTGAAAGCTCGTCGCGCTCTCCGACGGTAAACGGTCTTCCTGTCGAGCGATGCCCGACGCCAACGTCCAGGGCTTGTCCATATCGGGTTTGCGTTTGTACCTTCCCGTCAGCGTCGATGTTGCGGCCGAGAGCCACTCGCAGACTCTGTGCCGGAGCCTTGCCACCACATCGCAGGTCCCAGACCTGAATGGTGCCGTCTCTTGAACTTGTGGTGACCACATTGTCGTCATTCGGCMTGAACCGTACTTGCTTGACGCTGCTTTTGTGGCCGATCAGCTGGCACATAGTCTGTTGTGTCTGCATGTCCACAACGCGAGCGGTCTGGTCACCACTTGCAGTGGCAAGCATGTAGTCATCCGAGGAAAAGCCAATATCCATCACCGCGTTCTTGTGCACGCGGAACGTGACGTGGGTTTTGCCGAAGCTGGACTCTGCACTGGAGTCAATGAGGCGCACGCTTCCCTCCTCATCGCCCACAGCAATCAGAGGGTTGGTATTGCAACTCGTCGTGCAAAAGGGAAGGGCAGTTCCTCGAAAGGTGTGGATATCATAAGGATTTGTGACAAAATTCGCGGTCTCTGCTTTCCAATTTGAACCATGATCGGGTGCTTTGCGATGGCGTGAAACAGCGTCGTATCCTCCGAAGCTTCGCTCTAGTATTCGTCTCGACGGGCCAGGTTCACGGAGACGGCGTATGGGCTTGGGAAAGGGTTTGAGCTGCTCGAAAATGTCCGGCAGGGTCTCGGCCTCAGAGAGCGCCTCGTCTTCCATATCATCCTCGAAGATCAAAATGGGGGCGGGCTGAATGGTTTGCGCATGCTTCAGGGGTGATGACTGTAGAGGCGGCGAACTCGCGACATCGACAGAGAACTTGCGTCTCTTGTAAGGTCTTGAGGAGAGTAGATCGTTCTCGCTGCCGTCCAGGACATCCTCCCCCAGCAAAGATATAGCGCCATGTCGTTTATTGACGCCATTCCGGGTGATGTCACGCAGCTGCCTTCCTGCTTTGCTTGGGCGGTTGTTGCGTGCAGATGAGGTGTTTCGTGGAGTGAAGAACTTGGTGAACCTCTTGGGCGTGACCGTCGGCGGCTTCTTGATCTTTTGGCCACCGATGAGCGAAGACTTGTTTGAGGAACGAATAGGCGATGAGGCGATGGCAATGGCTTTCTGGCCGGCCGGTATGCCAGTCTTGTCGCAGACGGGGGAGGAGCTCGGCAGATCCATGGCGTGTGTGACCTGGTAGGCTGCGTTGTGATGATGCTGTCTCGAGGGATGCATTGAGGAAAGGATCAGAGAAGTGCTGTCGCGTGTCGCGTAGTCGCGTAAAGAGGCTGGTAGCGGCAGAAGTGGGTCTCAAGCTTTGCCGATTCGTACAGGTGCGACAAAAAAATTGCCTACATCTCGAATTCTGATAATCACCGTTCCATACTACAGCAAACATGGCGTCCGTGAAGAGGAAAGCCGTCACCGATGACCGGCCAAGCAAAAAGGTAAAGCCGGCTGATGTGAAGGAAGAAAAGAAGCCAAAGGAGGCGAAAGAAAAGAAAGGACGGAAACCGCAGGAGGATGATGGCGGCGAGAAGAAGCCGCCAGTCAAGTCGATTCTACAACAGGAAGACCGCGCCTTTCCCCGTGGCGGTGGGAGTGTCTTGACGCCGCTCGAGCACAAGCAGATCAAGGCGCAGGCCGAGCGGGATGTGCTGTTGGAGCAGGAACAGGAGGACGGTAATGCGGCAGCAGGCGACAAGAGCGATGAGCCAGCGCTATTCGCCGAAGGCGCCGCAGCTGGGAAGAAGAAGAAGCGCAAGGATGGACGAAAGAGCTTCGGCGATGTCAAAGTCGAGGGTTCGGGGTTGAAAATCCAAGGTCTGAGTTACAAGAGCCTTGTTGTCGGCAGCACCGTACTGGGCCGAGTGACCGCCGTCACCGGAAGAGATGTTGCACTCGCGCTCCCCAACAACCTCACTGGATATGCACCCATCATCGCAGTCTCTGACAGGCTCACCGCGCGTATTCAAAAGCTTCTGGACGAGGACGGTAAACAGCAGGACAGCGACGACGATGATGTGGAGGATGTGGACCTCAAGAAGCTCTTCTACATCGGGCAATGGTTGCGCGCTGTCGTCACATCAACTGGAACGGATCCAACAGAGAAGGGCGGGAAGAGCAAGAGACACATCGAACTTTCACTGGATCCCGGACACGTCAATGGTAGATTGTCTGAGGATAACTTTGTTCTCAACTGCACGATTCAAGCCTCTGTCCGAAGTGTTGAAGACAACGGCGTTGCCATGGATCTAGGTCTCCCCGACGCGAGCGTGCGAGGCTTCATCAGCAAGAAGGAACTTGGCTCGGCCTATAACTTGACGCAACTACAAGAAGGTCAAGTAATGCTGTGTCTGCTTACCGGAAAGTCCCCGAATGGCAAAGTGTTGAAGCTTTGCTCCGACCCGAACAAGTTTTCTGTCACAGTTCCCGGCAACGTCAAATTACCCGTTGTCAGCGAGGCACCAACTGTCGATGCTTTCCAACCCGGAACCACTGTTGAGATTCTCGTCACTGAGTCGGGCAGTCGAGGTGTTGTCGGGAAGGTCATGGGCATGCTTGATGTTACTGCGGATTCTATCCACTCCGAAGCCTTCAATGAGGAGGATATGGTCAAGAAATATAAGATTGGGTCCAAGACCAAGGGTCGCATCATATACGGGCTTCCGCAAGACGATGGTGCCCGCCGCGTGGGGATATCGATCCTCGACCATGCACTCGCACTCATMCCTCCTCCCACAAGACTTGCCGAGAACTCGACTGCAAAGAACAAGACGCAGTCGGCAGAGCTCGACCAACCCCTGGCTCTCTCGGCCATCGTAGACGATGCCAAGGTCACTCGCGTATCTGCAGACCGTGGCATATACCTTTCTCTTCCTGGCAAGACTTCAAGGGATGCACCATCTGTCGCATTTGCCCACATATCCCAAATATCGGACCACCGCATCGATTCACTGTCGGCGTCTGGTCCATACAAGGTCGATTCTACACACAAAGCTCGCATCATTTCCTACAACCCGGTCGACAATATCTACTACGTATCGTTGAAGCATTCAATTCTCGGTCAGACTTTCCTCAGGCTTGAAGACCTGACCGTCGGCGAAATCGTAAAGGGTACGGTCGCCAAGCTCATACTGGGCGGCGCAAAGGGTGTTACTGGTGTTCTTGTCAAACTGAGCGATAGCATCACTGGTCTTGTGCCCGAGATGCATCTCAGTGATGCACACTTGTCCCACCCAGAGCGCAAATTCAGGGAGGGGCTTGCAGTGAAAGCCAGGGTTCTCTCTGTCGACGTCGATAAGCGTCAGGTACGGCTGACCCTGAAGAAAACACTGCTGGAGACGGATGACGAATCATCAATCTGGAGTTCCTACACGGACCTGAAGCCTGGTATGGGGAGTCAAGGAACGATCATCAATCTCCTCCCCAACGGGGCTGCCGTGCAGTTTTACGGTGAGGTGAGAGCTTGGCTCCCGGTTGCTGAGATGAGTGAAACCTTCATCGAAGCACCAGAGAAGCACTTCCGCTTGGGCCAAACCGTCAATGTTAAGATTGTGTCTGTCAACCCAGGATCGCGGGAGATGAAAGTCACCTGCAAAGACAGCGGTGAATTCAGCTCAGAGCAGCAGCAGGCGTGGGATGATACCACCGGTGGTGTCATTGTCACAGGTGCTGTGACATCGAAGACTGCTGACAGTGTCCTGCTCGATATTGAGAATGGTCTCAAGGGCGTTATCAAAATTGGGCACCTCGGTGATGGGTCCGCAGCGAAAGCAGAAAGCGCGTTGAAGCGTATTCGTGTTGGCCAAAGTCTTGCAAACCTCGTCGTCCTGGATAAACTTGATCGCAGTCACACCGTGCAGCTGAGCAACAAACCCGCTTTGTTAGCGGACGCGCAAGCTGGCACACTCATCAGGTCGTTTGACGATGCACAGGAGGGTCGCAAGGTTCATGGCTTCGTTCGGAATGTCACACCGGAAGCTGTCTACGTTGAGTTCGCCAATGGTACGGTCGGTCTGCTACCAAAGAGTCAAATCTCGTCTGAATTATCCGCAAAGCCAGGATTCGGGTTGAGGAAGGATCAGACCTTGAGCCTGTGGGTGAGTGGGAGAGACAATCTACGACAACGTTTCCTATTGAGCATGAAAGAGGTCGGTGCCTCGGACGCCCAGCCTGCGAAAGCCTCAAAATCGGCGGTATCTCAGACTGCTACCAATCCCACCGATACCTCGGTCGCTACCGTGGCGGACTTTTCACTTGGTAAAGTTACCAAGGCCTGCGTGGTATCTGTAAAGGCTACGCAGGTCAATGTACGCCTTGCGGACAATGTCCAAGGTCGCATTGATGTCAGCGAAGCGTTCGACTCATGGGAAGAGATTGCCAACAAAGCCGTTCCCCTAAGCAAGTTCAAGCCAGGCGATTTGATCGATGTCAAGATTMTTGGCATCCACGATGCACGTAACCACCGATTTTTGCCCATCAGCCATCGCCAAGGCAAAGTTCCAGTGTTTGAGTTATCTGCGAAGAAGCAACGGATACAAGCCGGAGATGAATCTCTGCTCAGTTTCGATACAGTCAAGCAGGGCCAGTCGTGCTTGGCATTCGTGAACAATCACGCGGAGAACTGCGTTTGGGTCAATCTCTCACCCAACGTCAGAGGACGCGTTGCCCTCATGGATCTCTCGGATGATGTCGGCCAGCTGCAGAACGTCGAGAATCGATTCCGAACTGGGTGCGCGTTAAAAGTGAAGATCAAGTCGATTGACATCGCCACTAACAGACTTGACTTGTCTGCAYGGCAGAATGAAGGATCCGCCGGTCCTCTCAAGTTGAAGGATCTCACCCCCGGAATGGTCCTGCCTGCCAGGGTCACCAAAGTCTCCGAGAGTTCCGTCCTGGTAGAGATCTCTGATAATCTTGCTGGACCTGTCCCTCTTGTCGAACTGAGCGACGATTATGACCAGGTCAACACTTCACAGTACAACAAGAATGACATCGTGCGGGTTTGCGTGCTGGGCGTAGACTTGCCGAATAAGCGGGTATTCTTGAGTTTGCGTCCTTCCAAAGTTCTCAGCTCGAGCCTCCCCGTCAAGGACGCTCAGATCACGGACGTGTCGCAACTCAAAGCCGGAGACATCGTTCGCGGCTTTGTGAAGCATGTAGCCGAGAAGGGCGTCTTCGTGGCACTGGGCGCCCGGGCGGACGCTTTAGTGCGCATCTCTGACCTGAGCGACCAGTACATCACAGACTGGCAGAGCATTTTCGAGATTGATCAGCTTGTCAAGGGCCGAGTTCTATCGGTCGATGCCGCTAGCAAGCAAGTCCAGCTCAGCTTGAAGAAGTCACATGTGGACAAGAACTACACTCCGCCTCTCAGCATCGACGACTTGAAAGTTGGAATGATTGTCACTGGCAAGGTCAGAAAAGTCGAAGAGTTTGGAGCTTTCATTGACATTGACAACACCATGCCAAGACTTTCTGGACTTTGCCATCGTAGCGAAGTCGCGGCGAAGCGTGTTGAGGATGTCAGATCTCTTTACAGCGCTGGAGATGTTGTCAAAGCCAAAATTCTCGACGTCAACACTGAGAAGCGCAAGATCAGTCTCGGCTTGAAAGCGAGCTACTTCACGAACACCGAAGAAGAAGATGGGCAAAGCGAAGACAGTGATGTCGAGATGGACGATGGTGGCGTGGGGGTTGACACTGACGAGAGCGACGAGGACGCCGATGCACCTGGCGGTGTCGATCTCGCGAACGTCCAAGACATGGAGGACAGTGAAGACGATGACATGGATGCCATGGACGACATGGATGTTGACGCGGAGCTAGCGCCCAAATCCGGTGTGGGTCTCAAGACTGGTGGCTTTGACTGGACGGGCGACAGTCTCAATGCTCTCGACAATGGTGCTGTCTCCGAATCTGAGCACGAAGGCACCTCCAGCAAGAAGCGCAAGCGCAACAAACCTGAGATTAAGGTTGACATGACCGGCAGTCTCGACGTGGACGGCCCAAAGAGTGTCAGTGATTTCGAGCGACAACTTCTCGGTCAGCCCAACAACTCAGATCTTTRGATTCGCTACATGAGCTTTCAGGTGCAGCTTGGTGAAATACAAAAGGCACGGGACATTGCCGAGCGCGCCCTGCGCACAATTCACATTCGCGAGGGCGAGGAGAAGCTCAACATCTGGCTAGCTTGGCTGCGACTCGAAGTCAATTACAGCGATGACGACCAAGTGGATGAGGTCTTCAGGCGGGCGTGTCAGGTGCAGGATTCTTTGGAGATGCACGAAAAGATGGTCTCAATCTACATCGACCATGGTAAGAACGACAAGGCCGAGGCTGTCTWCGAGAAAATGGTGGCCAACAAAGCTTTCCGTGCCAGTCCGGATGTATGGATGAATTATGCGACTTTCCTGATGCGTACGATGGACGCACCAGTGAAGGCTCGTGCTCTGCTGGCGAAGGCTCTGCAGTCCGTCCCGTCAAGAGAACACCGCCAGCTCACAGCAAACTTCGCTGGTCTGGAATTCCGCTCGGACAACGGTGATGCTGAGCGAGGCCGCACCATCTTTGAGGGTCTCACTGATGAATGGCCGAAGTGGACAACTGGATGGGACATGTGGCTGAACATCGAGAAGTCCCGCATTGCCAGTGCTCAAGGCGATGAGGCAAAGAAGGAAGCGAGAGAAAAGACTAGGGTCTTGTTTGGAAGGATCGCTGCACAAAAAATGAAGAAGCGCAGAGCGAAGATGGTTTTCAAGCAATGGCTGGAGTTCGAGGAGAAGGAAGGAACCGAAAAGCACATTGCGGATGTCAAACAGGCAGCTCAGGAATATGTTGAGAAGCTTCAAGCTCGGGGCGGAGATGAAGACTTGTAAGACGTTATATGCAGTGTACCAAAGCATTCGTACCGTATGTGCTCCTTGCCAAAGTGTTGACATGAGAACAGTGAGCAGCTAATATGAGCCTTGCGATCGGTACAAGTTCGAACCGAATTGTCACGGAAATACACAATTGTCTTCTCTGACTCCCTGACCTGATCCACTTTAAGGATTGCAACGCCTTGGCAAACTTCACCTTGGCTTCATCTTCTGGAGCCGCGAAGACCGACACAAAACATCAACATTTGAATACAATCTCAATCAACATCCCCCCAGTATGTCCATCATCTTCTTTGACATTGCTTCCGGGCCACCGCTCAGGACATTTGCGCCGAATCCGTTCAAAACACGTCTTGCTCTAAACCGCAAAGACATTTCGTACCGGACACAAGCAATWGACATGCCAGACATCACCGCCGTTCGTGAGAAGTTAGGTGTACCTGCCAACCGTACCCTACCTGATGGTAGCCCTTATCACACTCTTCCGGCCATTCAAAATCTCTCGACTGGAGAGGTCATTGGAGACTCATTTGAAATTGCCCTGTACCTCGACAGAGTCTTTCCAGACAGTCCACGACTATTCCGTCCATCAACGATCGGCTTAAGTGCAGCCTTCAACGCCCAAGTTGACGCAATCTTCACGACATACGTTGGGTTGGCGGATCAGATGCCAATTACAGATACTGCAAAAGCAGTCTTTGTTCAGAGACACGGGGTGAGCTCGTGGGAAGACCTTCGATTGGAGCAAGGGAAACGACATGAGTTGTTTAAAGAATTCGAGGCAGCTCTGGGCGAACTCGCAAAGGCATACAATCACACGGGCGGAACTACCGACCATGTCTGGCGACCTACCGGGACCGACCCGGCTCAGAAGCAGAGGCCTCCTCCGGAATTGCGGCAGGCCGGTCCCTTTCTTGATGGAGATGAGCCTGTCTATTCCGACTTCATTGTTGGAGCGTGGCTGAACACGATGAAAGCGAGCATGCGGTCAGAAGAATGGCAGTGTGTGAGCGAATGGCAAGAAGGTCTATGGGGAAGGGTGCTTGAGGCTCTCGAGGAATGGACTGATATGAAATGTAAGTCTAGTTGTATGCCGATTGTGCATTTGTTGAGCTCATGTTTCGTTCAGGATACCACGGTCCATGGGTGCAGCTGTACCTCTTTGACAAGCTTCAATATTGGATTCATGTCAATCAATTTCCCCAATTCCTTTGTTCCATAGTCTTGATCCGGTACACCCAATTTCAAGATGTACCTAGCTCTTTATGCTGTCCAGGTAACTAACACAGAAGGCATCGCACTAACGTCTGAAACTCACCAACGAAGCGTCGCCATCATGTGGAGACTCACACTTATCAATGTGCTGCATCTGGCAACATCGATCAACGCACAACGATATGACGGTCAGTTCTGGCCCTGCAATCCACTGAAGAACGCAACAGGCGCCTGCCCGCCAACTCGGGGACTACCAACAAGCACATACTCGGTCGACTTTACGAAGCAAACCTCGATACCTGCAAACTGGACAATTAGCAACTGGGCTACTGTGAACTTTGGGTCTCTTGGAGCGGAATTCACCTTCAACAAACGATTTGACAGTCCACAATTATGGACCGATTTCAGCATATTGTTCGGGCGAGTCTCCGTCGTGGCTCGGGTTGCTAATGGTACTGGCATGATCAGCTCGGCAGTGCTCGTATGTTCATGTGAATTGGTTTATTGTAATAATCGAATGCTAACACTTGTACACAGATCAGCGATGCCTTCGACGAGATCGACTTTGAAATGTCGGGAAACAACTTTGGTCATCCAGAATGGAGCGCCGGCAAGGGACAAAACAACTACTTCGGCAAAGGCATTACGGGAAACTATGATCGTGGCAGCTATTTTGATATCGCAAACCCACAAGGATCGTTTCATACATATACATTTGACTGGTCGCCCACGGAATTGAAATGGCTCGTTGATGGCAAAGTCGTGAGGACGCATCTTGCCAGCGATAGCGACAAGACTACGCATCAGTACCCACAGACGCCTTCAAAGTTTCAACTTGGRATATGGGCTGGTGGCGATCCTTCTTCGAATCAAGGAACCCGAGAATGGGCTGGAGGATATACGGATATGGAGGGTGGGCCGTATACGATGTTCGTGAAGAGTGTCGTGATTGAGAATTACAAGCCTGCTTGGGCGTACAACTATACGGATCAGAGTGGAGATTGGAGGAGCATTGCTTTGTTGCAGAAGCCACTGCCGGATGTGAGCGGGAGTGCGGTGTCATCTTCGAAGCCTGTGGCTTCTACGTCAAAGAGTACTTCCTCATCTGTGGCACCGTCTGCATCAAAGAGCTCTACTGGTCGTGTGCCACCGAGCTCGACTGTTGGGCCTTTGACGACGACTTCCTCTTCGAGACCTGTGACTTTATCGCGTCCAACGACCCTCACAAGTGCTACACCATCGATCTCGACTGTCAAGCCTTCAAGTTCGACTGTCAAGCCCTCAAGTTCGACTGTCAAGCCCTCAAGTTCGACTGTCAAGCCCTCAAGTTCGACTGTCAAGCCCTCAAGTTCGACNCAAGTTCGACTGTCAAGCCCTCAAGTTCGACTGTCAAGCCCTCAAGTTCGACTGTCAAGCCCTCAAGTTCGACTGTCAAGCCCTCAAGTTCGACTACTCCTGTGAAGGTGGTGTCGACAAGTTCGACTGTCAAGGCTCCCACGTCTGCTGGAACTTCCAAGCCATCGAGCGCTCCGTCGCAGTCCTCTCCAAAAACGAACTCCAGCAATGGGTCAACTCCCGCTGTTCCAAAGCAGCCAACAGCAACAGCAACTTCAGTTGTGAGCAAAACCTCTGGTTCAAATCGACCCACTGCAACCACCGTAAGTGGGACCAAATTTGTGTATTCCTATACCTCGACAACCAAGTGTACTACCACTACGACGCCCAAACCCACGCCAACGCCATACAAGGTCAGATTGGGCAAGGCGAGTGCAGATAGTTGGCGATGGAATGGATGGAGCAATCAGTGGYACGGCCATCGCAAGCCAGCTGCGAGAAGACGCCCTACTCATACTCATAGACGTTAGATAGCCACCATTTCTGTATTCTCTCCCCTCATGTGCTCCATGGAAGGCAAATAAGACGGTGGATCTATAATTCACACCGCTGTTTGTGGTGGCTGTGTCAGCGTGTGGTCTCGTGCCATGGATGCGTCCCCGTTGCGAGAGTCACGAGACGCAATGACAACGTCGACACGCCTCATTGTTGGCAGTTGAGATCGTAAGCTGTGGTCCTTTCATGTTGACATGGATGGTAGACCTGAATCAGATCGAAGTTAGGAGAAAGAAAGTGCAGCTAAAGAACCTCCATGACTAGGTAGGTGCTGTAGTGTAGGTAGGTAGGTACCTTATTTTAGTGAAGGAGAATTAATCGGGGTCAAAGGGACTGTCCACGCTAAAATATCCATCTGCGGGTACAGGGATAGGCATGAGGAGCACAACATCTCCGTCGCGTCCGCCACCCTTTCCACCCTGCAGCTGATGCAATCTTGGGCCGTTGACGGATTCATCGACGAGTCCCTGCCGTTCTCTGTCACAATTCCTTCATTCCACGAGAATTCCTCCACCCCGCGCGGCCGTTGATCGCGATACCAGCCACCACCGTCTTGACTACCACGGCTTCCTCTCCTTCAACCATTCCACTCTTTTCTTCCCTGACCAAAGGCGCACTCCTCCACGACGACAACGACCGCTCGACCGACTCGACCATACTCCTCCACGCGACACATACCGTCTGCTCAAGCCATGTTCAATTGACGGCGCCGCGAGCTCGCTGCCAGTACTCAGCACACGGCTTTCGGAGGTCTACGTCGTAGTTATTGGCCACGCTCATACGCATACACACTGCAAGCATGGCCCGCCCTGGTCTTTTTCCTCGGGCAGATACGCTGGACCTGCAGAGTCCGGACAKTCCTTCGGCTGCTGAACATCCCACGCCCGAACCGATACAAGCCAATGGACTGGCGCCGCACGTTGCGGCCCAGGTGCACCATGTGATGGAGGAGCGGCATTCCGAGGAGCAGACGCTGGCAAATGCTTGGAATATTGGTGACAGTCTAGACGACAATCCCGATGCCAACGACGATGATAAGGCGAAGAACGGCCAGCAGAATGGCGCCAATGGCAGTGGGGACGAACAAGGCGACGGCGCAGACCATGACGACGCAGACGATGACATGATGGACAGGATATCGAGCTCGCCGAGCATCGACGATGGTGGGTACCCTCTGCACGATCCCTCTTCAGCAACACCGCGCAGGGTCCGGCCGCTTCGCTCTAGCAGCGTGTCGCCAACATCCTCGCTTTCACAAACTGGCGAGACTTTCAACCAGTCCGCACTTTCTTCACCAAGCTCTTCGCCGTTTACGCAAACACCGCAGCATCTGCCGGTATGCGCAAGAACGGTCGAGATACAGCGGTCTCCGCTTGCTTGGCGCAAAACGCATTTCACGCCCGCTTCTACAAGCGGGATTTCTCCTTTTACAGCGCTTCAACATCATCTCAAGGGTAGGTATGGCCAGCATCGGAAACCGGCAGCGACCAGGGAAGACAGCAGCGACAGCGAGGACGAAACGTTCATTTTCGAGGATGAGTATGCAGAGGACYGAACGCAGGAGCATGTAAGTACCATGGCCGGCGCGTGGCTACCTGAGCGACGACGAAGCGACCTTTACAACAATCTGCGACCAATCGAGAGTCCTTTCCGCCACCATATCTTTACTCCTGGCATGGCCGACTTGGACCACACGATTTTGCGACCATCACCGAGCATGAACAGCATTGCTAGTGTGGACCTTGATTCCTTGTTATTGCCCACGGACGACCCGCTGCTCGAGGCACCCTACTCTCCTGATGGATCGACGAGCTCGTGGGAAAGTCTGTCTGGATCCGAATCGGACACCTTCCATAACGAGGACACGGAAGATGATGCAAATGACGCTTTCTTAAATTCTGACGCTCGATTCATCGATTCTGGCTGGGCAGGCGAGTGCTTACGTGAAATAGAAGATATCGATTTCGAATTTGTATACGCGCTACATACTTTCGTCGCCACCGTCGAGGGTCAGGCGAATGCTACCAAGGGTGACACCATGGTGCTGCTTGATGATAGCAACAGCTACTGGTGGCTCGTGAGAGTAGTCAAGGACAGCAGCATTGGTATGGAGATTCCTTGGATTTCCCCTTCAAAGCATGCGACTAACACATATGGACAGGCTACCTTCCTGCCGAGCACATCGAGACGCCGACCGAACGCCTAGCACGGCTGAACAAACACAGAAACAWTGACGTTTGTTTGCTTTGTCCCTGTTTCCGCACATTCGCTAATGCAGCTTAGCTCTCCGCCACGATGTTGAGTGACAACTCGGAAAAATCCAGGAATCCACTAAAGAAGGCCATGCGCAGGCGTAACACCAAGACTGTCCAGTTCGCAGCGCCAACATATGTGGAGGCCTCCGACTACGATTATTCCTCTTCCGAAGACGAAGACAACATGATCGATCCGTATGGAAGCGCTTTGCAAACGGGGAACAGCGCAAATGCGGATTCTGAAGCCGAAAGCGACGAAGCAAAAGCAGAAGCGATAGATACCACCTCAGAGGGCCGGTCGAGCACATCTTCGAATCGCGCTTCGTTTGATCGCGAGCAGGCTGCAACCGCAGCCCAAGCTCTGGCGGCTGCCGGTGTGACTGGAGATGACGAACCGGTCTCTCCCAAACTGGTTGACAAGACTGGTGAGTTTGAGCGTATGTCACTAGATTACAACAGAGTACCAACAGACTCGACAGAAGCAGCACCTTTGAAGTCCAGGAAGTCGAGAAACACGGACTCTTTCCTCAAAGACGACACAAACGAGACACGCAAAATCACCCTCACCCCTGGGATACTGCGCGAGGAAAGTGGATCGCTCAAATCTCAATCGCCCGTCGCTGAGGAGCCTAAGCGGAGCACCAGTCTGGAGATATTGACCAAGGCCACGACTCCACCAGAGTCATCCAAGAGGGAATCGAAAGATAAAAAAGAGCCGAAGAAAGGCGGCTTGCTCAGCGGCCTTTTCAAAAGCAAGAAGAAGGATAAAAAGGCAAAAGAGGACGCCAATGATGCCGATTCTGAGAAACCGTCATTCGAATCCCCGCGAGCAAGCCCCCTACCGAGTGGAACCACGTCGCCGGTCGACAACAAGTACATTAACGGGATGCAATTCCCTGCAGCCGGCAAGGGCAACCTCGAGAGAACAGTTTCCAATGAAGATGTACGTGACTCGCCGTCAGACTCGAATGGTATATTCCTCGCGGAGCTGCCCGGTTCAGAGGTCGCCTATGAAATGGCCACAGGTCACGAAGATCAAATCTCCGACGCGCAGAGTCGCAGTGATCTTGAAGCAGTGTCCATGCCCCCGGAGAAATCGGGCAGCCTCAGCAATGCTCTCTCGCCATTGACAAACGTGCTCAAAGGAGGAGCCGACAAGGAGAGCAAACCAAAGAAGGCCAAGCGTGCCAAACAGCGGGTGGAGCTTGACGACTTTGACTCTCCACCTGAAGAACTTGGTCAAAATCCATTCGACGACAAGGAAGAGACCAGCGAGAGGTTATCGGAGAGCCCTGTGGAGATCAGCAACAATACCTTTATGCACGGTACTGAGTCGATWCACATTCCGATGCCAGACGCCATGCCAGAGTCCGGCGACGAAGAAGAGGAACGCGGGCCTGGTAGTCTCACCAGCTCCCCGAGCCTCATCGACCATCCTTCGGAGCCCCTGGAGGAGGACGAAATGGTGGAGGACAACGATCCAACGCCCACAGCACTATCACCGCAACCTCAGACCATGCAGACGCGCGCCGGGGAAGAGTCTGGGCAGGACACCTTGTCATCGATTGACACCAATACTGGCCGATTCTCATCACGAGCGTCACTGGCCGTCTCACAGCAGTCCTGGAACGACAAGGGTCTGCGTGCCTGGCTGGAAGACGGTACCGAGGTACGCGATATGCTCGTAATGATTAATGACAAAACGGGCGTGAAACCAGCGCCTGCCGACCACCCGTTGATGTCGGGCTTGTTTGTAGAGGAACGCAAGGGCGTTCAGGAAATGATGGGACAGCTTGACGGTCTGCTTGGGAGTTATCTGCAGCGCAAAGGAGTTCAGTTCTGATGAGCAGGCACAATGGTTTGGCACGAGTTCCTTTTATTCTCTGATGCATGTATATACCCTTTTGTTATGGGCACAACAGAACAGAAAAGAATCTGATGAGAGTGATGCGCGCTCGCTTTCCTTTCACATCACTTCTCTCAGCACGACTGCATTGCTCCTTCAGTCTTGACGCATGTGATCGCTCCGCCCGCCTAGTTCCACTGCTTGCCTGGAGAGAAGCTGCGTGGCGATCCATTTTCCTTCTTCAGTCCTACGTGAGCCATGCCTTTGGGCACGCCAAGGTCGATCTGGCTGCCGTTGGAAGTGGTGACGGGAAGACGATGTGGCAGGGCCGGAGATCGTGCCTGGGGCATACGCTGCAGGGTGAGTGCACGCAGATTCTCCTCCAGCCGAGTGAGGCGCGTCTTGGCCTCGTCCACCATGACGAGGATGTTGTCACGGTCAAGGAAGAGTACATCAACCTCTTGCTTGAGGGTGATGAGGACGGGGTCTTGCTCGGGAACGGCGGCGGCCACCTCAGCCTGCTTAGCCTGGTAGGCAGCCAAAGCGTCGGCGGCTTCCTTGGCTTGCGTATTGAGCCTCTCCAGCTGGGCATCGACGCCTGCCAGCTTCTCATCGAAGGAGTCCACACGGGTGCTGCACGTCTTGATCTTGTCACCCTGGACTTTGAGAAGAGCGGCGGAAGTGGCGACGCGGCCGTGAGTAGCTTCTTTCTCCAGGGTAGCGAGACGCTTTTCAAGACAATTCATACGTTCCTTGTCGTTTGCGTCGGACTTCTCTTGCTGTGCAAGTTTGAACAATTGGCCCTGGAAGAGCTTCTCAACCTCTGTCTGGCGCTGGAGCTCATCTAGAAGATGTTCTGGTCAGTATGCCGGTCAATATCTCCCAGGACGAATGGAGCTCAGAAGTGCAGAGCTACGTACAGAGGAACATGGCCTGCACGGCGCTTGCTGGAGGGAGACGATTCTTGCAGCTCTCGCCAATCTTCTTGAGGCTCTCGCTTGTGTAGGTCGACGGCGACTTGCTCTTGGAGTCTGGCGAGGCTCCATGGGGCGGGGAAGATGGGTAGTCGTCATATTCGACGGGCTGCAGACGGCCGAACTCTTCATTGGCCATGATGGCGGAGATGTGTGTTGATGTTGGAGGTGTGTTGCGCGGTTGCGAGGTTGTCGCAGTGGAAGATACGATTGAAGAAGAAATTCACGCCATTTTGATACACAAACCTCAAGGCAGGTGCGATCTTCTGGCATTTGACAGCGCAACACACCAGTGATGACAGTAAAAATAAGGCATGGATGGAAAATGCATTCGATCACTTTACTCCATCACATACCTCTTCTCAACTATGGCCTTGATGCCCTACTCCTGACCATCTACCCAACTGATSACTGCCCAAGTCGGCGACGGTGTCTGCGAGACTCATGCATCGAATGGACACAAAGGACCTCTGTTCCACACTCTCGATCTGATAACTCTATGAGAAATCTGATCGGAGGATTGTTCGCATTGCGTGCATCCGACATCATGGCTCCCGACTATCTAGGCATCCAAAACAACGTGCAAAGGCGGACGCCCAGGCAGTTGTCGGGTTAGTTCGAATGGCATGACGAAACACAAGGCAACAACGTTGGAACACGCAGCGGTCACATAGCGGGAGTGAAGCCGTTGAAAAGATGGTTGGAGACGCGTAGACGCGTTACTCTAAACACGCTAACATGGGTGCACGGACGCCTTCACGCGCAGGTACTTCAAAGAGAGACGCTCCGTCACGTCCTTTGATTCCTTTCAACATCCACAACAACCCTCTCGCCTCACCATCTTGCAACATTGTCCATTCAAACCACAGCCATTCCACCCAGCATATCTACTCAATCAACATGAGCGTTCAAACAACGCCTTCCAAGAAGGTGTGTTGGTGTCGTCGCCACGATCACACGCGGCTGCTAACACCACATTGCAGGCTGCCTCCGCCCTCGAGAACCTCAAGATGCAATCACCCCTCAAGAAGATTGGCCTACAGTCAGAGGCAGACAAGGAGAACATCGAAGCGCGTTATGAGTCTTGCGAGGTCGCTGTCCCCATCAAGGGCATCCCAGAACAGGCCGAGGAGGACGTAGTAGCCACCGTCGCAGTCTCGTCAGAGAAGGATGATAACGAGGATGAGCCTATACTCAGGGAGAACGCACAGCGTTTCGTGCTGTTTCCTATCAAGTACCACGAGGTATGTTGGACAAAATCTCGACACGCGACGCGCTGAGACGCGTCCAAGTCGCGCCAAGTAACACATACTAACAAAAGCACTGTAGATCTGGCAAATGTACAAGAAGGCCGAGGCCTCATTCTGGACTGCAGAGGAGATTGACCTGTCCAAGGACCTTCACGACTGGAACAAAAGACTCAATGACGACGAGCGATTCTTCATCTCGCACGTCCTCGCCTTCTTCGCCGCCTCCGATGGCATTGTCAACGAGAACCTTGTTGAGCGTTTCAGCGGCGAGGTCCAGATACCAGAGGCACGTTGCTTTTACGGCTTCCAGATCATGATGGAGAACATTCACTCGGAGACATACTCGCTGCTCATCGACACATACATCAGCGAGCCCAAACAAAGGACATACCTGTTCAATGCCATTGACAACATCCCATGCATTCGTAAGAAGGCTGACTGGGCACTGCGATGGATCTCGGACAAGAACTCAACCTTCGCTCTCCGTCTTGTCGCCTTCGCCGCCGTTGAGGGAATCTTCTTCTCCGGCTCGTTCGCCTCCATCTTCTGGCTCAAGAAGCGTGGCCTCATGCCGGGTCTCACGTTCTCCAACGAGCTCATCTCCCGTGACGAGGGAATGCACACCGACTTTGCCTGCCTGCTGTTCTCCCACCTGAACAACAAGCCAGAGCAGAAGCTGGTGCAGGACATCATCACCGAGGCCGTCGACATTGAGAAGGAGTTCCTTTCGGATGCCCTTCCTTGTGCTCTTCTAGGCATGAACGCAACACTCATGTGCCAATACATCGAGTTTGTTGCCGACCGTCTATTGCTGACGCTGGGCAACCAGAAGTTTTACAACGCCACCAACCCGTAAGTCTATTCTCATTCCACCCACGCAGCATGTCTGACCATCATTTCCAGATTTGACTTCATGGAGAACATCTCCCTCGGAGGCAAGACCAACTTCTTCGAGAAGCGTGTCGGCGAGTACCAAAAGGCCGGTGTCATGGACAGCATCAAGAAGCAGGCGGCCAAGAAGGAGGGCGCAGACGCTGAGCCCGTACCCGTCATGAACGGCGACTTTGCTTTTGATGAAGACTTTTAGATGTAACGTGTTGATTGAATGATTGAATTGGCGTCTGGTTGGGATAGGCTGGCAGGGCAGATATTGCCTTGGGCCACGGCGTTTGACCTGGATCGGTCTCTTGATAYCTCGCCTCACATCCGACAGCAGCGGAGCATATGGGCTCTGGATAAATACTGCAATATGCAAAGACACGAAGATTTACGCAAATCTATTTCTGTTCTTCACGCGCTCCGCACGTTCCTGGCCGCCAGGGATTGCCTGTGGAGCAGGATTTGATTGTTGACAGTCTCCACAATTGACAATGTTCCGAGCCATGGACCCATGCAACCCGTGGTTGGGCTTGACGACCAGTTGTTGGCAGTTGAAAAGATGCGCCTGTTGCTTGGAATCCGATGCTCGAGCTAACGTACCGACAGGAAAGAGTGGCACATAATGACGTTGGCAGGAAGCGTTTCGCCCCGGAACCTTGGAAGTTAAAGAAACCTTAACGCATGTGGTACCAAAAGCATCCAAAGCGCCAACAAAACTTCCGGAGAGTTGTGGCACTTGTGGACTCGCCTGCAACACATCCTCCATTCCGCGCTGCTTGCCGACATCCCCTGCTGTTGCGACCCACGGGCCCCCTAAACTCCGTCCGACCCCGAGCTGTCGAGCCCGATTCCACCTTTACTCCCCAGGACCTCAGCCTTGCTCCGTCTGGGCATTCCTTTTCCCTCCCATCCCGATAAACAGCATGCTTCGAAGGAGGGCCTGAGCGGTCCGGTGTACTGTGCCGTCAATGAAATGGCAGTCATCGCGCGGCCACGGATCACCTTGACGGATCCCAACAATCAAGATCAGCTGCCATCGCCCGCGCAATCACCCATCAAGGAGTCTGGGTATGGATATCTCAATGGAACAATCACGACGTCTCCAGAAAGACCGGCCACGCCTGGATCTCGAAATGGTAGGTCGCGTCAAAAGGCAGATCACGCGCTGCCGTCTCGTCTGTTTCGCGTGGGATGACACGCGGGCGCTGACATGGTCACAGGAGCCGGTCGTCTGATGAGGACTTTATCGACCAACAACAACACACAACAACAGGCTCGCACGTCGCACGACGAAAGTCATGGCTCTCCTAGTATCGATCCTCTCTCGGCGCATATTCTTAATCGTACACAGCACTTGCCGCTGAACCTACCTCATACCGGATCGCCGCGACGAAGGCCCTCGGATGCTGGGAGTTCGCAGAAGGATGACCAACAGTCAGCAAGAGAGGCGAAACCAGTGCCGTCAGAGGTACCCAGGACGGATACGKTGGACAGCGCAGCAGCCAACAAGGATCTGCGCAAAGGTGTAAAAGCCGTCTCGTTCCTCTCCCGACTCATGGGCGGCGCGAAGAAGAAGGAGCTTGCAGATAGCGTGGACGACGCTGAATCGGTCACCAGCGATGGCAGACCCGAAGGTAACAACGCCGAAGTCTTCACGCAGAACTTGGGATTTAACCCCAGACACCCTCAGCCGCCTGCGTACATCAAGATGGGGTCACGGAACAAGAGACAGAAGGAGTTTGATCGCCTGTTCCTTGCGCAGGAATTGTACTGTAGTCCACAGCCTAAGATGGAACGATCGATGACTTCGAACAAGCTGCGCAGAAAGACCTCCAACACCCCCTCTGATGCCAACACCACATGGGCAATGGAGTTCAGTAAAGATGGCAAATACCTGGCTGCTGCAGGCGCTGACAAAGTTGTTCGTATATGGGCGGTTTTGTCAAGCGCTGAGGATCGGAGGAAGCACGAGCGCCAGGAGTTCAACGAGACGGAGGGCTCAAACACGAAGCATCTCAGCGCCCCGGTATTCCAGAGCAAACCCATTCGAGAATATCAAGCCCACACCGCGACCATTCTAGACTTGAGTTGGAGCAAGAACAATTTTCTCCTGTCATCTTCGATGGATAAGACTGTACGGCTATGGCATCTCAGCAGGGACGAGTGCCTCTGCACTTTTAAACACACCGATTTCGTTCCATCCATCTCGTTCCACCCCAAGGATGATCGCTTCTTCTTGGCGGGATCATTGGATTCGAAGTTGCGGCTGTGGAGCATCCCGGACAAGAGCGTTGCGTTCTCAGCCCAGCTTCCTGATCTCATCACCGCCGTCGCTTTCACTCCCGATGGCAGATATGTCATGGCGGGGTGCTTGAGCGGCTTATGCATGACCTTTGAGACTGAAGGCCTAAAATACCAGACTCAAACCCACGTACGGTCGACTCGAGGACAGAATGCCAAAGGGAGCAAGATCACTGGAATCCAATCTGCGTTCGACGCCAGCGGCGATCTCAAGGTCCTCGTCACCAGTAACGACTCCCGAATACGACTGTACAATTTTCGAGACAAGAGTCTAGAGTTGAAATTTAGAGGAAACGAGAACAACTGCAGCCAGATTCGTGCTTCACTCAGCGACGACGGTCGGTATGTTGTTTGCGGCAGTGAAGATCRCAAGGCCTATATATGGTCCATGCAGCAATCTCATGGCGAAAAGCGTGACAAGACCCCGGTAGAAATGTTCGAAGCTCACGATAGTGTGACGACTGTGGTATGCATTGCACCTACCAAGACTCGGCAGCATCTTGGCAAATCAGAAGACCCTCTGTACGACCTTTGCAACCCGCCTCCAATAACTCTGGTGAGCCATGCTGAGCAGGAGGAGTCGCTTTCGTCCAAGCCACCCACTGAGAATGGCAGTATCCACACACAACRGACTGAGCCTGAGAAACCCAAGGAATCCGCAGGATACTTAGCGCGATCCCTGCACAAGGACGGCAACATCTTCGTTACTGCGGATTTCACTGGTAAGATCAAGGTCTTCCGACAGGACTGCGCGTGGTCGAAACGACAGCGTGACGATTGGGACAGGTCATCTCTCTTCTCTAAGCGTGGTAGTAGAGCTGGCCAGCCTCCATCCGTTAGGACCACATCAAGTCAGCCAAGTCTTCGGGAATCTCGCAATTCGACCTCAACACAGGCCCCTTCAGATAGAATTCTCACATGGAGACAAGGCATGGAAGTGGCAAGCACCAATGGTGGCGCTGCGGACGCTCGATCATTGAAGAACACGAGCCGCAGCATCTCGCCTCGCAAGAGCCTAGAGAGCAAACGAGGTCGCACTGGTGGGAAACCTAGCAGTATTCGGTCTGTCCACCCTCTAGCCACGGATCAATCTGTACGCTCCCCTTCGCCCGTGGATTCGAAACCCGCAAAGGATGCATCGCCGCCACCGCCCTTCAAACCATCCGACGAGAGCGATCAGCCGAAGGAGAACCCTCTACTTCTCGAAGGCGACAGATCATATCTATTCTGGGACAAAGACGTATGGCAAGGGCACGCTCGTCGAATGCAGGAGATGTCAGAATCGCATGAAGACGTTGCAGCTACACCGTCAGACCCCGACGGCATARCAGATGGCTCGCAACTCTCGGTCCGGCCGCCCCTATATCATACCCATACGGCTGTGAGCTCGCTGAGCGATGAGCAGAGTAGCGCGGACGAATACGAAGATGCTAGAGAAGACGACATGAAGTGTATGCACTGCGGCGATGTCGCCTTCTCTGCACGAAGGACGAAGGACGGCAGTACGAAGCTGTTTTGCACAGTTTGTGGTTCTGTGGCTTCATGAGCTTGGCGGTGGGGGTTCTTGTGAGATATATAACGACGATGATGATCATGACGCCTGAGACACCATTTGGATAGGTGGCTTGCTTACGACGGGTTGTACAGTACCGCAAGAGATGGTAGGAACGCTCTCTAGAGTATAGATATCAACTGGTCGTTGAGATCTCCGTGAGATCTTCAAAGTAACATCTTCCCTGTATATCGTTGTGGTATCTGATTTCAGAGAGTATATGACGCGCTCCTCTCAGCAATTTGTATCGACGCAAGTTATCGGAACCATGGGCCATTTCACATACTATGATCATCATTTGTGTCCCCTCGAGTTGCCTAGTTCCATCGCATCAAGCTTGCTAAAGTTCCGCCTCACAACAACACCATCAACATCATGAAACAAATCCCATACTACGAGCGCGACGTTGATTTCGAGGCCCTCGCGAAACAAGACGCGGACTTTGCTGCCATCGCCCAGACTGCAAAGAGCAGAGGCTTCATCGATTTTCGAAATCCCAAAATCGTGCAGTATTGCCTCCCTCCCCTCAAGACAATTAAACAGTCATCATCAACACTACTGACTTGTCATCAAGACAACTCGCCAAATCACTCCTCAATCAAGACTTCAAGCTTTCGCTGTCCCTCCCGGATGATCGCCTCTGTCCACCGATTCCCGTCCGATGGAACTACATCCGCTGGATCCAAGACCTGCTCGACACGACAGACTCCTCTTACCGAGACACGCCAGATCCCTCGCGCGAAGTCGTAGGTCTGGATATTGGAATCGGCGCATCATGTATCTATGCTCTGCTCGCCTGCTCCAAGCGGCCAGAGTGGCGAATGGCAGGCACGGATATTGATGTTCACTCTCTTGAATGCGCTCAGCAGAATATCAACGTCAATGGACTTGGAGAGCGAATCAAATTGAAACATATGCAAGTTGATGGACCGATTCTACCGCTGGATTTGCTGAAAATTGAGGAGATGGATTTTACGATGACGAATCCTCCATTCTATTCTTCGCAGCAGGACTTTCAGGCTAGTTCTAAGCATGGCTCTGCTGAGGATTCTACTGCTGCTTCTTCTGTAGTGTGCACTGGAGCGGAGAACGAGATGATTTGCGAGGGCGGCGATGTGGGATTCGTGATGCGGATTCTCAGAGAGAGTCTGGTGTTGAGGGAACGGGTGCAGTGGTATACAGCCATGCTTTCGAAACTTGCTTCCTTGCAGCAAGTCGTAGCGGCACTCAAAGAACACGGTATCTCGAACTATGCTGTCACGTCGTTACAACCTGGCCAGAGAACTAAACGATGGGCTGTAGCGTGGAGTTTTGGAGACATGCGGCCGAGAAATGATATCAGTCGACATGGGGAGCTGGTACAAGCTGTTCTACCAYTGCCGACAGCTCAGACGATCAGTACTCCAATGCAGGATACAATTTGGGCGGGCAAAAAGGTCGATGAGACGATCAAGGGGCTTGATGTGAAGTGGCAGTGGCGGTCAGGTTCGCACATGGGGGTCATGGAGGCGAGAGAGAATGTGTGGTCCAGAGCTGCAAGAAGGAAGAAGAAGTTTCAGGGCGAGAAGATCGATGACCAGGGAAGTGGGGAGAGCAAGGACGAAATGATGGTGGATGAGAGTGAGGAGGAGGAGCCTGTGGCTTTGGCGGTAAAGATTACGTGCAAGAATGAAGAAGTTGATGTGCGATGGCTGCGGGGACATGACCATGTGGTCTTTTCGAGTTTCTGCGGTATGCTGAAACGCGCTCTAACTGGACGAGTGTGATGGCTATTCTACGAATGATGTCTGCTTAGTGAGCGACCGGCTAGCTCATCGCTAAAACAAGGACTCATCACTATCGCACTCATCCTCATTCTCGTCATGCTCGTGCTCCTCATCGACTTCATTGATTCCATTTGTGAGATGACCTCCGTTGGCTCCGTCAATTCCATCGACTCCGTTGGAGCCATTGGCTTCATTGACTCCATCGACTCCATCGACTCCGTTCGACACCACCAACGCGCTGCTACGCCTGTCTCTGAGCGGCTTGCCGTTCCACTCCACGGACGCCTGTCTGCTGCCAGGAAGATATTCGTCCGGCCTCTTCCCCATCTCACGGCGCCAAACAGCATGGATCTCATCGTGAATGTCCATCAGCTTGCGAAGGAAGCTGACAGGGTTGGCCTTTTCCACCTCGGTTTTGGCCATCTGCGCGAACTGTCGAGCAGCCTCGAGACAGTCGATCTAGAGGTAATCAGCAGGTCACTACACGACGACCGCTAATGCGTCCTTACCTTGCCATTCTGGTCAAACGAGCTGAATGCGCAAACCATGCGGTATTCAGCGTGTTTCGTATTGATGCGATGGGCGTATGTCTGAACGTCGGTGTAGCGAACCGTGGGAATCGAGAGAATATCGGCGTGAGTGTTGTTCAACCTCCGGCAAGCCCTTTCGCAGGCCGCTTCTCCACCGGCGGGAAGATCATCGTAACCGGCATACCAGTCACGGCGGTACGATAGTGCTTCGTGCCGGTATACTCTCTCGCGCATCAACGCAATTTTCCTCTCCTCTTCACCTCCATCAAGCGCCCTGAACGTCGAGCCTTGGACGAAGTAGCGAGGCATGATCGGAGAAAGAGATTGAGCGGTGGATGGCTCGATGAAAGGCATGGTTGAGATTCGGTGTGAATTGGTTGCTGTTTTTGAATTGATTGCTTGATGTTGGATGTTGATGCGCGATTAGAAGAATGATGCTTTGATTGAGAGAAGAAGGGAAGGATGGAAAGGTGTGGGTAGGTATGCATCATGTCGAGAGAAGTCACTCTTGCGAGATTGGGAAGCCTCTCCCGGGAGACTAGCACGCATCTGTCCTCCCACCGGACATGACTACCTTACTTTCTATTATATGACACCGAAACGAGAGGTAAGTACCTAGCGATAGAGTGGCTTCAACGGCGCAAGGGTATCATGGCACTTATCTTGTATCAACATCCCAAGTGTCACAAATCGCCGATAATGTTTTTTTGGTGTCATCTCTCATGATGCATCATTCATCCATCCCGTTCACCATTTGGCTTCTTTGGTGGCCAGGAATCTATTGAGGATCGCCACGTTCTTCTCCAAGCTTACAAGCCAATCGTCCAGCTCCTTGCTCACTCTCGCCTGCTGTGGCTCATCGGCCAGCTTGGCATAAAAGTCCTTTCGGTAGGGCGTAGCGCTCATGGCGGCGGAAAAGATGGGCTTGATGAACATGGAGTGGTGGGGCTTGAGTGTCTTGCCGTAAGCCTCACGGAAGGAAACTGACAGTTCGTCGTTTGTGTTGCTCAGGTTGTGGCGGAGACCTTGGGCGGTGAAGTCCAAAGCTCTGTGAAGGTGTGAGATGTAATTCTCAGCCAGCCGCGGATATTGCATACCTTGTCAGCCACAACAAGCCCTCGGTGGCCGTGTGCTTCTTGCTCTTCAACTCGTTGCGCACCAAGTCCTGCAGCGTCTCGGAATCGACGGGACTCTCCAGCTGGCGAGTTCGGACCTTCTGGATGTTGCCCGTCATATCGCTCTTGACGGGCTTGAAGGCAGTGCTGCCGAGCACATCGAATAGAGCCGTCACGGCATCAGCGGCCTCGAGGAATTCGGCGGTGGGAATGGCCTCGTCGTCTTTGATGTGGACATCGTTGAACGACTTCTTGCCGTCAAAGTACGTGCCTGAGATGGGTTGGACTTGTGAGACTTTGAATATGGAGCTTCTACGTACCACCAGGAGGATATGCTGCCATTGTGGTTGAAATTGTGTGGATTAGATGAGGGAATCTGGAATGTTGTTGGTGTCCAGGAGTAGACAGACGGTGAAGGTCGCATTGGACCCTTGCGCGGATCCTTTTAGGTGGGGGAAGACGCCAGGCCTGTACGACATGATACACCCAACACATCAATAATGTTGAAGCATAACTCACCAGACATCGAGGCACGGGCGTATCACGACGTCAACACTGAAGTTTTCGATAAAGGTGCTACAGATAGGTCTGTACGTTCGTTTGAGTATACTTCAACAAACACAGGGGCAGAAACACATGATACAGAAGGCATGTTGGTGGGGTAGATTGTATGAATATGTACACTTCTAAGGAAAACGAAATCTAATCTTCTAGCCGATTCCCATCAGCTAACAGGTGTGGCCCGTTGTGTAGACGGAGTATAGCTGAGCAAAATAATCACATCCGTTGACAGAATCAACAGACTTGGTGTCGCCGACTTCATACACCATGAATCCATCAAAGTTTTGGACGCCCTTTGAAGCTTCATACACGTTCGGAAGGCTATCGACAGGGATGAACTCGGGAGCCTCTTGCTGGTTGCCGGGAATGCCGACGAGAAGTTTGGCATTCTTGGACGCACCATTGGCGATGACGCCGGGCCACTTGTCGAGGTTGAAGCGGTCGGAGCCATCATTGGCGTAAGCAGCGGCGCAGTCGTTGTTGTAGAACTGAATCCAGAGGTAGTCATACTGGGCCTGGTTGATAGAGTTGCCCATGTTGATGTCCATGTTGCGTTCTTGGTTCAGGTAGCACTGGGGAGCTCCACCGATGTAGTACTTGTTGGCAGTGTCGGCCTCGAAGGACTTGCGCAACGTATTGAGCATGTGTCCGAGGTAGCCGTTACCATCCTCATTGTAAGGGTTGGACTCGATGTCAATGTCCCACCCGTCGATTCGAACATTGCCAAGAGGCCTCTTGCTCAAATCCTGGACGGCGTTCGGCGCTCCGTATTGGTTCCACAGCGAATACGCCACTCCTTCGGCGTCCTGGTTGCTGTTTAATCCGAAGTCACCGTAACTACCAGGTAGACTCAGGAAGACCTTCTTGCCCATGGACTGGCATGTCCCGATGTCTTGCTCCAGTTGCTCGCAATTGTTGCTAGAGCCGTCTTCATTGATGTGGCAGTAGCCGAGGTCGCCATTTGGGGAGTGATTGTGGCCGAAGTTGGTGATGAATGCCAGGTTCAGAATATCAATGTGCTCATTGTCCGCACACCAGTCTGCCAGGTTGCCATCCGCTGGAGTTTCACCTCCATTGCCCTGGAAATTCCATKTTAGCCAACAATCTTTCTTGAGATCTAGATTTGGAACTTACCCAGTATGCAACGATTTCGGCCAAAGAGCCTTGAGCAGCAAGCGCAAGCAGGGCAATCTTGAAAGACATCGTCGCAATGGGAGTGTAAAGGAGATTCTAGAGTGCCTGGGTGATACTTACAGCTGAGCGCCATTGTCGCTGTTATATATATGCTTGAGAGTCTGTATGTCTGGGACGTCGGTCCTCAGGCGTCCTGGCTCTCGACATACGCACAATTTCCACCTACCTAATCAGGTACGTARCTTTGAAAGCGGTGGTCCTGAACTCCTGGATTGATGAGGCAACCAACAGTGCACCAACGTAATAGGAAAGGCTCGGAGGAATTCCTCATATCGGGAATCCAGTGTACCGATGCCCTATGGCGAAAAAGGTGTTGACGCTAGCTCGCAGCAGCACTATCGTTTAGGCGTGCTGTTGTCCTGTATGCTGGACTGATTAGGCTAGGCATCAGAAGGATCAAAGGACATTCGGCGTTGTCGATCTTCCACCACAAGGGTCAAGCTTCGAGGAAGCTTTTCACCAAGCACATGCGAGATGCCCACGTGCGAACGCTAGGTCGTCTTAATGCCTTGGCAATTGAAGTTTCGAGATCCACCGGGACGCCTGACAAACGCCTCCAACGCAAGAGTCGGGCCTAACGGGATCTCAGGTCTTGGAATTGATAGACGCAGTGCTGTTATTATGATATCGTGTCCCTTCAACTGAGCCAGCTTACTCATTGCGTGTCGATGGGCAAGCCCTTCGAGGGCTGCAGTAGCGCTTCTTAACCAACATCGTCCAGAATCGTCGATACGCTAACACGGAGGAACATGTCCGCGGCTTCGAAGCACTTCTGCCCTTGTGCATCGTCCGATGGTCTGATCTCCGAATCATTTAGACATCAGATGCCGGCAACATCTCCTTGACCATCTCAGTGTGCGATTTTCCGGATGCGGAGACTGCCCGCTCACGCAGCTGCGATTCTCGAGAAAGACGAACGGAACAGGGCCGATAGTAACGAACTTTTTCTGGAGTGTGTCTATCGAAAAAAGGCTTTGGATCATCCAAAGTCGCTCTGAAGGCCTTGAGGGGAGAGAACTGAAGTAAACACCATGGACGTTCGTGAGCCAACATCGTCCGGTCTTGACTCGTGTGGGAGGGGCAGAACTCCAATCTTCATATCTTCCGGCAGTCTTGGAACTGCTACGAAGCCTCCAGGGGGGTGAGGGTATCACGTGCCTGTAGCAACGTGGGGGCACCGCAAAGGTTGGCCGAATTACCATGCCGGAGAGATGGGTGGGGTTACCGCGTAAAAGATCAGCCTATTCCCTGTGAGTGCTTCTGGCTACAAGTGAAGATGGCTCCATCGCAATTGTTTGCCTAACGTATCGCTTCTTCCTTCTCTGTTACAAATTCTTTCATCATGACCACTTACAAGATTGCCTCTATTCCGGGAGATGGAATCGGAACAGAGATCACCGAGGCCGCTGAGAAAGTCCTTGACAAACTGGCCGAGGTAGTAGGAATCTCCAAGTTCGAATGGACGACCTTCGATTGGTCTTCAAAGGCTTACCTAGAGCGTGGCTGGTACATGCCTGAAGATGGCATGCAGCAGCTTGCAAAGCATGATGCTATCTAGTTCGTAATCTCCAGCCGATCCATTCAGTATCACCACTTATCCTTGTTTAGCTTCGGCGCAGTAGGATGGCCAAACGTAGCAGATCATATTTCTCTCTGGAGCCTGATTCTTCCGATCAGGAAGTACAACAACCAATATGTTAATGTTCGCCCAACCAGGATCCTTCCTGGCACCACGGCTCCGCTGGCGCAATGTCAGAAGAGACCACAGGATCTCGACTGGGTGATCATCAGAGAGAACAGCGAAGGAGAGTACGCTGGGCAGGGCGGTACCACACACGATAATTCTCCTCACACAGTTGCCACTGAAGTGGCCATCTTCACACGTGTCGGTATTGAACGCATTATGCGATTCGCGTTCGAAACGGCAAAGAGCAGGCCTCGGAAGAAGTTGACTATGGTCACCAAGTCAAACGCCCAACGTCATGGAATGGTGCTATGGGACAAAGTCTTCTATGAGGTTGCAAAGGATTATGAAGGCATTGTTGAGCACGACAAAATGCTGGTCGATGCGATGACTGTGAGGATGGTGAACAAACCCGAGAGCTTAGACACAATCGTGGCCACCAACCGTAAGTTATTCCCTTGGGCGGAGGGAAGCAGGCTTTGCTGACCCCACTCTCAAGTACACGCCGACATCTTGTCTGATCTGGCCGCCGCCTTGGCCGGATCCATTGGTATTGCGCCGTCTTCCAACCTCGATCCAACTCGGCAGTATCCTTCTATGTTTGAGCCCATACATGGCTCGGCACCAGACATTGTAAGCTTATCGGAGTGTGGACGGCGGAGAGCATGTTTTGAGCCTTCTCCTCTGTCCCTCGAAGGTGCGGGACACAAGCTGATTTCGCGCTTTAGGCAGGGCAGGGCATTGCAAATCCAGTGGGAGCATTTTGGTCAGCAGCTGAAATGGTTCGATGGATTGGTAAAGGTTCACTCGATCATGTTGCTGATGACTTCATGAAGGCCATTGAGGCCGTGACCAGCAACATAGAGACCAGGACACGTGATATGGGTGGTTCGGCGAGCACCCAACAGGTTACCGATGCTGTGCTCAAGCAGATCGAGGTCATCTTCGGTGAAAAGTAGATGTGCATCGGCAGGTTTGGCGGTGGGCATTTCGGGGGGGATGCTGAGAGTAGTCCGAAATAGGAGACGTCCACAGTCCAGTAAGACGACGCTGCGTCATTACTCATGAGGGAGTCCAACATGTGGCGTCTGCATCGATAACCTCTTTACCGGGCACGACCTTCGTTCGGCCTTTCCATCCCTTCCAGGGGGTCTGTCCAAATTGTCTCAATGGCCAGAGAATACTCACAGCTTTGCCAGTAATCAGACTGCGCGAGATTGGACCATATGCGTTGCTATCCTGCGTCTTGCGCCAGTTATCGCCTTCCACCCACACATGTCCGGGTGGAATCACCACTCTGCCTCCATTCTGTGCGTACATGACATCCCATCGCTTGCCTGCTTCGCTTGGCCGCCCGTTCTGTGCATCTGCTGGTCTTCGTCGAGGGTCGAGTAAGACTGTGTCTCCACCCAGAGCGACCACCCGCTTGGTTGCCATGCCCTCGGCTCTATGAGGTGTGCTGAACAGCACGACGTCGCCGCGGGTCAGGTTTCGGGTAGGCAGATGTTTTCGCCATAGAACTGTGTCCATGGCCCCAGAGCTCCCAAAGGCCGGCGAAAGCGTGGGCGCCATGGACTCCCCGGTAATCTGGGTCATGTCGCAGAAGTTGTCCTTAACGAAGATCCACGAGCTGACTGCAAAGAGAAGGTAGACACCCTCACGCTTGAGGTATGATGCCTTGGTACGAGCATGGCCAGACATGAGGACTCGGCTATGTCACCKCAGTCGGTGGGTCAGTAGAATCGCGCGCAAGACTACGGCCCAGCGGAAGTTGCACGGCGACTCTTCCTCGAGAGTGCTCGCTTCACAAGACTGCCAAGATATGTGAAAGTGCTCCTCATACACGTGAAGACGGGGCACCAGATCGTGGCATGCGGGGATGGTAAGCGAAGGGATCCTTATTCGCCGCGAGCTACGGTCTATKAGCGGCGCGGCTGCGGAATAGATCGTGATGGGGAGATGGTGACAAGATGTGGGAGAAGCACCCAGCTGGTGATGATGGTCGGCTGCTCTTGCCTTCGGGAACTCTCGGGGAGTTCGGCAACTTGCACGGCTCGTGTTGGTCATCATATCAACCTCATCCCAAAACACATGCACCGGCCCCACCGCAGTCTCGACCACAATCAGCAGCACTAGCAGCGACTTCACGCCATCTCACAGCCATATGGTCGCTTTGGAAGTCGCCTTGTAAGCATTTCTGGTGCTCTCCGAGCATTCCAATCGGTGGGTGTGACCTCATATCTACGGTTGAGTCACTCCTCCCTCACCACTGCCGGCATCATAAATCTCTGGGGGGCGTCTGTAAGCCCTGAGATTGTAATCTCACCCTCCATCACAAATCCTGCCCTCCAGTGAGCAGCGATGCCTACACAAAGACCATCCTTTCTTGGAAACTTCTTGGCGGCATTCCGCGCTCACTCACAACCTCTGCCAAAGTCCTCGGCGCCCATATCTTCCAGCGCAAGCGTCGCAGCATCGACTACCATATGGGCTGCGGCACCGCAAAAATCCCCATCTCCAGGTCCAGAGGCAACTGCCACCGCTCCGAAGCCGATCAATCAAAAGACGAATGCATATAACGCAGCGAGCACAACAGCGGCGCAGGACCGGCAGCTAGTTGCGTCATTATCGCCCCTTCAGCACAATGTGAGCCCACAAACACATCTGCCCAGATCACCACCTTCGCCCGGTCTGCCTACATACGGGCCCGCAAACAAGCCACAACAGAGCTATCCGTCAGCTCAGGACGTGCGACGGCGCTCTCGGAGGGGCAGCGATAGTAGTTCCGATTCTGGAGGCTTTCGTGAGGTACGGAGCGGCTCCGAAAGATGGTTCATCGGAGGGTTGWCTGCCACGGGCGAAGAGCGATACTACAAGCTAAGCATGGTCAAGCGAGACAAATCGGCGGATCGCATTTCGACGGACCAAATGAGTTTATGAATATGAACGGGTCGAAACAGGCTATGGCCTCTCTGGCGCAGTGAGTCTACATCATTGGCGATCGACGAGAGCAGCAAGGCAACTCGAAGTGGAAATGGTTGTACAAACCGTCATAAATTGGCACGAATGGAGTCTGGCGCGGATTCTGAGACATTCTAGAAGCTGCATGGTAAATTGCCTGGCTTCGAGAAGCTCCTTTGTCCTAAACAACCGCTCAATATCCTTCCTCTATTGCTCAGCAGATGCCAATGGAGATCATCCAAGCGGCGTGTGCGCCGTGCACCTCTTTCCCAGGAGCATCATCTGCACTGGTAAAGCTGATCACGTCAGGTCCGGTGGCTTGACCTGAGGTCACTACGCTGGAAACATGCCACACGACAGCCAGAGAGCGACTAAGATGCGTCGAGCTGGTCGTTCTTTGGCAAAGTTCATCGGGGTTGCAAGCAAGTGTTCTCCTCTCCAGCAGCACGTCAGGATGGCGTTCCTCCGGTCAAAATATCACACCGGCACAGCATAATGCTTTATGTGTGGCTCTTCCATCGCTCCAAATCCATGCCCAGTCACTTTTGGAATCGACAGCTTTTCCGTCTCCTCCGCCTTCGGCTTATTTGACAGCTCAGACACACGAGACATTAAGGCGACCACGCRAGCTCACACTAATTCCGCGTGGCCATAGCTGGGTAGAAAATGGCACGGCTGGAAGTCCGATGTCTGTGCTTGCGCTGGCTTTCTCGAATGCTCGCGACCAATCGCTTTCCACATCAGTGCGAGGCGCTGGTCCTCCCAAGCGTCGAACCTCGTGTGAAAGCCACCCAATTCCAGCCACCAATGCACACCGCGTCAGTACATGACTGAAAGGGGGCGTTACACACGCTTGGGATGTCCTTCTGGAAGGCGTTTCTGGAAGACGCATGGAAGCCTGACCGAGCACAAAGATCCTTGGAGACATATGACATGTCGCCTTCTGAGGAACCAGGCGTATGGARTAAGCGATGGAGTGATCTTTGAGAGCCTGGACTACATGCTGCCAGTCTACCGGGGGTCTGCTGGGCGCAAACGCCATGCCTTTGCTGGGACAAGACAGTAGCCTATGAAGATGTCTGTGTGGTCGGTCATAGAATGAGAGTGCAGATATAAGAAATGTGGATCGCCCTTTCAGCTTCCAACAGACATCAATTCTACTCTCAACCGGATTAACAGAACTTTTCTACCAAACAAAACAAACACAACATGTCTCTGTTGAGCCTACCACGGGAGATACGGGACAGTATGTACAGCCCGCTCAGCTTCACGGCGCCCAAGCCAACCGACTTTCCAGTGATCATGGCCACCGTAGTCGTTAATGATCAACCATTCCGCATCAATTCGATACTATCCAAGCACGACGTTGTCGCAAAGTCCAGTGCAGGCATTCGGCAATCCTGCCGCCAAATCCGTGCCGAGTATGCACAAATCCTCCGGAGAGCAGCATTCACACCGGGAACCAAGACTGTTGCACCAGTCTTCAATTTCGACTTTGGAGAGATGATCACATTTGCCAAGACGCTGAAACCTCACGAGATTTCCGCCGCCAACCGCAATCAAAACCTCTTGGTAAACTTGTTCCTGTTCGACGTCAAGGCACTGGATGCTCAACGACTCCTGCAATGGGTTCAACTGTGCGAGACCATTGGACTGGAGGTGAGCTATGTCTTACAATGGACAGCTCATGACATCAACCAATCCAAGGAGATCGAGGTGGTGATTGGAGATTATCGCGAGGGGAGGAAGATTGTGAAGGCTCTCACCGCGAAGTCGTCGGTGGCTTGGAACTGGGATAAATACACGTCGAACCTAAAGCAACGCGATTGAGTCGATACTTGGAGGGACATGGTCTGTACATAGGCAGCCGGTAGATATAGAGTGTCACTAGACAAATTCCTGTACGAAGCACTTTGTACCCGATGGACAAGGAGAGGTCATAAAGGGCTTAGCGCCGTTATCTCACTCTAAGATATTCCTCTATCACTAGAAGGCGCGTGTGAGAAGGAGGCAGTTAGGCCATTTTCGAAGCGTCGTCTTATCACTTCGCACTAGCCATTCCACGCCGGCAGACGAGACAGGACGTCTTCATCAAGCAACCTCATCAAGCGAAACTCTCTCGGCCGTCAATGGTATACGCGTCGTACGAGTCTCGCCGCTATTGCGGATGTCGTAGACGTCCCATGCCGCAGTTTCGACAATGGTGGTATGATGTCGGGGACCGTGATCGCAGTGCGCTTTTCGGGTGGTCATTCGATGCTTCACTTGGTCAGTCAAACAAAAGTCAGCTATTCCAGTTGGATACGTACGGGGCAACGAGATCGCAGTAAATTTGTTGAGAGGTGAAATCTGATAGATATGTATTAGGCCGTAGTTAAAGTGTTATCAGAATCTCAGGCTTCTCTTCGACAGCCGGAAGTTTCGAATCACAGGTACATGTACCATGGTTGCATCGTTTCGACAGCTTGCCGGCTCTCTTCTTAGTTAATCGACGTCTACGCTCGCGAAAGGTAGCTACAAGCGTTTCGATAAGCAGCCTTGCGGAGAGCCGGATGTCTAGTCGAATGGGGTCATCTTGGTCGTGTAGTATTTGTTGCAGAAAGTACAGCATCTTGAACCGTAGCAGGTGTGACGGCAACCTTCATTTCACCGGGCTCCTGGGCTCTTTGGAAAGGCCAATCTCGCGCATCCACAATCCTGAAAGACTTATGAAGAGCGGGCGGACGAGATACAGTATACTCTCACTATGATCGTGGACACCGGTTCTGCCTCGATCAGATGCACGCTTTGCTTTCAGGTCATCCAGCTCGGTTTGTCTTCAGTAGCGCTTTGTGACTTCTCCCAAGGTTTCTTCCTGCCTTGCGCCTGTTGATCAGAGGCCTGCCCTTCTAGTATGGTATCAGGAATGTCTTTGATCCCAGGAATCGGCTTGCCCTCAGCAATCATATCACAAATCTCAGCAAAGCTTGCGGGCTTGGGCGCGTCTCCCATGCCACCGTCTGCTTGCTCTGCCTGAGATGAGGCTGTCTCTCCATTTGTGCCGTAATTGGTGTTGTCCGCTGCTCCTTCCTGCCTCTGAGACTCCACCCAGTTCTTATATCCGTCAAAATCTACTGCAGCTCCAGCTTTACGGGCATAGTAGTAGCACTTTGCCCTCAACGTGAGATGTTCAACCTGCTGCGGATCTTGCACGGAGCCCAGAATAGCTCTCAGTCCGCCTTGAAACTCTTGGTCTTCGGCCCAAGGATAGTTATCCAGCTGTTGGAATAGCAGCGTGCTGTCAGACGGTTCCACTGCCTGAGATGCCATGACGAGTGCATGTGTGTTGGGAGGGATGTGCTGTGTTGGGTGGCAGCCTCAGTGACGGGCGGTGCGAGCCTAGCAACTAGCTCCTTAACAAGCTTAGCCGGAATCCGCATACATAAAAACAGAGCTTCGCACATTGATATTGAATTCTTCCTCGACACTTCCTTCGCTCTCAGCTCAAGGACTTGCTCTGTCTTTTCCGTGCGGGCGAAGGCCTACCTGGCTGGTGGTGAGCAACGTCTTTCCATTCCATCTCTTTGCTTCACGTGGAGCTTCGTCTTGCCGTGCCAAGACTGGAAGAGCTCAAACTCGCCGTTGCACCTGCATCTGTCCTTTAATCATCACCTTCACCCTTCACTTTTCGCTCTCTACACCACCATCACCACCACTGCATCTCCTCCCCACCTCATCACACGCGTCGCGCTGCCGCCACGATGAGCGAGTACATCGGCAGTCGCATATCGCTTGTCAGCAAAAGCGAGATTCGGTTCGCGCCCCCTCCCCCTCCGACCTCCGCGCGCGTCGGACATACCGCTGACAGGTGTCCAGATACGAGGGCACTCTCGTCAAAATCGACAGCGAAACCGCGACAGTCTCCCTGCAAGAAGTGCAATGCCACGGCACCGAGGGCCGCAAGAACAACCCCAATGAGGAAATCCCAGGATCCGACTCTGTCTACGATGGCATTGTCTTTCGCGGCAGCGATGTCAAGGACCTGACCATTGTCGCGCCACCCAAGGAGAACCGCCCGCCGCAGCAGCAGATGCCCAATGATCCAGCGATCCTGTCARTACGTATGCTCCCCATCTCCCGCAAACACCTCGAAACACTCCCATTACCTGATGAAATACTTTGGATGTAAATCAAACACTACCGATGGCGCAAAAACCATGTGGAAATTTTCCTTGTTGCCTTCCTTCTGATATTTGGGACACCTCACTTTGCCTTGAAAGAGAATTGGTGTGCAGTACAGCTCGCTAACTTGCACCTCAGCAACCCGAACCCGTCGCACCACCCCACACGCAACAACAGCATCCATCGCAGCAGCAGAATCAGTTCCGAGGGCCACAACCACCCTATCCCCAGCAGCAACAGCAGTATGGATACCCAGGACCGCCGCCAAATCAGTTCCAGCAACATCCCAGGTTTCAAGGTCCGGGTGGTGCACATGGCTTTCCTGGACAACCAGGTGCAGTGCCAGGTTATGGGATGGGATACGGTCCACCACAGCCGCCACCAGGATATGGTATGGGCTACGGACCTCCACCAGGTCAAGGCTTCCCACCAGGACCGTTTCCCCCCCAACAGCAGCCCATCGGTCCTCCTGGCCAGCAGATGGGTCCACCTCCCAATGGTCAGCAACAGAGACCACCGCAGCAAACGCCAAGCCAGCAACGGCAAGCCCCGATCGGTAGCAAGCAAAACACGCCGCAGCCAGCGAGCTCGCAAGCTCCCCCACCTGACGCTCCCGCGCCTGCTGAGATGTCCGAATTGTCTACTACTCCTGCACCATCGTCTGGAAAGACCCCCGCTGGCCCTCCACCGCCGATCGAGTCGAAGCCACCAGCCGCCGCTGCAAATGCTCCGTCCAAGGCGAACCAAGCYCCTCCGCCCGCCGTTCCAAAGCCCGCCAACAAGACTAGCAATCGAGTAGCCGTGCCTTTGGCGATGGGCAGTCCAGCTGCCAGACAGCAACCAAAGCCTGCTGCTCCTGCCCAAACTCCTCCGGTTGCGGCACAGGCACCGCAACCGCAGCCGCCTCAGACGAAGGCATCGGCTACTGATGCTGCGACTGCTGCAGTGGCAGCTGCAATGGCCAAGCTCGGTGCAACGAACCGTCCAAGCGGTGGCGTGGAGAACCTCACTCAGAAGGTGTCTCAAATGAGAGTCGATGAMGCGCAGTTCAGAGGACGAGGACGTGGCCGAGGTGGTCCAGGGCCGCGTGGAGGTAGACACGAAGGCGGACAGAAGAATGTTGAGGTTCCGAAAGAGGATTACGATTTCGAGACGGCGAACGCCAAATTCAACAAGAGGGAACTCGCGAAGGAGGCGATTGCTTCGGGCAGTCCGTTGGGAAGTCCTACTAATGATGCATTCCCATCCAGTGCCAACGGGCATGGGGGTGATGAAGATGTCGTGATCCCACCAAAACCTTCAAACGAGAAGGGCTATGACAAGAAGTCATCCTTCTTCGACAACATCAGCAGCGACCTCAAGGATCGTACCGAGCAACAACAGACCAGTGAATTTGTTGATGGAAGGGCCATGCGACGAGACGAAAGAAACAGAAACATGGAGACTTTTGGCCAGGGGAGCGTCGATGGCGGATTCCGTGGCAGAGGTCGCGGACGCGGCCGTGGATTTGGGGGACGCGGTCGGGGCTACCATGGTGGTGGACGTGGAGGGGTTGAGGGGGGTGATCGTGGCGGCTTCAGGGGTCGTGGTGGTAGAAATCAGGGCGGCGAAGCTTTTGCCGCTGTTTGACAGCTCTGCTTTCCATCCAAGGTTGGGCCGTATGAGATAAGCACGCCAGGTCTGCGTGTTGCTCCTGTTGTATCATAGAACGTGGCCTTCACGAGCAGAATAACCGATGAACGTGTTACGAAGGCTTGCCTCGCTGGCAGATCAATAACGCTGCTTGTCTGGTCATTCACTACGGCGGCTTGCGAACTTTCTCTGTCACAATTTCTTTCCGTGATGACTTGGCCTCGCACATTTCGTGCAGGATAGAGTSAGAGGGGGGGTTGTTGCGACAACGACGTTAAGCATGGAGCAGCACCACTCCACATGGTTTGTTGACTCTGCAAGCAAAAAGGTACTCGCGAGCAGGTCCAGGTTTCTTCTTCACTTTTCTCGCACCTGCGTGTTTTGGTCACATAGAAATAATTGACTGGTCTACAGCAGACTGTCGTTGTAGTTCGAGAACAAATGTAAACGGTCGATCGTACGTTATGTCTATAAACAGTCCATCTGTTTGTCGGTCTATACAATCGTATGGACGATGATTGGAGCTACTCACTATCACTACTCCAGAAGTTGATTCCACCCAGATATCCATTCAAGTCACTCGATTTGCCTCAACCACGAGGTTGCACTTCGACTTTCAACTACCAGTGATTCATCTACCATAACAAATACCGTTCAAACAGTGCATGGCGTTCCACGACGGCTACCCCAACCCTAACCCTTACCGCGCCCAGCGTCTCAGCCTTGCGCGCGTGCAGCCCAAAACTTAGAACTACCGGTGAAGCTGCGGGACAACTCATATGGAAGCACATCCAATCATCGATCCCACTCCTTATCACACCGACGACACCGGATGTGCCATTTTGCACAGTATGAGGCCGAAAACGCCGACGACGATTGTAGATGCACACCGAGCAAGTAAAGTGGATGATGAATCTGGCCTGGCCGTTGGGCGTAGGGCTGAAAATTCGACTCTGCACGAGCAGCGTTTCTTCAAACCTTCTTGTAAGCCTAACTTATGTGGAGAAGAAAGTAGATACCCACAGACGAGGCTCGAGAATACTKCTGTACTAGGTTTCAGCCCCATTACAAAACAGGAACGTCGGCTCGCTCACTCCGCGGCGGAGGAATGTCGAGAAGCAAGCGACTACGAGTGTACGAACTTACGACATACGAGGCGGGTGGCGTTCTTTTAGGTCCCCCTTCGCGTGCTTTGTTGGCTTTGCATCTCCTAGAAGCATGTGCTCCGTAGGCAAATAATAGTGACGCGTGCTCTCATAATCTTCTGTAGTGCTGTAAGTGTATTCTCTCTTCACTTTTGTGTGTGTTCTTCTTGCGCTTTGACGTTGTACCTCTCGCGCAAGGTGCAACTTTTCGCCATGAGCAACAACGCATCCGGCGAGGTCTTCTATCCTTCATACGAAACTTGCAATGACGGGATTACGCCGCAATGTCCCGTCTCGGCCACCATTTATGGGTAAGCAGGTTCCTTACTGATGTTCGCCAGGGTGTACCTTGACCATCGTGTAGATACCGGCCGAATCTGGGACCTACGATTCTCTTTGCCGTGATTTTCTCAATCTGCGTCGTTCTGCAGGTCGTCTTTGGCATTCGTATGAAAGGATATGCCTTCCTGGCATGGATGTTCTTCGGAGTGGCGTTGGAGTGCACGGGTTGGTGGGCRCGAGTGGCCCTCTGGCAAGATGTCTGGAATTACGCAGCCATGATTGCCAGTTTGGCGGGTCTCATTATTGGTGAGTCTTTGTTGAGCTCCGAATGTATGGCCACTGACAACGTGAAGGTCCTAGTTTCATCAACGGAGCCATCAGTGTGACGTTCAAGCACATTATTTTGTACACCGGCGAGCAGCATTCCAAATGGTTGAGGGCGAAATGGTTTCCAGTGGTCTTCATCGGCACCGACTTTGTGGCGATCTTCATCCAAGCAGCAGGTGCTGGACTTTCAGCTGGAGCAACCGGCGGAGCAGAAACAGACCAAGCTCTGTTGGACGTCTCGTCTGCCATTCTCATCGCTGGTGTTGCGTTTCAGTTGGCGTAAGTGCCGTTCGTCTCGTCCAGTCTCGACACCGCGTGTCTAACTCTCGACTAGCAACATGATACTGTGCGGTGCGTACCTCGGATATGTTGCCTGGAATTATCGCAAGGCCAAGCAGAGCCATTCGTCAGCGGGAATCCCAAGTCCTTACGGTAAGTTTGATATGGTTTCGCTCGTCCAATTTCTTTGCTGATACCTTGCGCAGATGAAGCCAAAAAGCTGGACAGTCGAACTCGATTTCGATTCCATGTCTTCATCGCTGGACTTTGCACGGCATACTTCACCATCGTCATCAGATGTGCGTACCGTGTCCCGGAGATGGTCGATGGCTGGGGTGGTGCTCTGATGCAAGACGAACCGACATTTTTTGGCCTGGAGGGAACGATGCTRGCCATTGCGTGCATAGCCCTGACGGTTGCACATCCGTCGTTCTTCTTCACTCCGATGCAGCGTAAAAAGCCACGTCAGGCGCGGGAGGCGCAATCCAGCGATGGCGAGGCCGAGAAAGCTTCTCGGGAGCTTCAGTAGGCACTTTGATTCCGGTATTGGCATTATGCCGGAGTATGAATTTCAGCATCTGCGTATGAGCGTTTTGAGCAAACAGATCCAGAGACATCAAAGTCAGGGCGTGACGGAACAAATCTATAGAATATAAAGCGTGCAAAGAGCTCAGTCTTGTTGCGTGTTGACTCTAGCGGAGTGTCATCGTAGAATGCCTTCTTGTCATCTCTGCGTCTGTGTAGGGCGCCCTGCAGTCGGAGGGGTCATGAAAGGTACCTTCGACGTCTTTCAGTGGCATGCGATTTCGCTGGCATCCACATGTCTGAGGCCGGCATAGCAGGTGTTTGTTCTCAAATGTTGGTGAACTGCATTTAAGCCCCTTGGCCGAGCTCCTTCATCAAGAAGGTTCACCACAGATCGATCGGGTCCGTCCAAGATCCGAGATCGCGATCGCGCTTTGTCGCGTCGCGTCGCGTGGAAAATCAATGACGATGTCGCCCCAAAGCTCATTGACCATTGTGCTTGCTGGTAGATTACTCGCTGTGAATACACCAACGCTCCACAGGATTGTAGCCTCTAGACAGTAGCATCGAGGAAGCTGTGCCCTTCTCCTGGAACCCGTCATGTCGGAATCTACGCCACCAATCTCACCGGACGATGCTGCTGTCAGCGGCGGTACTTCCCAGGCAATGGAGAAGGAGGAAGCCCAAATGGCGGAGGAACGGCGGAAAGAGGACGAGAAGCACGAGAAGAAGCTGGCTGCTGAGCGAGAAAAGGATGTCAGGGGCGGCAAGGATGTTGTTGACACGAAATACAAGGCATTGGAGTATCTGCTTAGCCAGAGCAAGCTGTACTCGGCCATCATGCTGCAGCAGATGACCCAACAGGACGAGGTTGAGGAAGCAAAGGATGAGAAGAGTAAAAAGAGAGCACAGAAGAAGGAAGAAAAGGCCGAAATAGCAGCACAGGCAGGCCAGAAAAAAGCCACGAGAGCGGCAGCTGCGACTCAAGCCCAGACCGAAGGTACGGCAGCAAAGAGGGAGCTGCCCAAAAGGGGAAAGCCAGCGAAAGGTGCAAAAGGCGGCAAGATCTCCGACTACATGAAGAAAGATGACGTAAAGGCAAAGGCCGGCGAGACGTCCATATCAGAGGCGCTCGCAGAAGAGACCAAAGACGCCGATGTCAAGCCTGGTGATATTGGTATGCAAAATCTCAGATCCGCCAAGCAGCCAGACCTGGTGTCAGGAGGCTTGATGCGGAACTACCAGCTGGAAGGCCTGGACTGGCTCACATCGTTGTACGAAAATGGACTGAACGGAATCCTCGCTGATGAGATGGGTCTTGGGAAGACGATACAGACAATCTCATTTCTGGCCTTCTTGAGGGAGAGAGGCGTCAATGGTCCGTTCTTGATCGCTGCACCATTGAGCACAACCTCAAATTGGGTGGCTGAGTTTAAGAAGTGGACGCCCAAAATTCCCGTTGTGCTATACCATGGCAGCAAACAGGAGCGAGAAGAGATTCGACGAAAGGAGCTGCGGAGTCCTGGCAGTGMGACTTTCCCAGTCATATGCACCAGCTACGAAATCTGCATGAATGACCGCAAGCATCTCGCTCATTTCGATTGKAAGTTCATCATCATAGACGAAGGCCATCGGATCAAGAACCTCAACTGTCGTCTCATCCGCGAGCTGCAGTCATACCAGTCTGCCAACCGACTGTTAATCACCGGTACACCTCTGCAGAACAACCTTACAGAGCTCTGGTCGCTGCTTCACTTTCTCATGCCCAGCATTTTCGACAAGCTCGAATCTTTCGAGAGCTGGTTCGACTTCTCCGCATTGAAAGAGAAGGGAGGTCATGAGCAAATCCTCTCCGAAGATCGTAAGAAGAACCTGGTCGCCAGTCTTCACGCCATCTTGAAGCCATTCTTACTGCGGCGAGTGAAAGCTGATGTTGAGACGTCTCTGCCCAAGAAGCGGGAGTACGTCCTGTACGCTCCGCTAACGCAAACACAGCGAGAGCTTTACCATGAGATACTTGAGGGGAATAGTCGGGCGTATCTTGAAAACAAAGTGGTGGAAAGCCTCAGCGGAGCAAGTACTCCAGCAAGCGCTCGGAGTAGGAGTCTCAAGCGCAAGGCAGCTGGTTCCTCTTCAACGCCAAACAAGAGCGCCRAGTCAAGTCGAGCGTCTACTCCTGCTACAAACGTCAGCACTACTTCTAGATCGCGAAAGGCGAAGAAGAGCCAAAGATACGAGGAAGTCTCTGACGCGGAGTACTTCAAGCAGTTGGAGAATGAACCATCCTCCACTGCGGAAGAGCCGACGGATTCCGACGATGAAGAAGAGAGCGAAAGAGCCAAGACACTCGCGTTGGCAAAGCGAGAGATCTCACAGAAGAAACTGCAGAACCCAATCATGCAGCTTCGACAGTGCTGCAACTCTCCGCACAATTTCTACTACCCATTCGACATGGACGATAACACCCCTGTCGATGAAACACTAGTCACCGAGTCGGGCAAGATGCTTCTGCTCGATCGACTGTTGCCCGAGCTTCTGTCCAGAGGCCACAAGATCTTGATTTTCTCTCAGTTCAAAACACAACTGGATCTGCTTGATACATACTGCCGAGAGCTTCGCGGGTGGCCAACAAGCCGGATCGACGGCACGGTTGCACAAACGGACCGGCAACAACAGATCCTAGACTTTAACGATCCAAAGAGTGAGGTTAACGTCTTCCTGCTTTCCACGCGTGCTGGTGGGCAGGGCATCAATCTTGCATCTGCAGACACGGTCCTGCTCTTCGACTCTGATTGGAATCCGCAGCAGGACCTCCAAGCTCAGGATCGCGCCCACAGAATCGGACAGACTAGACCAGTTATTGTATATCGATTCGCCACCAAGGGCACTGTCGAGCAGATGCTATTGGAGAAAGCAGATAGCAAGCGTCGGTTGGAGAAGCTTGTCATTCAAAAGGGTCGATTCCGCAACACCAAGGGTGAAGCTGGTGGTGAGGACTTTGCCGAGCTGCAGAAGCTTCTTGGAAAAGACGATGGCGAGAGGATCGATATTGCTGATGGCAAGGGACTGCTCAGTGATGCCGACCTTGCTATATTGACGGATCGAAGTGAGGAGGCGTTTGAGCGCGCAGAGAAGGGCGTCGATGTCATCGGCGCTGCTTTCAAGGCCGTCACTACGAAGGCCGGCGGCAACGGGTTGTTGGAGAGTCTGCAGAAGTGATTTGCGAGTGAGGATGCTGTTGCTGCCGTCACATGAAATTCTGGATTTTGCCCGAGTTCTTGATTGGTGCATTGTTGGTTCAGTGTGCTACGAGGTGGAAGGAGTCGGACGAGTTGCACAAGGGCCATGCGAGACCCGACCTAGGATTTGTACCGAGGCCTGCTGCCAGCAGCAATGCATACCGACGTATCTCTGCTTCGACCACAGGGAGAACGCTTTAGGCGTTGATTGGATCCATGCTTTATCTTCTTGTGTCGTCCTCCGCATTGGAATCGGGCGCCGAGTGCCCCATTGGCGCTACATCTTTGGTGTGGTGTGACCCACAGCTCTTTCGCTCTCGTCATCGGCGATGAGTGTACTATCGGAGCGAAGATTCGAGTCGCTATATAATTGGCCTGTCAGAAGCTTGAGTGAATGGACGAGTGGAGCCACGAGTTGATAACGGATGCTTAGCAAGTAATGTACCAACAGCTTTTTCTTGTTCTTCTCAAACCTGACATCCTGTGCCTACTCAACATGCTGCTTCTGAGGCATTCAGACATTCAGAAAGCCAAATGCCATGGAGAACAAAGCGAGGCGAAAAAGTTCGCGGCCAATCTCACCTTGAAGTGATACGCCGCACACTACGATATCCAGATCACTTTTCGCACTCCTCAAAGCAATAATAGCACAAGTATAGCTAGCTACTGGTCGGTATTTCGATGGCTGGAAATCGCACTTGCCGTAGAGAAACGCAAATTGGCAGAACTTCGCAGGCGTTTTCACTTCGCATTTCAGGGGGTGAAGTTGGAATCAGGGGAGAAATCCGCCCTCACAATACTCGTCAAGACGTCCCGGCAACACGACGGTCAAAACACAGAGCACTGGAACACGAATATAGTTTGAAATCAATGTGATACATTGTATTCTATTTTACAGAACAATTTTTTAAAATCGTCTACCGTAATGCTCCTCCGATCGAGCGCCGTCCAGCGGCGTAGCCTCGAAACCATCATGCCTCCGCCCACTGTTAAGAATGTGAGTCTCGCGTATACCACCAGCGTGTGGCGATACGTACCTTGCGGTCAGCTGCCTGTATGTTTCCTCGTCACGCATCGATCGCGATGGAACATTTCGATACGCATTCAATGGTCGAGAAGGCATATTGATATGTACGGCATGTCCCGACTCGGCCTTGCTCTCGTCATCATCGAAGGGAGAGGGAGAGTAAGGTCCATTTTCGACTTCGCGTCCAGAGCGAGTTGGGTACCTACTAAGAGATGCACGGAGATGACGACCCTCCCCCCGTGCCTTGAGTCTGCGTTTCCGGATTAGATCCTTGATTTTGCCGGCGGTGAAGGCCAGTACCATTGAGCAAGCAATGAATATGCACACGATTGCTGCGACGTGCCAGGTGTTGGATGTGTCGAGTCCTCGACGTTCCAGCGTCGAGTGGGTTGGTTTGACATGGTAGAAAGAGTAGCGTCTCATGGTTGCGGTGTGGTGTGGTGTGGTGAGAAGCAAATGTGGAAATGTTTGAGTTGTGGTAGGGTAGCTGCGGAAAGATATGGCAGTGTCTCGGACCGAGTTCATTGTCTCCTGATGAATAAAGACATCAAAGAAAGTGACACATGGAGACAATGAGTTGCTTTAGTGAATGAGACAAACAGTAGTGGGTGGATCTTTGTCAAATGACAATGCGCTGTTTCCTGTTTCCTGCCAGGACAGAGTGCCCACGCGCCGAGGACATTCGAGAACACTTATTAGGCACAGGCGCTGGGCGTCTGGTAGATATCTACTCAAATCGAGTTTTATCATGTACGTGATGTGTGTTGAATAAAAGGCCGCACCGTCCATTTCCCAGCTCTGTTTCGCCACAATACTAGGTTCACAAGGTATCATCTACCAAGCGACGAGAGGTGGCCGCTGGTAAACAATATACCATGCATTTGCACCGCAAAGAGTCGAGAAGCAGCTCGGCTGCAGAGAAATCGTCCTGACTTTACACCATCCTACGTCCTCGTCGGTACTCCCCTCGATCTCCTCAAGCCCGTCATCTTCTTCGTCTTCATCTTCATCTTCATCTTCATCGTCATCGTCATAGTCATAGTCATCCTCTTCTGGACCATAGGGCCACTTCCGCATGATAACGTTCACCCACGGATCCCGCTCAGTCTTGTAGGAATCTAGGGAAGCTTGATCAATCTGCACGCAAAAGCGATATCGCGCATTCTGGCTTTCTGCCACCGGATGCACAGCTTCAGGCTGCCCATGTAGTCCTCCACGCGATCTACAGAGGTTTCCATGTTGTATGCCTTGGCTGAGCGTTGAAGGGAACGGAAGGATGACCGGAGAGGAAAGACTGGCAGTTTTAAAGCTGCCCGCAAGATAGTGGAGAGAGCTAATCGAGAGCGATGATTTTATTAAAAGGTCCTCGTCTTAATAGCTCTGAGCCTGATTTGTTGTCGCTAGCCGCTGCTCTTATGATTTTGTCACAAGGCACAGCCCATGCGATGTGATCTATACTTCGTCCTCACTGAAACCTTCAAATTCATCGCTATCATCATCACTCCCCACCGAGTTGGCAGTGTCCATTACCGAAGCTTTGTCAGAGTCGTCCCTTACAAAGCCAGCGACGAAGAAACCCATGGTTCCATCATCGCCAGCCTTGTCACATCTGATGCATGCCTCTGCAACATCCGCAACATTCATTCTCTTCCTTGCCTTGGAGGAGCCGGTCTCTGATAAAGCAAATTGTGCATCTGCTTCGTGTCCTCTCTTATGCCATCTCTGCATACCGTCAACTTGATTGGATCGCTTCATGATGCTCCACCCGTGTTGTATCGCAACATCAGACAGTAGGGCCTTCACAACGACATGTTCGTTCTCCTCTGCGTGTACAGAGCAAGTCGAATAGGTTATCCGTCTAGCTGCTGGGAATGCCATTGCATGCTGCAGAAGCCGAAGCTGGAAAGTAGACAGCTTTTCCAATCTGGCCTTCAGTTTCGAGCCATCCTCAGGCACTTCGTCGGCCTCTTCTTCGGCGATGGCGACAGGTGCTTCCGGCTCTGGCACTGGCTCCGATTTTGCTGGTTTACTGCTCCGTTTCCGCTTCTTGCCTTTGGGTGCCGAATCCTCTGCAGTGGCTGATGGAAGGTGTACCGTCACGCTTGCTTCATCTCTGCCTACAATCCCGCTTCCAGAGCAACTGGGATCCAAAAGCAGTGCGACAACATTTGCCGAGTCTTTCTTCTTGGGATCGATTCGGAGGAAGTCTTGCTTTGCTTTGATGACTACATTTTTGTTGGCACCGGCCAAGTTCACCATCTTGTCGAGCGTCTTGGAACGCTCGGCATCCTTTTCGCACGCCGTGACGCGACTTTTTGTGGCACTGTCCTCAGAAGGAGCAGGACCGGCCAGGATTGAAGCCAGGTGTGTGGTCTTGTTCCCCGGTGCCGCGCACGCATCGATCACGTCGCCCTCACCCGGCTTAGGATCAAGCAGGTAAGCTGGGAAGCAAGAGGCCTTTTCTTGGAATATGAAGCGACCGGTCTTGTACGATTTGAAGCTGGATGGATCTTCGGGACCAACGGTAGCGATGAGATTCGGCACATGTTCGTCGATGAAGAGAACACGGCTTCCTGGGATTGCGTGGGTTATCTCTTGAAGATTCCTGGCCTTGGTGTAGCCTGCAAACGTTGTGGCCAATTCGTCCTCTAGTGTAGCTTTCAGCGTGTTGACTCGTATCCATCGGGGATGTCGATAGGGTGCCGAGCCATCTTCATTCATCTGAACATCGCCGGCATTTTCCGAGTTGACATGAGCTCGAAGCTCATCGAGCGAAGCAAGACGAAGCCGGATCYTCAGCTTGGTCAGCTCTGCAGAAAGTCGATTTTTGTGCCGGCTGATGATAGCATTGAGACCGTGAGTCTGTGGCAACGCGACTCCCTTTTTGGCGAGGAGAAGATCGTGGGTGAGAAGGAGGGCCAGGATTGGCGTGAGCTTCGCGTCGTTGTCAGCAATCGTTGATCGATTTGTTAAAAGGTTCCTGTAGACCAACATTCTTCTCAACTTTGAGAATCCCGCTCTTCTCGACAACTTCGGACAGAACGGTGCTCCATTTGGCGGCCTCTGCCGTCAGGGCAAAGAGAATTCTTCCATCGGTTTTCCAAGTCTTGCGGCCAAACACTAGAGACTTGAGAGACCCTCCATCTTTCTTTGCTGCAGTCAGAATCTCTGCGGCTTCATGATACAAAGACATTATTTATGTTCGCTGCCACGTTGAGCAGGCGATGAAGTTGGGCCCAGATGTAATTTTGGCCCACTAAAGTCCATGTTGCGGTCTGGTGCGCCGTGGATCGGACTAGCGCGAAACTCCAAGACGCAGGTATAGTATTGCATGCATGTACATACTAGGTAGTGCCGGATGGTCGTTCGAAAACTTACAGTGTATGTTAAACATTGACTATACAACATATCATCTACCAACATCTTCTGATCCTACACCAACACCTCTTCTTCTGGCCTTGATGATGGCATTCAAGCATTTCCCTACAGCTTCCATGTCGCCCAAAAGGGTCACATGTCCTCTTTCAGAGCTTACGACACCACCTTTTGCTACTTTGTAACCCTCCGGAGCCATTGCTGCCTTTGCCAGGACGACACCGTCACCGCTAGCAAATGCTAGTTCGTCGTACGAATCTGCATGCTTCATACCCTCTCTACCATCGATCTTAGCACCAAACACAGTCGGAGTATCTTTCCCTGTAGCATGAAGTGTTAGCACGAAAGGCGGAATGAGAAATCCACGCAACGGAGCCCGGCATGCACTGAGATGCTTACCGTATATTACCGCGATTGGCGGATAAAGGTTCGCAGCGTCGTGTTTCGGATCGAAGAACAACTCCTCCTTGAATTTCTTAACCGTGGCCAGTGTTCTGGTGAGGTACGCGATGGCTTCTTCCCGAGGAAGAGTTACGGCTGTGCGCACCGAAGCAGGTTGATGTTCCTCATCATCGGCATCGTTCGGATCAGTATCCGTGGCTATGTTCCCACTTGCCATGGCAACATCGCTACTTTTCGCGTTGGATCCCATCGTGTCCGGCGCTTCTACACCTCCAACAGCAGTGGTTTTTGATAGGTCGCCTGGAATCCTCGGGCTAGAGACGCTCTTTCGACGAGGAAGAGAGAAGCTTGGGAATGCACTGGTGACCGAATTGACATAGCCAGAAATTCCCGTAGGCTTCGGTGGCGGAGAAAGTGGTGGCAGCGGTCTGCCAACGCAAGGCGACAAGCGATTGTCAATCCATGTCTGCGGGTCGAAGAAGTCCACAGGATACTCTTCCTTTGTTGTTTTGTCAAAGAAACATCTTCCGTCGAGAGGAAGAAGTGCGAAAGAGGTCCGTATGGTGAAATTGACCTGTGCTGTGAGGACACGGGAGCTCATGAGGACTTCATCGCCATTACGCAACGGCCCGAGAATGTTTACACATGTAGTTGGCACTCCGGCGTATACCACGCCTCGAAAGAGTTCTGGACGTTGATTCACCGCGTGACGAGTGATCAAACCACCAAGCGAGTGCGCGAGAACCGTTGCTCCACGTCCAGAATTGGCCACGCCGGGCTGATTGCTTGGTAGTGTTTGAAGAAATTTGAGCAATTGTGCGCTCAGATGGGCAGGGTGAAGACGCCAATCGTATCCGTAGTCGTGCACTCTGAGCTTCCCGGAACGAGCATTCTCACATGATCGAAGACGCTTAAAAAGCCTCCGTGAGATGTCAATTGGTCCTATGTGACTCAGCATACCACCGGGGATTACGGTCTCGGTCGCACGCTCATCACCATCTTCATCGATTGCCAACTCGAGATCTACCTTGCGAAGGTTCAATCCGACTTTGATTGGAACCCATAATTGACGATGCGGCGGCTCTGCTGATCTCAAAATTGAACCTGTGGCAAGTCAGCGCGCTGTGTGGTGTCGAAGCTGGAGTAGTCGCACCTCGATATCCTCCCAGTATCACAACGTCGCCCTCGAGCTGTTCTAGTGCTTGGCTGAAATGTGGATGCTCGATGCTTGATTTGTCCCAGCTCTCTGACATGGCTGCTTTCGCAGACGAGTAGGGCTGTCTTGTCAGGGGATCGACAGGTTTCTGAGGATTCCGTGTTCGATGAGGTAAACTGTCGGATGACTCGCTGTTCAATGGCCTTGCGAATAACGAGTTTGAACGTTCACGGTTCATAAAGTCGGGTGTAAAGCTAGAGACGCTGAAGCTCGATATGGAAGGCATGCTGGGTAGATTAATCTTCGAGTCCTGTAGACTGTCCTTTATCGCTTTGAATCTACTGTTTCTAAAAACGAGGGAAACGTCAGCATCATGCGAAATCAGCCGTGAGATGACTTGATGCTACTTACACCTGTTCCGAGATGTGCTCGAAGCGAGTATCATCGCCCAAAGAAGATACCATCGAAAGCGTTCGCTGCGTGACGAGTGAGTTGTCGGAGGTAGACCTTCGAAGCTGTGGTGGCCTCGTCGTGCCCGATTTGATGCGTTGGAGATGGTAGTTCGTGGGCAGAGTCCCCACGGCTGCCCGTGCCTCCTCGCTCTGCTTGAAAGACTCGGGCTCGCTCGCATCTTGAGGTGAAGTTCGCGATTCAGTGTATAGAGTGGATCGTCTGGGTGAACTCGAAACTTTTCGAACTTCTTTGGACTGTTCACGAGAGGACGAAAAAGTGAAACCTTTTGGCAAGGAAGATAACCACGAATCTGGACCCGACCAGGAGCGCTTCCGGCCGAAGAAGCCAGCATGCAATATGGATTTAGTTTTGCTGGATCGCTGGGTACCGAATTGCCTGGGATCTGGAACGCGCCATGGAGAAGGTATCCTCGCGCCTGGTCTGCTCGATGAGCCCACCTGGTTTCGCTGGGCAGATTCGCGCTCATCTTCTTCATCGTCATCATCATCTACAGTCTCGGGAAAGCCTTCAGCTGTGCCATCAAGCACCGTTCCGAAGAAACCGCCTTCCCTTTCTATAGCTGCGGCCTTCTCATTTGCGGGCGTATTGGGCGAGGTAAATCTGGTCTGCTCCCGTCCAATTGAAACGCCTATCGCAGTTCGGGCCTGCTCCCCGCGAATTTCGCGCGAGCCTGGAGATTCCTCATCAGAGGAAGTTGCCTGGTCTGCAATGATGGAATTGTATTGAAGGTCAGCAAGTGCCCGGCGGCTCGCAGGCCGAGTTGTTGCGGTGGCGTCCATCATTATCGCAGATTGGAAATCCCAGCAAGGATGACGAGCGCAGGCTCTTGGTGATGTATATATTGTTCTGGTTCAGCTGCTCTCCGCCGTCGTCGACATTGTTGTATCTCAAGGTCTACGCAATGGCGCATGGAAAGTGGCAGTGCGCCATCCTTCCCGCCATCCTGCAACGAGAGGTCCGAGTCTAATAATCCTCGCCAGGTTTTGTTCGATGTCTGCCGGTGTTTCCGGATGTCTCGTATTTTACGATGAGGCAGGGATGATTTCATCGGCAGCGGGAAGGCCGGGTGGTCCCATAATCCCGGGAGTGATTACGCACCCCTTACGTTTCTCTCGATTCTATTGGTCATCATTCTTCTCTCCACCTCGCATCACATCCCACTTCGGGGCGACGTCTGAAGAACGCTCGGGGCTCCGTGTACCTACCTTACCTACCTTAGTAGTTCCTATCTACCTTAGGCGCTTCATAACTACAAACGGAATTCCGACTGAGAGGCAAACAAAGGTACTATCTGCCCTACAAGCATCTAGCCAAATACTACCTGTTCTTCTACGTCGACGCCGAACCGCCTGACAGGAGACACCTTCCGTCTACCATCAATGCATCACGCAACGAGCCGAGGCGACATAACATKCGATGTCACACCTTGTAGAAGGATTCTTCCAAGGGTCTGAACGCTGCATTATCGTAGGTATCCATCTTGGATGGCCTCGAACGTGTTTCCAAGGCGTTTGACGAGGCGAGCAATGCCGGATCGCAGAATCGCAGTCCGAGCTTCCATCTACTATCTCTGCTCTATAGCCTCCCTGATTCATAGGGCGAGGTTGGAACTGCGACTTTGATACCTCGTCTCATCAAAGTGAAGATCGCTCCAGAGATAGCGGAGATTACTTGTTGATGGAAAGCTCGCAGTGAGACCCGAACCTCCCCGACACCAGACCTCACGTCGTCTTGCGGTAGCGTCTCGACATAGAGGGCGGAGATGCGCCCTACAGCTYGAGATTCGATTGCACGCCTGCTGGAAGAATGGAAGCCTACGCGTGGGGAAGCTTGAAGCGTCGATTGGTCGTTCAGCTCTCTCGAGCTGGCATTCGAGCTTTGGCAGTGAACCCCTTCTGCAAGCATTCAGCGAACGAGGAGCTTTGATTGTCAGGAATAATGTCCGTTGCAAAGAGACATTCTACCTTGTACCTCCTCAATTCGCATTGGCTGTGACACAAATTCCCGGCGTCGCCATATCACAAATTGCTTCCCGGCAAGCTGCAAAAAGACGGCCCTTCGCGACTACGAATAAAACCCTGATGCTTCTTATCTTCGCATTGGCCATGCCCAAAGGATGCGATTCTAGCTGGAAGAGTCCTAGACTTCGGTGTGTATCCATGTGATGAAGCATGGACGCCGTTAGCCCAGAGAGTGTGCAGGCCCGTATCGCAGTGGTCGGTTGTCGTACTTCGACGGCACTGTCGCGATAATATGCCGACCGCTCCTACGTGAACGGCATCGTGACACATTGAAGGGACTACGAGACCGAGAGGCGCCCAGCATCCAGCAAGGCTGTTAGCCAATCGACGCGAGGTGAGAGATTTGAAGATTCCAGTCAACCCGCTCTGATGCATAGAGAGCTCCACCAGCTGTAGACTGGAACATCTGCCAAGGCAAATCGCCCATTCTGGCAATCCCTTCCGATACTGGACTTTGAGTTTGATCCGGACAAGCATTTCCAAGCCATCATGCCAAGTCGCGGCAATCCCATTCCCCGCGATCGGGCGGTGGGACAGATCAGTCTATCGCGTGTTGAAGGCGACTGTGTATAGAGTGAGAGCTAGCATAGCGTGTCAGCATACTAAGGATGGGAGATTGATCAATCTGTCTTAGGCCAAAGGGCCGAACCATGAGAGAAACTTACCGATGTGAATGTGTCAAGCGAAGGCAGGGCCCATTCATTGGCCGATAATGCCGATAGAGGCAACTTTAAATGGATCACGCCTCTCTCCGCATGTAGGGCGTTGTTCCTCAGACTCCCTTTGCGAACGACGAGGAGTCCCACCTCGATTCGAATTCATATTCGAAGTTGAATTCAAAGTCATGGCTTCTAGACGGCAGAGCCTCGTGGCCGACGATGACCATCTGGCTGCTTTGGGAATCCAGCAGGAATTGAAGAGGAATTTCAGCCCTCTTTCTGTGAGTGACAAGCATGGAACTCAAGGCCTACCCTCGGCCTCTGATGATGAAGATGTATGCTGATTTGCTCAGATGTTGGGCCTCGCCTTTGCAATTCTCAACTCATGGACCGCACTATCAACATCGATGAGCTTGGCTCTGCCCTCTGGTGGATCCACTTCGGTCATTTGGGGCCTCGTTACAGCGGGATTCTTCAACTTATGCATTTCTGCATCACTGGCAGAGTTTCTATCGGCCTATCCGACCGCTGGAGGCCAGTATCATTGGGTACATATCATCGCATGGGATAGCTGGAAACCAATCCTCTCGTGGGTGACTGGCTGGATCAACTGCTTTGGATGGATGGCTCTAGTCGCTACAGGAGGTCTACTCGGCAGCCAGATCATCATTGGCATCATCCACCTGTATCATCCCTTCTATGAGCCACCAGCGTGGCACCAATTCCTCATATACATCGGATACAACACCTTTGCAGCATTGTTGAATGCCTTTGGAAACTCGATCTTACCTTTGGTGAACAAGACAGCAATCATCTGGAGTATTTCTGGATTCATCATCATATGTATCACTGTGCTGTCATGTGCCTCTCCTAATTACAGCAGCGGAGAATTCGTCTACCGGAATTTCATCAACACGACAGGATGGCCGGACGGGATCGCCTGGATGCTGGGCTTGCTTCAGGGAAGTCTTGGCCTTACTGGATACGATGCCACCGCCCACATGATCGAAGAGATTCCCAATGCTGCGATTGAAGGACCGAAGATCATGATCTACTGTGTCTTGATTGGACTCTTTACCGGGTTTGTCTTCTTGTCGAGTTTACTCTTCGTTGCTGGAGATATCACCGAGGTTATTAATTCGAAAGCTGGGCCATTAAATCAAATCATGTACGAATCATTCCACAACCTGACTGCAGAAAGGTGCCTCTACTGACGAGATCTCATTAGATTCAACGCCACAAATAGCAACGCCGGCACTGTTTGCCTGCTCATATTCCCTTTGGTCTGCCTGCTATTTGCGACCACCTCCATCATGACCACTTCATCTCGAATGACTTATGGTAAGACTCGCAGCCTCATCTCCCTGTGACATCCACTGACAATGTGCTAGCATTCGCTCGAGATGGCGGGCTGCCATATTCCCRGATATTCTCCCGCGTCCACAAAAAGCTCGATGTGCCTCTTGAGGCGCTCGGTCTCACCGTGGTCGTGGTAGTCATCTTCGGACTCATTTTCCTCGGCTCAAGCAGCGCATTCAACGCAATCGTCTCGGCGTCTGTGGTATCGCTAGGTGTCTCCTACGGAATTCCGGTCGCCATCAACTTACTCCGTGGTCGTCGGATGCTTCCTCCAACCCGTTCCTTTGTGCTTCCGGAATGGCTCGGCTGGTCAGTCAACATCCTCGGAGTTGCCTTTGTCATTGTGACAACCGTCTTGTTCGTCTTCCCGCCAGAGCTCCCAGTGAGCGGCTCAAACATGAACTACTGCATTGTTGCTTTCGCTGTAGTCTTCATCATCTCTCTCATCCAGTGGTTTGTGGATGGGCAAAAGAACTACTCGGGACCAAAAGTACACTTTGAGGATCTTCCGGTTTTGACGGCTACGCATAGTCCCGAGGGCTTTCCGACGCGGGAGCTCGGAGATGTATCGATAGATGTCAACGGCAATGGTAAAAGCATATAGATTCCGATGGAAAGGCCACAAACATTATGATGGGAATGTTCAAAGGATTTCTTGCACCTCTCTTCTCCTCTCAAAGCTATCAATGTGCAGTTCGCCCACTAAGGCATGCGACAGTTTTCAGCCGGAACGTGTATTTCCGCCTTTTGATGAGCAGCTCTACCAATTGCGTGGCTACTAACTTGTCCAAAATCAACGATTGTACCGAGAGAGAACATTGTGCAAGATTGGTCGAAATGTGGACGCAAACAACTTGACGTTATCAAAAGGAGTCTATTCGCTATGCCCGCTCTCGCTGTAAACGCTCGCAATGAGTCCTGTGTCCCKTGTCCCAAATAAAAACCACCATTCTTCCCATCACCTTCGCGTGTTCTAATCCACCAATCGCTCGCTAATGGTCATTGGAGTGCCTTCACTCACAAAACATCTACAGCAAACTCCTCACACCCTCGAGTCTCCATCTCACATCCTTCAGCCCTTTACTGACAGGTCTCCAAGATTCAAACTCCCCAATGAGCTCCTTGACCTCTTGCTGAAGTCGAGGATCCTGCTTCACTATATCCTCGGAGAGCATTCCTCTAACAGCCCAAGGAAGGACAAAGGGGTTCTTCTCGGCCGGTGCAGCACTTCCAATGGGTGCTCCATAGGCTGCGGTGGTCGGTGCGATCCCTGTCCCTGCCAAGTTCAGCGAGGAAAGACTCCCACGTCGCATGTGGTTCGCAGCAGTCATGTTCTTTGGATAGCCCGCCTGACCAGCTCTCCTATTTCCGTCAAGACTTCGGCGTTTGTCATCCGGCGTAGCATCAGGCGAGGCTTGCCTTCCCTTGGGTGGGACGACAGGAGCCTGTACGTCTGTACTTTCCAGTGCGAATTCAATAGCTTGCATGTAGACCGCAGGGTCGTCGTAAACACGCGAATGCCCTTCTCCGCCCACAATTGAGCCAGCTAGAGGTGAGCTCAGCTCGCGAAGCAGTCCATGATCACTGACCCCCAAGTTCCGTAATTTGGCAGCGAAAACGACGAGGTGGATCAAGAAATTGCTGGTGTGAACTCTTCCATCAACGAACACCGTGCGGCTGACATACGGGTGTGTTACCGGCGCGTGAAGCGCACTCTCCAGACTGACAAGCTGATCATCAAGAGAGCCAACATAGGTGATTCGAACGCCGTGGCGCAAACAGATGTCGAGCGCATCTGCGTAGGCGACTGAGACTTTTGAAGCGCTGTCACCGAAATCAAAAAGTTCGGAAGCAGATCCCGCAAGGAAGCGGCTCTTGTACTCAGTGAATGGTCCAAGGTTAATGCCGGCCATTGCACAGACTCCGATTCTCACGTTCGGACTGAGGCACCCGAGCTGCAGGAGCTTCGCGATAAGTTGTATGCTGACCGGAACGCCCTGGGAGTGGCAAGCGATCAGTATGAAATCAGCAGACCTGAGATGAGACAGCCAGTTTAGGAGAAGTTTCCAAAGCGTGTCGACTCGTGAAGAAATGTAACCTTCTCCCTCGAGTGAAACTTTCTCAACTTCCAGACCTTTGATCTCGGGTTGGTGCTCTGCACACCAACTCTTGATGCTCGCAGCTGCATAGTTGGCGAAGCGAATCGAAGTTCCTGTCGGCTGTCCTACGAATCTATGCAGAAATGCAGCAGGGAAGAAGCCATGAACGCCGATCGCRATGGCCTTGCGTATCTTGGGCGGCGTAGGGTTGATGAAAGGATGATTCGCAGCCCTGGGAGGTTCATAGCYCGATATGTGGAGCGTTTGGCCAACGTATGAGGTCAGGCGGTCAATCAATCCCGGGGCGGAGGAAAGAGGGTATGTGTCACGAAATGTCGGAAGAATGAGATTGRGACGATGGTGAACATCTGATTTCTTTCCCCGCTGGACGGATTGTGGAACTTCGTTCTCGATTCTCACGGCCTTCGCTGGCACTTCCACGGGTGTCTCACGGCCTGACGTGATTGGCGTTGGCTGAGACTGTGACTCGTCTGGAGTGGCAACTGCCGTGTTTTCCCCTGAAAGAGCCTTCGACCGTTTGTTGTTGCCTGGCCTTAGGCGAAGCAAAGAGCTATTGCGCTTCCCTTCAAGCCCTTCAGGTTTACGATCTTCGCGCTGCTCGTTAAACTGTGCAGCTTCGGGGTGGCTTTGACTAGGTGTATCAGCAACAGCCAGCTCACCGATCTGCTTCTGCGTTAAATCTGCCGATGGAGCCGGCTCCTTGGACCAGAACGCCCACCCCGAAGATCGTGGTCGCTCATCGCTATTGTCACTGTCTTTCGCTCTTGTGGTAACGTTGGGTTCTGCCGAAGTCTTGTCCTCGGCTGTTGTGCCAGGATCAGCTGTGACCTCTATAGCAGGCTGCTCCTCGTTGAGATCCCTCTCCTCAGACTCCCGCATCTGTTGCTCTTCGGCCACAGCTTGTTGGTTCTGTTTGCTGCTCCATAGTCCAAACCAGGATTTGCCCGAGGACGTGTTGACACTCATTTCGGGCTGGAGAGCTCCTGTAGCGTCCTCCTCCTCAACGATAGCGTCCGGCTGAGCAATGGTCCTTGTCGCTTCGTCTTCCGGCGTCCCTGGTAAAGGTRTCCCTGTAGCATCTAGATCTACAGCAGCATCCAATGCCACCTTGGTCGCGCTTTTCCCACCGTCTTTCTTATCCACATCGCTACCATAGTCGTCCGGCCTGGACCACCAGCCGAACCACGTCCCAGAGCTAGTCCTCACACTCGTCAATTCTGTGTCTTTCACCTCGTCCTTGAGATCAACATCCTGCATTGTCTCAGCCTCGGGCTCGGGAGGCAAGGGTGCCTCCTCAACCACGGTCTCCTTCCTCTCGCCTCCTCCGTCCTTCACCTCCTTGCGCTCCTCTTGCACTGCCAACTGTTTGGCCCCGCCGCTCTTTTCGCCCATGGTCTTCCTACCTTTGGGTACGCTGGGAAGATTGCTCGTAGCATGCACCTTGGTCGCTTCCGCCAYGAGAGGTACGCTCTTACGTGAGGTTGTCCCCTTGAAGCTTTTGCTCACATTCTGCGAGGGCCGTCTCGCTTTCGTATTACCTTCCTCGTCCGACTTGACTTCTCCTGATTGCCTAGCTTCACTGCTAGAAGAGCTCACGCCCTGGGCGACTGAAATGCTCTCTCTGGCGACCTGTGCTACAAGGACGGCAGCTTTGCTGGCAGTCCCACTTCGCCATGGAGACGCGGCGGTTGAATACCAGCTCCCCGCACGTGTGTGCTCTTTCCCGGGGGTAGAAGTGGACTTTTCACCGGTTCCACTCTTTGTGTTTCCGCCATCGTCATGTCTGGGCTCTATCGGTGGCAATGTCTCGTTATCGGCGGGTTCCGTCTTCGTTTTCTTCCTCGCCGGCGCCATTATKCACTGAACAACATGCAGCAAGATGGCCAAAGAGCGCTGCTCCGCTGTGAAGGAACCGAGCAGCGATGTGAGCGAATTTGTAGCCGCGCTTCTCTAGTTTGCGCCTTTTACCATCATATCATCGTCACGCACACACGTGATGGAAGCTTGAGGCGCGTGATTCTAGCGCGGAAGTTACTCGCGTGGGGTGCGTCTTCGTCTCCGACTCTTTGTTTCATCCTCTGCTCATGTTCAACAAAATGTTCAAAGAAAACTCCAGAGAGAGGATCAGTAAGACGCGCCTGCCATCAAGATGTGATACGAACAAGGCAGTCACGGTGGACGCACAACATGTCTCGAAATATGGAGAACCGTGACACCCAAGGGACAGTGAAACTGAAGTCTAGTGTACCTGGACTGCCCTTCCACAACAGTCAGAGACGTCGTCCTTWCTCGGATCATAACGAAAAGGATCTCGCTCGAAGGCACACTGGACCCTCGACAGCATGCGCCTGTTTTGTGGTCATATCTAGCTTGTTACCAGCGTGATCCTCGAGTCGTGGCGCGGAGAACCAGCAACTGTCATTTTGGACGTCTCTCGACCGCGTCTTGAAGCAGCAGGACTGCAACCGGGCAATACAAAGATACCGTGAAAAGAAGAGATGGATTTTCGAGGTACGTTCATGCAAAGCATCTAAGTTGAGATTGAAGCAAACTTCGAGGCTTGATCCATCCCATCCCTTCAACAGCTGCAAAGGGTATCATCATCGTGTCATCTCGTGTCACCCATCATTCCATATCATCCTGAATCTAGTTCAAAGCCTGCAAGACGTTCTCGGCAAAGCTACGGTAACGCTGGGAGCCTCGTCCTCGACGAAGATGGACTTGACCACACCGTTCTCGACGATGGCGGCGTAGCGCGACGAGCGAGTGTTACCGAGGAGACCAGCAGCGTCGAAGGCCATGCCCGCGGCGGTAGTGAACTACGATCATGGTCAGCATCTCCACTTCTTCACATGGTCTACAGCATCATACATCACCAGTGTCGTCAGCGAGGAAGTGCACGATTGGGTTCGAAACGCCGAGCTTCTCCTTCCAGGCCTGTGTGACGAATGCGTCATTAATGGCGACGATGTAAATGCCCTGCACACCCTTGGCCGCGAACTGCTCGGCGTGAGAGACGTAGCCGGGGACCTGCGAGGAGCATGCAGCCAAGGAGGGGAGACACTCTTGTCCCAACAACATCACTCAATTGCTCAGTTTACAGGTGTAGTCGATCCAGCTTCTCCTTCACCACGGCTGGATTATGACGCACGGCGGACGGTCCACCGGTACCGTTATGGATTCCGTCTTGCAAGACATAATGATCCCATCAGACCTCCGAGTGGAAGAGCTCGTTATCTCGAGATTGGCGGGAAGCACACAGAACACACCACGAGCACATCCGTTCTACACCCTGCGCAACGGTCACGATCCGACAGCTTCCTTGAGTTCATCCATGGTGTGGATTCGTTTAGGCGGCGTCTTCTCTCCAGCATCCGCTGTCCGCCGCAGCGGAATCGGCGTGCGATGAGCTGACGATAGAGATTCCAGACTCGTCAACCGATGGTCGTCGAACTGAACAGCAAGTGATATGGAAGATTTCTGATGCTATACTATTGATTTGACCTCTTTCGTATTCATCATCGATTTCCTGCAACGCTTCAGCTATACTTTGCCCCGCTGTCGCTGTGGCTCGACACTTTCAAAGGCTCGTCAACATCATATCCAAGCTCACCATCCCCGTCGACCGGATGAGGCTTACCCTCAAGAGTTGGATCAGCGTCTGCCGCCACTGGAGGTCCAGTAAACGTCTTCCTTCCCCTAATGAAATACCATCCAAGACTGATCGCCGCGAAACCCATGAATACTACTGAAGCGTAATTCATGGAGCTGGCTGTAACCGGTAGACTGACCGGCATACAGAAAATCACGACTGCTAATACGATCCAGGTAAGACAGGCGATGTTTATCGCGTAGCCAAACTTTCCCAGCGGGAATGCAGAGTGCTTCACCATCTTGCGTTTCCGAAGCACAGAAACCAAAATGGGGAGACCATAGCCACAAGACAGACAAATCGTGGCGACGCCAGTGAAACTGCCGAAGGCTGCTGTAGAGCCAAAGTAGATCAACCCAAGCAAGCAATCCACAACCGTCGAAAGGACTAGGCCCCAGAGAGGAATGTCCAGCTTGGCGTTGGTCGTTCCGAACCATCGGCTTCCTGGAATGGCTCCGTCGCGAGCAAATGCGTATGTACAGCGACTTGAGGCGGTCAAAGCACCGACGCCTGCGAAGAACCAGATTCCTAGGATCAAGAACAGCAGACCAAACCCGCCTGCTTTGGAGCCTGTCACAAGCTTGAAAAGCGTACCAATGGGTTGTCCGCTGGCCACTGCCTGCAGTGCCATGATATCCGGGAGCACGAACAGGAGAGGGATCAAGTAGATCAGTCCAGTCAGGCCTGCAGCGGCGACAGACAGGACCATGGCCTTTGGAACCTCTCGCGCGGGGTTCTGCACTTCTTCGCACATCGATGCTACTAATCCGTAACCTGTCAAGGTGTATGCAGCCTGTAACAGTCCGACGAAGAAAGCCCAGCCATCCGGCCAGCCGGATTGACTGGCGTCAAAGTGTGCGAAGACGAATTCAGCGGAGCGATAGTTATCGGCCATGGCGACCAGTGTTATCAAGATGATCAGGACGGAACTCGCAGTCCAGTAGATGCATATCTTATTGAAAAGGTCCAGGTATGCGGATCCGAAAGCGTTGACAAGAAAGCATACCAGCATAACAGCCCAGAACATCAGCACAGTCTGCCATGCATTCGCGACAAAATCTTCGTTGAAAAGGGAGATTGCACTGAGAATAAGCTGAGCGCCGGAAAAGTTGATGCTAAGGGTGACCGTCCAGTTTCCAACTAGATTGAACCAGCCCGTTGTCCTAGACAGACCATTAGCTATGTCCCCGGTAGTCTCAACGTGGACAAAGGCGTAGGGGTAGTCAAAGAAACATTCCTCGACTCTCCCATGCCTTCTACCCCCCATCTCTTACCAAGAAGCGATCGGCGCGTATTTCTTAGTCGACATCATGGCGCTCCAGTAATACACTCCGCCAGCAGTAGGATAGACGGCGCAAATCTCAGCCAGAGACGCAGCAATCGATAGCGAAATCAACGAGACAAAAACCCAGCCCCAGAGAATCGTTACGCTTTGTCCGTCGACCAGTGTGATGTATAGCGTCGTCGATAATCCAAAAGGCACGGCCATGATCGCAAAGGACATTCCAAGGATTGAGATCATAGAAAGGCTCCGCGGTAATTCAGACTTGTAGCCCATCTTCGCAAGATCAGCGTCCGCATTCGTGGCATGTATAGATTCACTCCGCCGCGCTCCGGCGGAGGACAGTCGTCGTTTGACGGTCTCCATATTATCGAAAGCTGATCCAGTAACAAATTCTTCTTCAGACAGACAAAAAGGCAAGTGAGGTCCTAAGAGGTGACGAAAGAGGGAAGCGGGAATCCCCAAGTATCTATACCGGCAATAGTTACAGGGGATGTAATCATGAACGAAACATGTGTATCTCTACGCAAGAGGTAACGACCGATAGTTATCACTTTCTCGGCGGGCGTCATGCCACGCGAGCGGTAGGACTGCGGTGCGGTTGGAAAAGGCCTAGGCGGTCCAAGGTCACTTGCTGCTAGGCGGAAAGTGGAGGCGCAATTTTAAGTTTGGGGCGAACCTTTTGATAAGGTCGCCAACCATGTCTTGGATAAGATCAAGTCATCGAAATGTGAGACTCGTGTCAGCAATGCTGTGCAATCGATATGTACAATGTTTAAACATGAGATRATGTGCACCGTAACTCCTACGCTATTCGCAAACTTCAAGCAACGATAGTACCGTACGTTCAAAATCCTTTCCGGTACTGATTCCAAAGAGTGCCAATGCGAGTCACTTGGCCAGGCGTGAAGCTTGTGTAGCAAGAATCACTGCTATAGTCCATGTAGTTGTGGATGGCCTGTAGAGAAGGTCAGTAAGACTTCCACCGATCGCATGAACGTCATCTTTGCAAATAAACTTACATCGACTCCTGTTACACCAGGACAGCTGTCCTTGGCAGGCTCCGAAGGACATCCATCAGTACTTGTAGCCTGCATGGGTGTATCCGCAATGGAATCACCATCGCCAGTACAAGAGTACCCCTCGAAAGTGTGGAGCAGGCCCAGCCAGTGGCCTGTCTCGTGGACAGCTGTCATACCCGCGTTATAACCAGTCATCGCCCCGCCGGGCATAGTGTTCGCGTTGATGTTGCATCCGTCCGAAGCGTATTGAGAACGTGCCATGCCAGCGGTGACCTGGGAGGGGAGAGTGCAAGTTCCGAGGATGCCACCTGTGAGGTCTGAGTGAAAGTAGAGGTTCAAGTCGGCGTAGGAGCCTTTACGCAGAGCTTCCTTAACCGCATCCATATTTGATCCCTCCGCCACGGCCCACGCATCGTTGGTGGTAATGGAAACGTTTATGAGTTTGAAAGTGATACCGATAGGTTTGTACGCTCGGTTCAACGTCGCTATTTGTGCAGTTGCTTGCTTCTTGGTTACGGTCCCGGCCTTCGCAGTGGTTGTGAGGAGGTGGAGGTACGTGTTGATGACTAGAGCTGGAGAAATCTTCTGCCGTTTGACAACGGCAGGAGCGCGGGTGCCAATTCCAATCTGGCTGTGTCTTGTATTGCGAGATAGAAAACGGATAGTCTCGTTATAGTGCTTCGACGCTGATGCTCTGCTGACGCCGCAGTTGAAGTGCTTGATGGTCAGATTTGTTGCCGGATCGACAAAATGTGTTATGTTGCCGTTCAAAGCCGCCGACGCCACCACAGCGAACGCGACCAAGACGATAGTTATCAAGCTCTTCATCTAGTCGATCTCTGCCTTGGTCGTGTGGAAAAGATTGAGAAAGAGATCGACGATGATTAGGAAAGTAGTTGCTCTTGCAAGTTGTAATGCTGTAGCCTTGTGGAATGTGGCAAGTTTATAGATAAATCATGATTAGACAGCGTCTGCACGCCTAGCTTTGAGTACTCAATGCTGGCACTCAACATGTGGGGAAACCACATTGAGCGTTGTACGTTTGCGTCTTGAACGCGGGTTCTAGCCAGCAGAGCCGCAAGTGACAAAGACCAGGAAGGCGGGTCGGCGGCCAAACCAGACCGAAGAACAGGAGTTCGGTATGCTTCGAGAGCGCTCGGAGTCGAGACCGACTAATTATACCGTAAGCAGAATCGATCATGAGAACCAATCGAATGCCCAGCTGGCAATCGTAAGCGCGATGCTAGATGAACCGAACGATGATCGCCAGGACGCCACGGGCCAGAACAAGATCAAAGAACCACGCAGCCACGTTCCTGTTGTTGCACAATGCCAGATAGGTCAGAAAGAATAGACTCGTTGTACTGTTTCGTGATCGTGAAGAAAGGCGTGCACAAGAGAGGCAAATACTCAGATGACCCTTTCCCATCTCAGCTTGCGCCTGAAACGCCAGACGCCCACTCCCAAACGCTTTCAGTGGGACAATGGAATTCGACAAATTCTCGTTCATGCTCCTTCGCTACTCCTTAGAGCACGACCGGTAGTTGTAGCCGAGCTCGGCTGCTCCGTTTGCCACGACAAGTAGGTATGGTCGCCGAGTTTTCTATATTGTGTGTATCAGTCGCAGCGGTCTTGAATTTGAGATGTGGAGGAATACCGACCTTGGCTTGATGAATTGAGTAATTGTGAAGACAGTGCCCAAGATGATGCACAACCCTCCTACCACGATATACGCGATTCCAAGGAACGGATTCCTGCCGCCCATGACGGTGCGGGTGGAGATGAGGATTGACTTTGTCCCGCTGTACAGCGTTACGGGAAAGTCTGATCGAGACGGTATTAGCGTGAACACCTGGATTTCAATGAGGCTAGAGCCGTCACTCACAGTCGTATATCATCATCTCATATCGGCCTATGGGCATGCTCTCATTGTCGTTGCGTAGGGCAAGCTTGCTGAAAGTCGGTAGTCCTGCCGTGCGCATCCACACCTGGAACTCTTCCCATTCCTTGAGGTCCGGGACGGGGAATGTCGCGTTCCAAGCTGGGTATCGCACACGCCAGTTCTCTGGCGGTACAATCTGGTCAATGGGCGTTTCTGTCTTGCTGTACAAGTCTGCATCCGATGACCAGGCGATTCCTTTGTTCGTCATGTTGTATGTGACATTCCCATTAGAACTACCACCGGCGTTCAACTGCACCGGGCTGAAGAAGGTGTCGTTGAAGAGGGAATTGGCGATCAACCCACACGGATAGTATGCCTTTTGCGAGCCATCCGGTTGCGTCTCTGTCCTGAGAGGATCGCACTGACTGCCCTGAATGTCGGAAGGACTGCGGTTCTTGCCCTTGAGCTGGTCCTGATCGAAAGACTGCACATATCGACGGTGGTTTTGGTAGAAGTTGGTGAGCTGGTAATACAGCAACACTGGCGGCGCCAGTTCATCTGGAATGTAGAATTGTACACGACAAGCGGTGGTGTCAACCTGCAGAAAGTCGTTGTCGTCGCCTCCATAGYCAACCTGTTTGGTCTCTTTGCACCACGTCGGCGCATCTGCAGGGGGGACTACATTTTTGAAGTGTGTGGTGATGCTACCGCTTGGAATCYCTGAAAACGAGTTCCCTTCCGTTGAGCATTGGGGAGCGTCGGCGCTGCACTTGGAGTAGTCGACGATGATTTCCTGGACCGTCGAGCTCGCCCACAGGAGGACGCCGCCGATGGGCGCAAACAAGACGCCGATACCGAAGAAGAGGGGAATGACCGTTTTCGGCGTGAGAATGGGCTGCCACGCCTTGAGTCGTTGCTGGCGAAAGGCATTGTCTGTTCATTGCAGTCGTCAGCTTCCTTCCTTCTCGCAGTTCGCACACKCGTTTCGCGCTCGTTGCATACTTGGTGGCCTGCGGCTCTTCTTCTTCTCCACTACCTCCGAGTGATTGCTGCTCGTATCCGTCTGTTCCATGGTTTGCGACATGCTCAATCAATGTGCAGAGGGGAAACGCATCAGCGACGCGGCATCAAGCACGCCAGGGCTCGGGTGGAAGTGGTCGGCGCGCGGAAGAAGCTGGACCCTTGCACGTGGCGTCGCATCCCTCGATCGTACCTATTCAGCTCAGCCTCAAGAGACCAGACCAGGATCAGATTGACTGCCGTACCTACAACTGCGACGGTTTCCTCCCCATGTCTTGCGGCATCACAAAGTCTGAAGGAAGTCTGTGAGCCTGGCACACGCCTGGCATTGATGAGACTGTTCGCCGGCAATAATGATGTTGTGCTGTTCATTGCCGTCCTGGATGTACACACTAGATATGCTGCACTGAGAGCGCACATGAGACGATGGATATGCTGGAGATTTTCATTGCTCAACGCGCGTAAATGTATGCTACACATCGCGTGAGCCATGCCATATGCCTTKGCCTTCTTCACCACAGCTATCTAGGTACTAAGGAAATCTGTCGATTTGGGCATTTACGCCTTCTCAACCCACTCGCCATCGAGCCATCTGTTTACCGCGTCCAAAGAAGCCTCGGGCTGATTGTACGGAACCATGTGTCCGGCAGCGTGAATGCGGACAAAGGTGAAGTTACCCGAAGACTTGACGGAGCCGACGTTAGAGTCACTCTGCGAGAGAGTGAGGTTCTTCATCTCCGCCTTGGCGTAAGCCTTCTGGCCGGGCCACTCAAGAGCGTTGGTCCAGGCAAGGTTGCCGAGCCTGCAAATACTGTTAGCATTGTGCTGGAGAATGCGACGAACTGTGACCACTTACCAGTTGCAAATGAAGTCGGCGTCACCAGCGTAGATCATCACTGGAATCTGCTTCAAGAGGTCTGGGACTAGACGGTGGAATGGCTGCATCCAGTCGCCGTTGAACAAGAAGTTGCGGTTGATGTCGAAGTTGCAAGAGTCGTACTTGGTCACCTCAGCACCGAGAGCCTTCATCACATCATCGCGGTTCAGGTACTCCTGGATCCACTCAAGCTCATCGTAGCACAGGCTGCCACCCTTGCACTTCTCACGCACATCGTAAACATTTTGACCAGTCTTCTGGAAGGGTCCAATAAGGGCATTGTTGCAGTAAATGCTAGCGGGAACACAGGACCAGACAGATTCGCTGTCGTAACAGCTCTGAATCAAGCTCTGGCAGCGATCAAGAGAGTTGTCCATGCTCTGGCACTCCTGCTCGCTAAGAACAGCGGGCCAGCCACCGTCACCGCAAGCCATTGGGCGGTAGTATTCGTATTGAGTGAGGGGATCGGTGAGACCGTTACCGATCAAGACAGACTGCAAATTGATGTTGCGCTTCTTGTGAGAGAGAATCTCAGATGCGAACACTGGAATGTAGTGGCCAGCGTAAGACTCGCCGGAGATGTGGAAATCCTGCTTGGCGTACTCTGGGAACTGCTTGAAGAAGAGGGTCAACAGGGCGTAGACATCTTTGCCGGCCGCGACAGTGTTGGAAACAGCGCTACCGGAGTAAGAGTAGCCGACGTTGACAGGCTGGTCCAAAAAGATGACGGAAGCGTTAGCGTTCCAGCTGCTTGGGTTGTACTTGGTCTTGCCGTCCTTTGTGATGGAAGATGGTCCCAACTCCATGAACAGACCAGTCAGGGATGAGCAGCCTGGGCCACCGTTCAACCAGAGGACCACAGGGTCGTTCTTCGGATCGTTTCTCGACTCAAAGAACCAGTAGAAGAGGTGCTTGTCGTCCTCTTCGTTGTCCAAGTACCCGGAGTATTGCTTGACGGTGTCTACGCCGAGACTTTTGGGATCGACCTTCTTGGTGCGGAGCTTGAAAGCCTCGAGGCTACCATCGAGCTCGCGCTCTTTCTTGCCCTCAGAATTGATGGTGAACATCTCCTCGATGGCCTTGCCAGAGGTGTGAAAGTCCCACTCGCTGTCATGCTTGCGTTCGTGCTTCTTTGGGGTGCTGAAGAAGGATGCCTGGCTCATGGCCTCTGGAAACATCATGGCGACCTCATCCCAGGTCGAGCGAGCCTCGTCGGTAAGATGCTTCAGCTCATTCCCSAGGTTCTGCAATGGCTTGGACCACGACGATGCCTTGTCGCTGGCGGCCTTGAAGACATCATGGAGAGCTCCAGGAGCTTTCAATGGCTGCTGCTGCTGCGGGATAGAAGCCACGGCAGCGCCGACGAAGAGGGCCGATGCTGCGACCTTCATGTTGACGGTGTTTCGGAGTCAGGCGGCAGGAGTCTTGGTGAGTAGCGGAGAGATCTTGGATGTGCTTCAAGCAAGACGGAGCGAAGCAGGAGTCGGTTCTTGGGGATCTCACAGAGATTTGATAATGGTAAGATGGTCCAGCCAACAGTAGATGGTGGTGGATGGAGAGAAGAAGCAGGAACCGGGACGAAGAGGCGAAGCTCAAGACAAGGCGGCTGGTCACATGTCAGGTACACACCAACGCCGAACACAGACGATGTCATTAGCGCCCCGATAAGAGCTAGGGTCGTCGTGGGGGGTTTCGGGCGGCCCGTCCAAAAGCCGAGAGAGTGGAGACGAATCGAGCGCGATGAGCAATCTTCTGAGAAAGTTCGCATGAATTCGACGAGTCTTTAAACACAGCACGACGTTATAGGCATCACAGTACAAGATGCCGTCAGCACAGATTAATCAGCCTTCCAACCAGATCAAGTTGACAAACGTCAGCTTGGTCCGTATGAAGAAGGTGAGCCCGGCATTCTTTTTTACAAGCATCTCGCTACTATTCTAATAAATCCTCAGGGCAAGAAACGCTTCGAAATCGCCTGCTACAAGAACACCGTAACGTCTTTCCGCGCGGGCAATGAAACMGATCTAGACAATGTCCTCCAAATCCCCAACGTCTTTATCAATGTCTCAAAAGGCCAAGTCGCACCCAATGATGACCTCAAAAAGGCCTTTCCCAACATGAGCCGCGATGACATCGTACTGGAAATCCTCAAAAAGGGCGAGATTCAGGTTGGAGAAAAGGAGCGATCGCAGGAACTGGATAGAGTGCACAAGGAAGTCATCGAAATTGTGGCGGGGAGACTTGTGGACCCGAAGAGTAAGAGAGTCTACACGACGGGCATGATTGAGAAGGCGCTGGATCAACTGAGCAGCAAGGGAGGCGGAGCAGGACGGGCTCCGGCGAAGGGAGGTGCGGTAGAGGGTAGTGATCGGAGTAAGAGTCGGGATCAAAGTGCTGCAGCGGCAGATTCTGGATCGAGCACACCCGCGAAAGGGAGTGGGGATGCACAAGGAGAGGCGAAGGTGGTAGATAAGGCGAAATGGACGGGAGTGGTCACTACGAGGAGTTCCAAGTCGCAGGCGCTGGATGCGATGAAGGCGCTTATTGCCCATCAGCCTATCCCCGTGGCGAGAGCAAGGATGCGACTGAGGATTACTTGTCCAACCAGCGTTCTCAAGCAAAGCGTAAAGTCGGCTCCAAAAGCCGAAGGCGAGGAACCAACGACGGGGACCGTCAAGGACATAATTCTGGGTCTTGTGGAGCAGGTCGAGAGTCAAGATGTCATGGGCGAGGAGTGGGAATGCGTAGGGTTCGTCGAGCCGGGCAGCTTCAAGACGCTCAGCGATTTCATCAGTGCGCAAACGAAAGGCAGGGCCAGGGCGGAAGTGCTTGATATGGCTGTCACTCATGAGGAGAATTGAGACTTTGGCATTCATTATCAGGCGTTTGAGCGAGCATAGGACGGCTTGACGAGGATATGATTGAACGACCCCCGGCAAATCTCTGATATGGCCTTGCAGCAATACGATTTGCGCCATTATAAGATCAAAAGAGAGAATAGTAGGCCAGGAAGCAAATAAGCATAACAGACTCCTGCAATACTGACCGCCATTTCCGCGATAGCTGATGACGTCCTGCTTGTGGAGAAGTCTTCGAGAGTGTATCATCAGGGGAGAAGTACTTCACGAGCAACAGCGCTGATGGCTCATAAAGCTTTGGTAAAATTGCTTGTCGTGATTGTGAAGGGGCGAGCGACGATCTTCTTGGTATCTTCTTCAGAAAAGGGAATTACATATGCACTTCACACCCTAGCACGTTTCCGTTGCGCCCCATTTCCTGGAGTAGAAGTCTCTRTCTTCATCGCCAATTTGCATCAGATCGTCCTCATCGTCCTCAACCCTCAAGATCTCCATCGCATGCTTCGGAGCCAACGTAAACGTTTGCATCAGATCATATCCCAAGACTCCCATCTCCCACTCAAGACCGCATGGGCCGCATTGTACCGATCCAGAGTTTTGCGCGATCACCACAGACATCCCGCATCGAATGCATCCAAAGGCGCATTGCTCGCACACAGTCGGCTTGCCCTCCTCGGTCGTTGGGCGAGCAGCCTTGCCACACTTTGTGCAGGCGGAAGTCAACCGTGCTCGTTTCAGCACGCATGCGGTGCAGAACCTTTGAGCTTTGCTGTTGATATTGGGTCTGCCAGAAGTGCACCCGGTACAGGTGGAAGACACCTCGTCGCTTGGAGAAGCATTTGCAATGAACTGCATGAAGCCCGGAATCCTCAGCTCTGATCGTCCAGAGTCCTCTACATCGTCGTCGTCGTCATCATCGTGCTGGGGCAGGACAGCACAGTCAAGCTTACAACGTTCGACGCTGCCAACCAACGCCTCTAGTTCCCTTTTAGCACCCTCAAACTCCGCTAGCTTCCGCTGAAAAGCTTCAGCCTTTGGTAATAACGTTCGAGCAAGGTCTTTTCGACGCCGAAGATCTGTAACCTCTTCTTCTGCAATGTCGACTTCTTTGGCCGCCTTAGTGAAGTCGCCTTCACCATTTTCATCGCCTAGACGCAGTTGCGTGTCTCTAGCCCGATCTAAGCGTTCATCGGCCTCACGCCTCAATGCCTTGCTAGGATTCAGGRAGGGACCTTGGTAGTTGGGCCCCTGAACAGCTTGGCGAAATGGCATGGCGCCACAAGGTCTCAATTCGATCTCGCAATTTTGAAGCAGGGACCGTGCCGCGGCGAAGGGCTCCTGCTGCTCYTTCTCGGGCTCTCTCTCAGGCTCCGGACCAGGGATGACTTTGAATTGCTGGCGTCTATGACTGACTGCATCTGAGCCGGACTTGAAAAGATTGATTCGGCCATTCTCTGTGCCTATAAGCAGCTCTTGGAAGTCCGGGCTGAAAGCGCCAGACATGACCGCCGATCTATCGCGGGATGGGCCGGAGATGTCGCTGACATGGGCATTATCTGGCGATCTGTATGGATTCCATACTTTGACGATGCCATCWGACGATCCAGAGTACAGGCGATTCTTTGTAGGCCCCCAAGCGAGGAACTGAACACCAGTGTCTGCCACCTCCGCGTTCCGGTCGTGGTCTAACACGTTGAGCGACTCGCCATGTCGAAGGGTATGCAGCGGCYGCTGAGATCGATCCGCAGAGCGCTTGTCCCAAATGTACACGCAGCCGTTAGTGGCTCCGGCAGCTATCAGATTATCGTCGTAAGGACAGAACACCAGGTCGTTAACGTCCAAACATGGAGACTGCCAATCAAGCACGCCACGACCCCCTTTTTGTCCAGCTGCAAAGCACTGTACAACCGTTCGCATGCCCTTGTCCACGACGTGTCCATTAGCATTACCCGCAACGGCGAACGCAATGGACGAGGAACTCGGTATAGGGTTCCAGGTTACGTCGAATACATTCCGAGTGGCACCTCCCAGTTGTATTCGCTGACCACTTGAAACATCCCACAGGCAGGTCTCGCCTGTGGCGCACGACACTACATCTTCCTCTCCACTAAAACCTGCCAACAGGAAGTTTTGGTGGTGATGCGCTACGCCCCATTTGAGTGCGGAGGGATAGACCGCGACATTGCTTTGTCGCGGGGACAGCTCCAGTTTGACGTCGTAACTCTGCGTCCCGCAGCTAAAGACGTTTATGCTTCTGGATGACTGGTGACACCCAGTCGCGACAAGACCATGTCCAGCTCCAATAGATAGCAAGGCAACGGGAGATGTGTGTTTGACAGCATAGCGACATGTAACCTGATCCCGTTCAACATTGTAATGCCGCAACGCCTTGTCCATCCCGGCGGTAAAGAGCCGAGTGCTGTCTTGCGGACAGAATTTGGCCGCCACCACACTGAGGAATAGTCTGGGGTCTTGCGATTGTCGCATAGCGTGGTTTGAGTTGATGTTAGTTGTGCTCCTCACCTCTGGCCGTGGAATATGATGCTCGAGGAGCTCCCTGACCTCTACACGCTCTGTGTCGCCGACGAGAAGATTGCGATGCATGTTGTATTGCATGCTCTGTTGGTCGGCTATCGCAATTGAGCTCGCCGCAAACCGATTAGACTCGTTCCACGCAAGCGATATCACATCTCCAGAGGTGCCCTGATATTCCTGCTGAAGTCCATAGTCGCTGAAAATGTGGTCTTTCAACTCATCAGGGACTGGGTGTGACGATTTCGTCCACGCTCGTCGTCCACGAACACCCAGCTCTCGAAGTCGAAGTATTCGAGACATTGAACTGGGATATACAGCGTCCTTGGAAGATAAACCGGAGCCGCTCTTCCCGGCATTTGATGGGATTCCTTCAGCAGCGCCTATCTCTACTTCTGTTTCAGCAACCTTGATGTCTCTCACGCTTTGCTCTCTGAGCTGCTTCCTTCGTTTGCTCTCTCGCTGAGCCTCCGCGATCTGATTTTCTTCCGCTCGGGCTTTGTTCACCGACGCCCATGGCACCAATCCGCTAGGTATATTGGGTTTCCTGATCCGCTTCGTTGGCAGACTTGATTTAATTTCCAGATGAGCCGAGCGACCAGGAACTTGTCTCGTTGGCCCCAGTTTTCTCGTGCGCAAGGTGTGATCCCGGAACTTGAGGGCATCCTGCGTTCTGCCCGCRAATCTCCCAGCGATCGAGGAGAACGGGAGCTTATCAATCTCCCGGAGCTTTAAGAGGAGGGCATCCTCCTCTGCCGAGTACGGTAGACCATTTCGACTGGGACCAGAGGATRGATCATCTACAGGCTGAGACGAGACATAAGCGATTGCCGTACTGTTTCGATTGTCGTCTGGAAGACTTGCTCCCGGCGCCTGGCTGTTAGACTCATCACTGAAAGCAATGCCCTCCATCCCATCATCAGTCATGTTGACAAGCCGGAGTCTTGAGGGAGGCCGCCGTTGCGGCTCGGGGGATATTGGATCGGCTCTTGCTTTTTTGCCACTCGGCCTCTTAGAGCCATTGGAATCCGAAGGTTGCAGGGCGCGCTTTAATGGGTTGAAATAGGACATCGCTTGAGGAACCGTCAAGTCTTGTTGTTGGCTGACAAGAAGTGGCGGTGCTTGTAGCGCAGCATCGGGACTTTGATGGGAAGATCTTGCAGCATCCCGAGCTTCACACCGTCGGCGATGGCGTTGCATCTTCTCACTACGGAAGAAGGCTCTGCTGCAATTTGGACAGATTTCTTTCTTCTTTGCCTCGGCGGAATCCTTGTGCGTCTTCAAGATGTCTTGTTCAATCGCATAACCAAGCGGCGTGCCTGCCAGGGCATGCCGTTGTCCGTACAGCCGTGCTCGACATTCTGAAGAAATGCCATTCAGTGGTCGAACATAGTCAATCAGAGCATGATAAGCTGGCGGGACCTGCGGCGCCGCAGTCTGTGAGAAACCATTGCTATGAGGGTCTTGGCATGATTCGTTTGAGGAAAGCTGTCTGTGACGCGGCAGAGACCACTGATGCTGTCCATCTCCTGAAACTGGAGCCTCTTGTGCTAGACCGTGTCCATTCGGCAATACACGAGTGCCCTCATGTGCAATGCCTGCAAGATTCGTGGGTCTCAAGTCGGCGATGTGACTATAAGCCGGCGGTTCGAGGATTGTGCCATTGTTCACTTGGCGGCTAGACACATGACTGCTCGATCCGTATGCTCGTTGCTCCGTCGCGACGCTCTCTTCTAAAGCTCCGGGCGCGATGCTTCCCGTTGTGCCGTTGTTGGCACCAGCCGCTGCTCCAGGTAGGACATCTTCCAACTCTTGCTGAACGTGACGGACATTGTCGTCATTTTCCCATTGAGCAGAGTTATCGTAGAACAGAGGGAGACCGTTGACTGGGATTGTTGGAATGCCACGATTTACGACTTGCGACTTTTCTCGTAGCGGTTGAAAGCGGGACAGAGCTGCCACTCTCGCAGGCGAGTCGTCAGGTTCGGGAGACGAGGTGAGATCGATCACTTRGACGGGAGCCATAGTCCATGCATGGCGGACAGACACGAACAAGATCAAGTCGTCTGTCTTTCCGCACAGCAAAAGTGTTGTATTGTCGTCGGTGTGAGTGCTGCGAAAGTTGACGTGGTGTCGACGCGAAGTCCACGCGACTTCCAAAATCCCTGTCAACATCTTAGCTCATCCACATCCGCATCGCTTCACTTCCCTCCACTACACCCCGCTCCACTCCACCAGGCATGGCGGAGCCCACATCCTTCAATGTGCGTGCGCAGCGCGAGAAGAAAGAGTCGTTGAAGAAGCGGGAGAGTACGCATGGCGGGAGCGGAGGAGGTGGTGGAGGCGGCGCCGCCGCTGGTGGAGGGTCATCGTCGTCGCTCAAGCGCAAGGCCAACGCGGTATCGCAGGCTCCAAGCCCCATGAGATTCGCGGTGCCGCCGCCGCGGACTGTGGACTTTGATGTGCCCAAGGACGATGTCATGGTCGCACACGAGCCACCATTCTTGACGCCTCACAATGACCGCCAGCTGTATAGACCGATGGACCTGGCAGAGAACAAGCGCGGATATCGCTACTCACGCGCCATCGCTGACCCGCAGTTTCCGCACAAGCAATTCTATCGATCGACTTCTCCACCACCGCATTATGCCCGGCTCAGCTTCGAGGACGCCGACAAGGGCATGCATTTCTCCACCAATGCCTTGTTCACGACAAATGAAAAGGGATGGCGCATGGTCCGCTCAAACCTCTGCGCGCGGGAAGGTACACTATACTATGAACTCAAGATTCACCGTGGCGTGCCGCGAGAAGGACCAGATCCCGATACCAATGTCCCACAACCACATGTCCGATTTGGCTGGGCAAGGCGGGAGGCACCGCTTGATGCACCCGTGGGCTTCGATGGATACAGCTACGGCATCACAGACATACGCTTCGAGACCATGCATCGTAGCCGGCCCGGCAAGTTCTTTCACTCGAAAAAAGCTGCCAAGAGCAAGTCGGCCAAATCGTCGCTCGCTGCGCCTACTCCGGTTGTGCTGGGTCCAGAAGACCAACACATCAAGGAAGGCGATGTAATTGGCGTCGAGCTTCAACTTCCCTCCCTCCAACTACAGCAAAAAATAGTCAGCGGCATCTACAATCCTGCCGCCGATTTTGGCGATGGCTTTGACCAATCCGCTGCACCGCTCGATGAGCCCATGGATGTTATTCGCGACCGTATTCCTGTTCCTTACAAAGCAAACAACTACTTTGAAGTCATCGATCACGTCGCTTCCAGACCCATGGAGGTCTATGCAGATCGTACTACGAATCTGAGCCTACTTCCTACTCATGCTGCGGGTGCACCTCAAAATTCAAAGGATTCTATCAAAGCGCCTCCCAATCCCAATCATGAACATCCACAGCTGCGGACGCTTCCACACAGCGCGATCAGGGTGTATAAGAATGGAAACCTCATTGGCACCGCTTTTGAAAACCTTCTCGCTTTTCTCCCTCCCGCCAGTGCCCCAAGTAAGGCCATGGGTGCGAGAGAAGGCACTTTCGACGATGGTTTGGTGGGCTACTTCCCAGCCGTATCTTGCTTTTGGGGTGGAATCGCAGAGGTCAATTTCGGAGATGGGAGGGATGGCTTCTGGTGTCCTCCTCCTCATCTCGCTCCTGCAAGGCCTAGAAGAGGGTCGGAAGATGTGGAGATGCCGGATGCTGGACTCGACGCCAGTGGTAAGAAGGAGGGATGGAATCCAGGCCGGCGCTGTAGGCCTGCAGGCGACAGATATAGAGAGCAGATTGCTGAAGATGTGGTCTGGGATATCGTAGACGAGGTCGACTTCTTCATGCAAGATGGAGGCTACGATGGTATAGCTGGAAGTGGCGTTACCGGTGCTGTTGCTCAAGGCAGCAGTCGGCTAAAGGAGGAGCAGTCGTAGAGCACGCGGCCTCACGCCCCGGCTCAGATCGCCCTATCCTTACCAGATTCCTGGCCAGCTACTCAAAGTCAACAACCATATCGAGTTGAGGAACGCGCTTTCGGCCTGGCAGCACAAGATCTTTCCAAATGAAAATCTCCAAAGGATGCCCGGCGCATCTTCTGCCCGGGTCCTGAGTCGACGCCGTTGACTTGTTTCTCGGCAGTTGACGATGAATCACACGTTGCCTGATGCGAACGGGGTCAATGATCCTTTGTCACAGCTGAGCTTCGTCACGCTTGATATATCTGCCTTTTGACCATGCCACCCAGTGCTTACCGCATTCGTCCGTAACCTGCGTCTGAAAAAGTGCCGACAAAGGTTTCAACYCCGCCAGTTTTCTGAAAGTGGAAAGCTCCTACCTTAGGTAGATATGCGCTTATGTGGAGACAGCCCGGAGAATCGCTCAGGCTGAATTTATGAACCGGAGGAGTCTACGCCCTATACACACCTTATGGAGCGGCAAGCTGTGTGAGGCATGATGACAGCAGCTGAGTCACACCAATCAGAGCTCCCCGCTATCGGACGTGAGATCATATAGTTCTTAACCTAGGTAAGAGGTAAGCTACATCCACGATATTTCACACAAGATTCCTACCCCATTGCCATCATTGAAGTACACAATCAACCCTGGAGATCAAGCTGAAATCATCAACATCATCACCATCATGGCAGACCAGACACTAAAGACACTTCACCCATTCCTGCAAGAGAAAGACACCAAGGTTTCATCCGGGACGGTGAAAAGCTATTCACATGACACTGGCTCGGGTCCAGTACTATGCATGGTTCATGGATGGCCCCAGAGCTCATGTGCGTATGATTTTGATAGATGTATTGTTACCGCTTGACTGACGCTATGTTCGTCTTGATCAGACATGTATAGACACATGGTGGCAGATTTGAAAGATAAAATCACCATGTTCATCCCGGAGCTTCCAGGCTATGGCTTCAGCTCATTGCCTCCGAAGCACGACAAACGTAGGTCACGAGGATCAGAAGGCGGCAGAACGAATTGGCATGGCTCAACGCTATAGCGGAACTCCAGCAGTTGGAGCTTCAATCTGACTCAAGACTGCAACTGAACTGCTACTCTTTCACTTGAGACATGCCAATGTCCTTGCTTTTGACCTGGGCGTTTKAAGTGACTTGAGAGGTTCCCTGACAATCGCATAGGCACCGTAGGATCGATCCTCATGGAAGCACTCCAACAAGTCTTCGGCAAAGAACGACCCGTAATCTGGTGTGGCCATGACCGCGGCGGCCGCATTGGACATCGTCTGATCGTAGACGCCAATCCATCACACAACATCCAATCTGCAATCATTATGGACATTGTCCCCACCAGAGAACAGTGGAGGGTCTTTTCCAACCCAGCCGCGAGCGCAGCATACTATCACTGGCCCTTCCTAGCGATACCCGCCGCCCCTATGCTCATTGAAGCCATGGGTCCAGGAACTTATATCAAACATTCCCTTGAGAGAGCAAAGGGAGGCAACGAGGTCGGCACGGCAAAGTTCAAAGAAAATGAGGCCATTGCACATTATTGCCACCAGTTCAGTTCGCCCGAGTGTATTGCAGGGTCTTGCGGGGATTATGCAGCCGGTGCGACGGAGGATGTCCAGGAGCAAGAGAAGGATCAGAAGGAGGGTAGAAAGGTTAAGATCCCACTTTTGGTGATTTATTCGGCATCCAATCTTGGAAGGATGCATGATGTGCCCAAGGTCTGGAAAGATTGGGTGGAGGGTGAATTGCAGGTTGAGGGCGTCGGCAATGGAGTTGGCCATTATATTCCTGAGGAAGCCCCGGACGAGGTTACCAAATTGGTTGTAAAATGGATCGATGGACAGCAGAAGTGACTTGCAGTATCAAAGGGTGATGGGAATGGGAAAAATTCCAACGAAGGTTCCATGGAAGGAGGGAACGCAAAGCTCTGAGATAGAGCACATGACTGCCCATACTTAACCTGGCCCGAGGCGATGATACGTAGCAAAAGCGTGGCAGATGTTGCTGCAACGCACTGATGGCGCTGGTATTAGTATGTATACTTTTCGTTATCCGCCAACTTTCGAAGTGTAGCCGTTGTTACAAACTGGCTCCGAGAAGCCAACGCTCCAGCGAACGCTGCCCATAATTATGACCATGAGACACAACCCTCCAACAACGCTAGCAAGGGCATAAGCATATGCATGCTTGCGCTTCAAGGCCTTGATCTCTGCAACCCAAGTGCTGACCGTAGTGAGACAACCACAGAACCCATCCATGATCCCTTGCAGGATCTGGCAGCCGATGATACCTCCGCCTGCCTGTCCCATAATTCCAACGCCAACATGCTGTATATCATAACACATGCCTTCGACTGCTGTTCCGAACATATTGACAGCGAAAGTGCCTAGTGGAAAGGCGAYGACGAGCCCGTTGAGCTGCGCGCTCGCATAGAATCGTATCAAAGTACCCAGGGGAGCAAAGACCAGAGCGAACAGCACTTCACCACGCCACACGCGCTGAGGCGGGAATATGGCAAGTAGCACGGCGCCGACCCAGCATCCCCAACCCAGCACCACCATTACGGGATCAAGTATCTTTCGGAGAACGCTCGCCGGTATTGTAGGTGTCCATCGATTTAGAGCATGTGCCGTATGAGCGCCAACAACAAGGCCGCCAAGCGATAGAGCGATGGTAGCTAAGATCACTGCCACGAGCGCCTCAAACGAATATCCTCCGTTCCGGCCCAGAGTCCTTGAGGGCGAGACCACGCCAGGGGAGGAAGAAAAAGAATGGTTGACGGGCGCGGGAAGATTGTTGGAAAGTGCCAGGAAAACGTCTCTCGTAAAGCTTGAGAAAGAAGTGAAACTTCCACAGAATCCGGTTGCCAGACCGACGTACAGTGGAATTGTTTTCTTGTACTTGTTCAATTGAGCAACGTCTACGGGTAGATCGTCAAACTCTTCTTCATCACGTCGCTTGTCGCTGTCCAGGCCTGCAAGACCATGCCCGAATAGTCGTTGATCCTCGGAGAGAAACCCCATGACGAATGAGCCGGCCATGTTCGCCCATACGACGGGGAAGGTGAGTGTCGCGCCCGGGTAGAACGTGATCCATTGGGTCCCGAGACGCGCCAGTGTGCCAAATATGGAGAAAAATATAAGATAAGAAATAATGTATAAATTCGTTAGAAGCTTGTTCTGTGGTTGGCCAGGCGTTGGCTGCAGCAATGGACGCTCTGGCTGTGATTTTTCGTCTCTGGCGACATCCTGGGAGTATGGCTTCGTCTGCGCCGCTGTAGTGGCGGCAGAGAACCTTTGAGGGTTAGGAACAGGTGGCACGTCCCATGTGTCAAGCTGTTCATCTCGTGCTGCGCTGCTTGCCCTACTGTGCTGCAAGCGTTTACTGAAGTTCCTGACTCCAGTTTCTGTCTGGTCTTTCTGTTGAGTCTGTTGGTCGTGTGACGGCACAGGCTGCGGCAGCGCACTGTATTCTTCGTAAGTTCGGTGGTCGCCAGCATCATGTTGACTGGCGCGTTTTCCCTTGGATCTTGATCTCGACGTCCTTATTGTCGCCTGGCTGGCGCTCGAGACAGGACGCGACGGTTTATGTTGAGAACCGCGTTTCCCGAAGAATTGCTCCCTTCGACTCCGGGTGGTGCTGGAGGAAATCCTCGGTTCCTCAGTCGCCACAACAGTGCCATTGGCATCTAATTGCGGTTCATTTGCAAGATCAACGTCCTCAAACGCCGGGCGCTGGCTAAAGGACGAAGGCGCCTTGACCGAAGACATTGGTCCTACTGGTCCTGCTGGTCTCCGCTATCCAGGCGCACGAAATCCTCCACGTCCGCTGCGACAAAATATCCAGGCCGAGGGCTCGTCAACATTTTCGACGCGACGAGAAAGGGAGGTTGCGATGGCAAGAAAGTTAAACCTAGAGCACGGTCGCCGATCGGCATTTGTGGCGAATCATGCACAGTACAACTCGTGACCATCAATCTTGAATCCATGATGACAACCATCAAGCACGGACAGAATAACAAGATGCGAAAGTGTGCACCACTAAAGCTGGTGATGTCGTCTAGCTTCTGGACATACCAAATACGATGACTCAGGATTGGAAGGTGCCAGGTGCCAGGTGCCTGATGACTGCCACGTGAGCACGTACCTACCATGGATGTGGAACCTGGAATGTGGAACCTAGAAGGAGCTCGCCGACGATAAGGTAGCCCCGCGGTGCCTATCGTTGACTGAGCAAGCTGCAACAGCAGGCACAACAAAGACAACGAACAACCTCTGAAACCTCYTGAGCAGTTTCATCTTCACTCTACGTGACCGTCTCTCTCACCGTCACTTCCGGGAAATTCGCCATCCTCGCCATCTCTTGAGAGTCAGTCAGCATAGGAACGCAGCATGGTCGCCAACGTCCACGTCTCCACGCACCCTTGCGTGAAAGCCAAGTTGAGCCTCCTCCGCTCTGCAAGCACCAATGCCAAAGAGACAAAAGCTCTCATCCACGAAATTGCCACGATTGTCAGCTGCGAGGCTCTCGCCAAAGGCCTCTCCGTCGAGCAGAATGGCACAGTAAGTCTCCAACACCATTCGCAGCCAGCAGCGGCTGACGATTCGCAATAGGCTTGCAATGACTGATGGCTTGTGTTTCGTGTCTAGGACAAAAGCCCTCTCGGATACGAGTATCCCACTGAAGCCATCAACCCCTCGAATCTCAGCCTTGTGCCCATTCTACGCTCTGGACTGAGCATGGTAGATGCCGTTCAGGCGGTCTTGCCCACTCCGGTCTCCATCCATCATCTTGGCATGTACCGGGAGAAGAGCACGCTGCAGCCTGTGGAGTACTATAACAACTTACCATATCACAAAGCTGGCGCTACGTCAAGCATCTCAGAGTTGGCAATCATCGTAGACCCGATCATCGCTACCGGGTCTACTGTCTGTGCGGCAATCGACACCTTGCGGGATTGGGGAGTCAAAAGGATCATCTCCATTTCCATCTTAGCCAGCAAAGACGGTCTGCAGAAAGCGGCCGAGGCATGGCCAGAGGGTGTCGAGCTGTGGGTGGGAGGCGTGGATGCCGCAACGGATGAGCGGGGCATGATCAAGCCAGGTTTGGGAGATGTGGGAGACAGATTGTATTTGACTGTTGGGAAGTAGTTTCAATACGCTCTATCCAAAGAAGTCGTTGCATCGGATCTATTGAAGCACTCTCTCTTTACATGCGCTGATCATTTCCGATATCAATTTATGCATTTCTCCATTCACGGACACCACATCCGACCTCGCTTCTTCATGCCCGCAGCCCGCACGCCGCCTCCATTCGGGCTTCACTTGTACGAACTGCACGTTCGGCAAGTCAAACATCGTCTCAAACCCAGTCTTTCTCACGTTAGCCAGAGGGGATAAAGTTTTGTTCCCGCCGTAAATGGTCCAACCATCAACCTCCGTAGCTCCGTTCCAACTAACAAACACTCTAGTCCCTTGGGAAGCTGTGTCCTTTCCAGTAGACTCCACGGCAACGGAAGGCTTCGTCAAAGGGCAGCCGGTCCATGCTTGCTTGAAAGCTCGATACGAAAGGGTGCCTCTACCTCCGCTCTCGAATCCTCCCCCTTCTCTTCTTACCGCCTCTCCGAACTGAATCGTATTGAGCACCTCACCATTTGCAGAGAACTCCTCAAGTACAGGTATCCACCCGTGTCCAGTGAAATAGTTGCCGTTCTTCATTTCTTGGAAACTCCCCTGAGCAGTCGGGTAAATKGGACCAGTCTCGTTGAGGAACTTCTGAACCAAAGTCGCCTCCTTCGTCTCCAGATTGACGGTGATGAGTTTTCCCGWAGCAGGAACTGTGTTATTGTCAATTGGGCAATTGTGGTTATCATGCAGTCGTATTGTGATGCAGGTATTGTTGTGTTCCTCAACCACTCTGATGTGGTGCTGGTATCGAAAGTCGGCTCCGTCTCCCAGAGTGAAGTCGCCGCCGTTTATACCCTGCAGTCGCCACTTGACCTCTCCGCGTGAATCTATCACAATAGCAGTAGAAAGGTATCGGGAGCTTAAAATGTAGCCATCGTGGAATTTGGAAGCAGCATTGATGTGGAAGTATCCCCAGGCAGTCTCTTGGCTCAGGCCATCGTAGCCTTCACTTCCAAGAGGGTAGACCGATGCACTTAGTGGTAAAGTGTCAAGATGATCAAGACTCTTCCACTCAAAGAGGACCTCGTTTGTTGCAATGTCAATCTCGTAAACCTGAGCTTCGACAATCCAGCCATCCGCTCCGCCGCCCACGGACGAGAGGTCAGCTTGAGTAACATTGTTCGCGGTGACCACCATGGTATCCTCCCGCGTGATGAAGATTTCGTGGAGATCAATATTACTGGCGAAGCGATTTCCAGGGGTGAGCTCCAGAAAGTTGCCAGGCAATTTTACCTCTGCAATCTGCTGATATTGTTTGTTCCAGAGAGTCWCCACACCGTTGCCCCTGCCCACGGGTTCTGGAAAGGAAGATCCGTTCCATCCAACTAAAACTCTCTCGCCAGCATACGTTTGAACACCAAAGCTGAAAGCATGCTGTAAGGGGCCGTTCCAGACAAGCTCGCCCTGGCCTGTCATGATGACAGGTGCCTTCTGGAAAGCTGTCGCTCCATCAGGTGCAATGAAGAGAAAGTCATCCGACGACGAAGCCTTCTGGGAGAATTCGAGATATGGTGGCGTGAAATTTGCGGTCTTGAAAGTGTGATAAGGCCTTGCAAGGTGGTTAGCTACGATGCGTGTCTGTGCAGTAAGACTCTCACCATGATGCATTTCCTGTCGATCTCGCTGGCACAATGGTTCCAGTGGTAAGAGTAAGGTATGCGGCAACTAGACCACAAAGTAAAAACGAAGACATTTCATCGAGGTGGAAGTGCAAGGAATGGAACTCGATGAAGATGGGAAATATTGATGAAAGCGTCGCAAAGCAGCACAATGTTGATCTTCCCCAAACTCAAAGTCAGACGTCTGGCGAACCGCTGGTGACACAATTTTCAGCAGAAGTTCACCCTTGTACCAGATCCGAGGTGGATTTCGATGTCGATGTCGGTGTGTTTCGCAATGGCAGAAGTACTTTAAGTGGTGTGTCTTCGTCTCCGTCATCCTCTTCGCTTCCCTACAGACCTCAATGTTTGACTAAGCAGCACCCAATCCACCTCAATCTCGACTCGAATCTTCTCTCCTGCGCAATACAAAGCACCTCTCACGGTCGCTGCCGTCGAACAACAGGACAACGTCTTCCACGTTCTTTCGAAGTCTTTGAACCAGGAATGGTTCGGATTGCACCATGCCGTTCTTTCGGCAACGCTACGGCGCGTTTTTAAGAACAACTCTATAACAATCCTTTTAGGCGATAGTGCGACGCTAGCACTATAGGGTATTAGAACCTCGGTAATTAAAGGTATATTCCGTATAATAAGTAATAAGTAGCGTAATTTAATATACGCGTATAATGTCCTCGCTTTCCTTCTTTAAAGTAATTTTATTTAAGTCTATAATACCTAAGTAATAATAGTAAGGATAAAGTAAAGGTATAATAGTATTATGCAGGTAGCTATATAACTCTTTATATAAGTAAGTAAGATCTCTAAAAGAGTAGTAGGATAAAGACCTACTACTCTTTTAGTAATTCTTATTAATACTTGAATACTAATATTAATACCTACTACTTTTACTACTATACTACCCCTTTACTACTTACTTATATCCTTCTCCTTTCTCTATACTACCTATATAAAAGCCTAAGAAGGCGAAGAAGCCTAAGTTACTATATCTATAACTAGGTTATATTAATACTATAAAATATTAGAGAGCTAGAACTTTCCCTAAAGATCCGAATAATAATAGCGAATACGGATATTTTAAGTAGAACTTTATAAGAGTATAAGCTAGGAATTTAACACTTTAAGAGTAGCGCTAACCCGTATAATAGCTTAAGAAAATAGGATTCTCTCTTAACCGTAAGTAGAGAGAAATAATAGCTAAGTCTACTACTAAGTACGTCGAGATCTATAATAGCTTTACTAATAGGATTAATAATATCTAAAACCGTCCGAACTACGTCGACGCCTTTTTAATTATTAGCCGGTCTATATAATCCTATTAGAGAATTATTAAAGTATAATAGCTAATAATATCGTAGTAGAATAATATTAACTAAGAAGAAGTATTACGGAGATTATAAGAAGCGGAAGGACTATAATAGTAATATAATTAAAGGCCTAGGGCTATTTCTAGTATATTTCCTACCCGTATAAAGGTATTCGACGCTAACGAGAATAGCGCTATATAATCTAGCGTAGATATTTAAACTTAGCYTATAGTAACTATATCTAGTAGGGAACTAARAGTACCTACTAGTATAGCGATAGRATAGCTAGCGARAGAGCCTATTAGAAGAGGCTAAAGGCRTATAATAGTAGACTAGARAATATATAYYRGCGACCTAAGCGCGGAATAATTATAAGTATARCTATARATAATTAGTTAAAGAGTCTRCGTTTARGAAAGAATAAGTAGTYTYRTAGGTCTCGGAGTAAGTCTTARRGTYRGAAGGGATAAGATATAAAGAATTAGTACTCTTCTTTCTTCTATATAATCTCGATTTTAGCTATTACGAGTTCGTAATAGGAGCTTAGTATAATATTATAGTAATATTATAATTCCTTCCTAAATAGGAAAGTTTCTACTCTTTTTATTAAATTATATATTCTATTATCTACTCTACTCGCGGACTATTATACTAGCTACTTTTATTATTCCTAAGCTATTCGGTATAATAGACCCCGATCTTATATATTTTTATATATTAGTATCTAAATGTATATAAAGGAGAGGTACTAAAGAGTAAGGCATAATAAAAGTAAAAGCGTAATAAGGCAGGCACGTAGGCAGCCTTCTAACTCTTTATATAGGTAATTTAGATCTTTAAAAGAGTAGTAGGATAAATACCTGCTGCTCTTTTAGCGACTCTTATTAATACCTAAATACTAATATTAATACCTACTACTTTTACTACTATACTACCTCTTTACTACCTACCTATATCCTCCTCCCTTCTCCTACTCCTCTATATAAATACCTACTACCTTAACGACCGCGAAGATAACTACTAGACCGGCCTTTAACCTACTTTTAATTAATAGAGGTCCTATTAGAGGAAGAAGAATTATCGACGTAAGGGTAGATAGAGTAGGAGCTAGGAATTTAATATTCTAAGAGTAGTACTAACCCGTATAATAGCTCGAGTAAGTAGGATTTACTATTAACGAGGAGTAGAAGGAGCTAATAGAGTTAAAGGCTAGCYRTCGCTTYCTAACTTAAGATCTAAYATTCGATCTAGCTATTAAAATCTATAACCGTTACTCCTACGTTAACGCTTTATTAATTTAGAGCCGGTCTATATAATTCTATTAGAGAATTATCGAAGTATGCCGGCTAATAATATCGTAGTAGAACGGTATACCCCGACGAGATAGTAGTAGATAGTAATAGAGAAGAAATAGGAACG